GTTTGCAGTCAGAACTGATCACATTCAACAAACGCAGCAATAACATTGTCTTTGATATACTTGATGTCCAAATCGAATTCTTGCAAAGACAGGTTCCAGCCCATTAGGCGTCGGTTATTGTTCTTCATTTTATGAAGAATAGTCAGTGGATTGTGGTCAGGACACTTGAATGGGAAACAATGTTATACCCAAGTCCACTTCAAATTGTTGCAAAGCTAACAAAAGAGCAAGAGCTTCTTTTTCAATGGTGGAATACTTTCTCTGATGTTTTGTCAAATTTTCGTGCATAATAACAAACAGGATGATCCAAGACTGATGCATCTTCCTATAACAGGATAGCTCCAGCACCAATGCCAATAGCATCTACTACGAATTTAAAAGAATTTTCAGTTTGGTGCTTGGAGAACAGGAGAATTCAGGAGAATGGCCATAATTTTCCTCAAAAGCTGCCTGACAATTGCACTCCCGAGCAAATTTCATCTTTTAACCCAGCAAATTAGTGAGAGGGGTTACCACATGTGAGAAAGTTTTTACCAAATTTACGGTAGTAACCAGCCATACCCAGAAACGTATAAGTTCCTTTTTGTTTTGTGGAACTTGGATTGTTGAAATGGCTTCCACCTTTGCTTGTACAGGCTGAACCTGACCCTGGCCTGTGACATGACCTTTAAAGTATACATGTGCCAGTGCAAATTCTCATGTCACTAATTTTACAGTCAACTTGGCTTCAGTGAGTCCATCGAAGAAGGCACGGGTCCTCTTCAGGTATTCATCCTACTCCATGGAATGACTGATGACATCGTCAGCGTAGGCTTCGACACCCTCAAGATTGGCTGTAATCTCATTGATGAGACTCTGGAAGGTGGCTGGAAAGGCATGAGACCAAACGGCATCACTTTGTATTGACAAAGCCCATCTAAAGTCACTAAAGCTGATACCCGCTTGGCACACTCAGTCAGTGCCAATACCCCTTCAGTAACTCAAACATGCTGTTGTACTTGGTATGCCCAATTCTGTCAATGCAGTCATCGATTCTTGGTATTGGGTAAGAGTCAGTTTTAGAAACAGAGTTCACGTATAAGTACAACATCTGTAACTACCACCCAGCTTCAACACAAGAATGCCAGATGAACTTGTCACTATGATTTGGTTCAATAATATCATTGTCCCGCATTAGGGCTGGGACGAGTACCTGATCCCCTATTACCTGGCCCTTCCCGGGTACCCACTGCAGGTCTCAAGAGTTTGGAACAAAATGTCTGATTGGTAATTGTTTTATCGCAGCCCTGGCCAAAACTATTTAGATACATGCATCAAACGATCAGTACACTGAAGTTGACTGAAGCTTTATCTTTACTCAGATATATACAAGTCAAACGGAATGTGTGTATTGTTAGAAAAAAATCAATAATTTCCTTCTTCAGGGCTTCAAGCTTGATTGGATTCATCCAGTAGGGATGTTGTTTCACAGGCACAGCGTCACCTACATCTACATCATGACACACTAAATCTGTACGGCCAGGTACGTCCGTGAACAAGTGAGCTAACTCCTGAATAAGTCGACACTTGAGCCTTTTGCTCAGATGACTAACGACCTTACTTAGCATCCATGTTAGCTGAAACTTCAGAATTGTTTAGCTTAGAGCCTGCATAATCAGCAATGCCATCACACGTGACAAAGTCTCAGTTCTCATCAGTATCACACCCTCATACAATATCCACAGGCTAAACAGGGGCAACACACTCAGTAGGTACATTGTCAATTTTTCATGATACTTTCCAATCATATTGACATGACAAAGCTGTGTCCTTTATGATGGCCTGGTGTTTGTACAACATAGTCAGTATCACTGACTTTTCTGTCAATAACATACGGACCATGGCACCTAGCACGTAATGGTTGACCAGGGATTGGCAAAAACACTTAGACTTTATCACCAGGACTGAAATTTCTATTTTGCGACTTTTTGTCATAAAGTTCTTTCATGTTGTCCTGGGATTCCTTACAGTTATCCTCAGCTACTTCACAAGGTCTTGACAGCCTAGCCCGAAATGATGAGGCATACTCCCAACAAACTCATTTCAGACCTATCATTAAGCCAATGTTCCTCTAAGTGCTTTAAAGGTCCATGAACAGTATGCCCAAAGACAAGGTCAAAACCATTAACACCTAGAACTCCTGAACTGACTCCCTCACAGCAAACAACAAATGATGAATGTAGAATGCCTTCATCCCAAGTTCTTATAATATTCTGTAGAGTCTGATGAAATCTCTCTAAAGCTCCTTGAGATTCAGGTGATAAGTACTAGACTAATCCAAGCCTGTTTTGGGAAAATACCTGACATGATATTAGAGCCCTGGACCCACTTACACAAAGCGATCTTAGCGCTAAGATGATCGTAACTCACATACTTTAACATAGGCTTACAATAGTCGTAACGCTTAGATAGCTTTGTGCAAGTGGGCCCTGATCTGACTGGATAGTCCTAGGCAAATCAACCATGTTGAAGAACTTTACCGAAGCCTTGGTAATAACCTGAGCTGTAATTTTCTGTAAAGGAATAGCCTCTGGAAACCTTTTTGAGCACACATGATAGTAAGCATGTACTGATTTCCTGACTTAGTTAGGCAAATGGCAACACAATCAATGATGACCCTGCTGAAAGGTTCTTCAAAAGCTGGAATGGGTTTCCAAGGTGTGTCTAACATACACGTTACATTATAAGCTGTTTTTATGCATATTTTGAAAGCAGTATGTCAAAAGGTTGATGTGAAGGGTGTTTCTTTTGTAAATGTAATTTGACAAAACAAAAGTTTGCCACCATGTTGATGCCTGGCATAAAGGTTTTCTTGTATTGAAGTGACAAAGTTGCAAAAGGTAGAGGATGTTAAGTTCTTGTCCCTTAACGAGATAAATCACAGCAGTCATGACTGGTTTGTGTTTACATCCACTGATTTTCTGAACTGGGTAACTGTTAAAAATCCAACGTCAAGGATATCTAAAAAATCTAACAGTACATATTTTGCATGAGTCTTCATCAACCAAGGCCCTCTAAATGTAGAAAATGCAAAACATTGTTGGTCACTTACCAGGAAAATGCCTCAACATAATGAAGTGGTGGCGGACTTTGTATTAATGATCTACCATGCACACCACCCAAGGAAAGGTTTGTGATTGCCCATATACAACAAGCATGGATTACACCTGGCTGCATGTCTTATGGCGACATACCACATACCAAGCTCAGATCCTAACTAAAGGACCTTGAGTTGTATGTTTGGTTTTGTGTTTTACACCGCACTCAGCAATATTCCAACTATATGACGGTGGTCAGTAAATAATCGAGTCTGGACCAGACAATCCAGTGATTGACTTCATGAACATCGATCCAATCAATCGGGATCGATGACATGTATCAACCAAGTCAGTGAGCCTAACCAACCGATCCTGTTAGTCGCCTTTTACGACAAGCATAGTCGCCTTTAATGGCAAGCATGGGTTACTGAAGACCTATTCTACCCCAGATCTTCACGGGTATTGAGCTGTAGGCAGTAAATCTGGATAAATCATGGGGCTATTAGCTATATCTCTCAGATGAGTCATGATTCAACCATAGTTTTAATTAGGATAGATGCTAAACATACAATCACTGGGATGAGTGACCATTTGGGTTCAGTGAGTCAGTGTTTGTTTGTTTGATGTTTTTTTGCTGCACACAGCAATATTCCAGCTATATGAAGGCGGTCCGTAAATAATAAGAGTCTGGACCAGACAATCCAGTAATCGACATCATGAGCATCGATCCACACAATTGAGATGCAATGACATGCATCAACCAAGTCAGCGAGCCTGACTACCCAATCCCTTTAGTCGACCTCTTACAAGTGAGTGAGTTGAGAAGAATTTCCTGAAGAAGCCTGAAGTGATGCTGGTTGCAAATGTTTACCACTTTGGTGAAACCCACAAGCACAGATATGGTGCTAACAGACATAGAAATATAATCAGGTCAACCTGGATTCGAACCCGCAATCAAAGTGCCAGTGGGACCCATTTTGTTTGAGGTGGTGAAGTTAAAACGACAACAAAAAATCTTCAGCTTATTGTTTCTTTGTTTGTTGTTTAACACCACATTCAGCAATATTCAACCTATATAACTGCAGTCTGTAAATAATTGAGTCTGGACCAGACAATCCAATGATAGATATAATGAGCATCGATCCACACATTTGGTATAAGATGACATTCATCAACCTGGTCAGCGAGCCTGACCACCCGATCCTGTTAGTCACCTCTTATGACAAGCATTATCACCTTTTATGACAAGCATGGGTAGCTGAAGACCTTTTTTTAACTCGGATCCCTTCAGCTTATTGTCGTCCAGGGTAACCTGATTGCCCAATTGTCCACAACATTCTGCAGCCCAAACCCTTACTTACACAGCGCTGACCAATGCTTTTTCAGCCAGGCTCATGCCCATTATGAACCAACAGGCAATTAAGATCACTTCACATGAACCAAATAGGGCATTCTAAGGGAACTCAGGTGTCCATTGTCAGCAGAATCTACCATTGAACTACCATTTCACGAGCTCATATCAGTTATATTAATTTCAGTTAGCTGTGTTGTGTCAGCTTGATGTGAGAGGAAAGCCTGAAGTGATGCAGGTCATAGAGGAATACCACTTTAGTGAAACACACAGGCATGGTATATTGCCTTGACATGCATCAGAGTCCAAGGCAAACACACACATTGTTTAGTGAAGGTGGCACTGTCTACCTTCAAGGCAACAATAATATCAGTAACATCCAGTTCCATGACTTTAAACATCATGTTCATTAATTAATTGACTTTGACTGAACATTGAGTACAACCATACACTCAAAGTGTAAGTTCTTCAATGCTCAAACTACACATTCCCTCACTATATCATTGTATCACTGCATCTAGGTGATGATTCTATCCATACTGCGGTACAAGAAAGAAGACACAAACAATGAATTCACCAAGGACACCCTTTATTGCCTTCACAACATAGTGCACCACCTATCAGGTTTGGAGGACAGAGTTGTCTCCCTTACCTGCCTACTCACAGATGTTGTCAGTCTCGGTGCAATCACACAGTTAACGTCAACATACAATAATAATCAGTAAATTACAGGAATACGGGACAATAAATATTGCAGAGTGATCTCCCCTACTTCCTACAGATCTAAAAGAATATATGTTGTGCTGGAACTGGTTTTTTTCTCCTCAGGCCTTCCAATCTTTCCATAAACCATTCTCACAACCAAAGACCTTGTTATTCATAATTTAACAGGGAATAACCATAAGAAAATTTTTGGACTTGCATGAAATTCTTAGAGGCATGCTAATAACCCAAAATGTTAAATGACCAAAGATTCAGAATAATTTCTACAAAGGACTACATTTCTTCCTTCGATGAGACAAGAGTAAAGGCCTGAAGAGGATAGGACCATATTGAGAGCAAAGTGTTTGTTTACATATGCTTAAAGCTTGCCGAGGGCGAACAGGAAGGAAGATTAAGGTATCCACTGGTACATCAAAATTAGCACTGTTCTGGATTTCATGAAATAAATAATCAAATTAATTTGCCTCTTACTATCACCAACACAAATGATGATTAATAACTTTGCAAAGTTTGCTGCTTTTAGTTAGAGTCTTTGCTAATAACATCTTATATCAAGCATGTTCAAAGCTTGAGGTAAATATGGAAACTAATTAAAGGCCAGAACTTTCACTTACACCCAAGCAAACAGTTGCATTTGTATGATGAAGCATACTTTTGTTTCCCTTTTTAGCAGTTGACAAAGTTGTTTTAAAGTGACTTGATAAATTGTGGTATACATGTTCTAGGTAAATCTTCCATGATCGCTCAGCTGATATTGGAATGCATTGTATACTACATGCTTCAGGCATTCTGTACAGCAAATAGACAAAGCATATACATAAACAGTGTTACAGTCACATAGGCTTGTGACATACTTCCATTGCTGTGACGTCACAACATGGGGAGTGTATCAATCACATTGCAGAAAGAAAAATAGTCTTTAATGTGGAGGGCATGCACACGAGAACAGACATACCTGACATGATAAAATAGTAATAGTTCTCTTTTAAACTGTTTTCCCCTTTAAAGATATTTAAGTAAGACAAATACATTGACAGCACAAAGGTATCAACTGTCCAACATGACGTTGAAAGAGTGTTTCTTGTTGAATGATTTGCTCCATATTATTCAACCTGTATTAGTTCAGCAGACAATTGTTTTAGGAGAATGTCCTACAACGACATAATGATTACACTTTGTGCATATACCACAAACACCATAACGTTATCTTGTTAGGTTGCAGAAATGTATTGAAACTCTGCCAGTGCCATCTCAAGAATTTACCATTTGTCAATGAAAAACACAAGATTTCAAAAAAGTGTTAAAATTACTGTAACTTGAAATTCTCAACTCAGTTCTAATAAATATTTGAAATGTTCAGACAATGATGAGTACATGTTAGTCCCGTCATGAAGATGTTTGCTAATAGGTTCAAGAGATCGGAGATGATAAAACCATATAACTAAAAAGAGGTACAGAAAACAATGTTAGCAATGAAAGACTTACAAATGAGTTACAAAAACTCGTGAAAACACCAAGCAGTGTTCTTCAAAACACAAATAAAAATGACAGTAACATGCCAGGTGTCACTAACAACATCTGGGTCTATATTCATGACAGAATGAAATATGAAACAAGTTATACTTTAAAAGAAATGCATAACACAAAAGTTGTCTATATATATTTTACAGGCTCAGACATACAGAAATATTTTACAATTATCGAAGATTCAACCATCCCATGGTGACTCAATGATAGGGTGTTGTCTCCCTTTCTTAAATATACTCGTTCGGCAATCAGCTTTGTCCATGTTGTGTTTTTCCTCAGCAGCATCCGCCTCCCTGTCCCCCGCCTCCGCCACTGGAGGGCATACTTTGGTTGGTCGGTGAGTGCTGGGGGCCAATCTTGATACCATTTGCCTGAAAGTGAATATTAATAATTTCACTTAAAATGCATCAAATTCTATTCGCCAAGTGAATGATTATGGCGCTACGTTATTATTATCCCAGTCAATGGATCAGTGTGCACTCAAATTTTATTCTCAGATCCCTGGTGAGTAAATACCATCTCTTCCTTCCCCGTACCCATTCACTGCTGGGTGAACAGAACATCTTTGGAACAAAGTCACTTTCTTAAGGAGACACCACATATTACAAGTACCCAAAGCCCTGGAGACCTGTGACGATCCGGGGTAGAATAGGTCTTCAGCAACCCAAGCTTGCCGTAAAAGGCGACTAACGGGATTCGGTGGTCAGGCTCGCTGACTTGGTTGATGCATGTCATCGATCCCAATTGCTACCGTCAAATAGCTGGTATATTGCTGAGTGCGGTGTTAAACAACAAACCAACCAACCAAAGCCCTGGATACTACCAGGAGTCTTTTTGCTGAACATGGTCACCCATCAACCTACTCTCCACGACCAACGTTACCTTATTTAGCTATATCTGTGACCTGTACGCAGCACACAGGTACATATGCCATCACATCCATAAACATTTAGCATTGAGACCAAGCCGTCACATCCCCATGTACTAGAAATTATGATATATAAATAATTACACATAAAAATTATTCATGGAACAAAAATATACTTGGATGAATTTGTTTAGGCCTTTTTTTTAAAAGAGAAATAGCATGATTGGCATATCTTCACAAGACAATTACCTCATTATTAATATCAAAGACACCATCTTGGATTTTCTGATAGATTTCCTTCGCTGTGTTGATGAAAGCCTGTAAAAAGAATACCGTAATTGGATTACTCAAATTTTATGAGCTGAATAAGCAAAGCTTCAAGATTATTTATCAATGCTCCATTCTTCATCTCTGAAATGGATACAAAATAAACATTACAATCAAACTTATAAAGAATGGTAATGTGAAATGCACCCACCTCTTCTACATTGGCAGCTGTCTTGGCAGATGTTTCCATGAAGATGAGGCCATGTTCCCGGGCAAATGCTTCACCTTCTTCCTTCTTAACCTCTCGCCTTGCTTCAAGGTCACTGAAATGGGCAGACATTACTTATCATAGCCTACAGTAACTGTGAACCAAACATTGTATGAAAATGACTTATGTTAGGATTAATCAAAAGATTTTATCCAGCTGTCAGATTTTGAATATTCACAATGTTCTCTTAGTGTTAAATAATCTGAAGTCTGGCTGTACTTAAATACAAACTTGAAAACTAAGCACGGTTTTCAAAATCTGCTCCAGAAACAAGCACTATCACCATTTTCAGTCTAAGTCAAAGTTGTTGCCAATGAAACTCGAAAACTTTTTTTCAAACAGCCCAAACTATCAAAAGGCACCACAAGACCTATCAATGTACCAAGATTACTGAAGAAAAATTGAACAGTTTTCAAGATCTGCTCTTAAATGAGCACTACCATCATTATCAGTGTAAGTTGTTGCAAGGGAAACTCGAAAAAATATTTTTGAAAATCCCCAACTATCAAAAGGCATCAGTTCACCACCAGACCCATCTATGTACCAAGATTGGTGAAGAAATGTTGTACAGTTTTCAAGATCTGCTCCGGAAACTACATCTTACACGGAGCCCCTGCAAAAAAATGTCTTGAGGAAAGATGCATTACCTTTTGTTTCCTATCAACATGATGACCATATTGGAGTTGGAGTGCTGTCTGGCATCTTCCAACCATGTTGTCAAGTGGTTAAATGTATCACGTCTGTAACAGAGATGGTGAAACACTATATAATACTGTCATATATCAGACCAAGTGACCTATTGATGCCCTTCCCAAGTACCTTGTTCACAAGAGCAGCCCTCATAGAGATATATCCCAATGACTGTAGCCCTTTGTAGGTATGTTGTCTACCATGGTACCACACATGGAACCCCATGACTGAAGCCTTAAATAAGCATATCATATACCCAAGTAAACCACAAAGATATCTACCAGTTACTGTATCCCTTTCAAGGCTTTGTAAGGATGTTTAATACTCTGGTCCCCAACACAGGTGAGGTGAAATGCAAACATTATTGCACTTTTATAGCATTGCGCATATATGTATTGTGGTGTGTGTGTGTGTGTGTGTGGCTGCTTGTACTTGTCCGGACTAATGCCGATTTTTTAGTCTACTGGGATACCATGCCTCAGTTTAGCATGAATACCCCCTCAGACAGTATACTGACTCCGAGCCGTCCAGTCCTTGTTTTAGTGCCAAACGTCAAGACAGGGTAACAAGAAGTACCATCTTTAAATGCCTTTTGATGAGACGTGGCCAATGATCCAACCCCCGACCTTCCGCTCTCCAGGCAAACCCTCTACCACTAGACCATGGAGGCAGTAGGGTACCAAACATAGATCTACCCCAACAATGATAGGCCTTTATAAAAGGCTATCTACCATGGTACCCTCATCTAGATCTACCCCAACAAGGATAGCCCACAAGGAAGTAGTGTACCAAGGTTTTACCTTGACCTACAATTAATAATTTCAAGGGTCCTTACAGGAAATAAGAATCCTGTTAACTTAAGAAATGGTGTAGTGTACGGTAAGAATAAATAATTACTTTAATTACAGGTACTTTATATTTCTTGCAGAGAATTTGGTACAATGGATATCATTGTGAGTCCCTCTTGACGCAACAAATATCATGTTTGTGCGTACTGGACACACATTTCCGCATTGCGTAAAACAGGTATACCTGGTGATGTCGTAGACTAGCAATGCACCAGCTGCACCTCTGTAGTAAGATCTTGTAATGGACCGGAAGGACTCTTGACCAGCCTGGTAAAATACAAATAATATTAATAATGCTGTGCTCATACACTTAAAATATACAAGCAGGTTTGTTTGTGTGTTGTTTAACGCTGCACTCAGCAATATTGCAGCTAAATGATGGTTGTCTGCAAATAATCGAGCCTGGACCAGATAATTCAGTGATTGACATCATGAGCATCGATCTACCAAATTGGGATACAAAGATATACATCAACCTGTTAGTCTGTTAGTTGCCTCTTACGACAAGCATAGGTTGCTGAAGACCAATCATAACCCCGATTTTAACGGGTAGCGAGCAGGGAAGATAATAGACAACTGCTGTCCTTTTTCTACTACCTAGTGGCTATGATAACCATCAGGATCTTGCAAATCATGGTATATAGGTATCGTCATCTTGAATCGCAATGCTAGTAAAATCCTAGAGCTGTGTGAAAGCTTGCTGAAGAAGTTGTTCCAACTGGTTGTGTGGCTAATCCCATCACACAGCTCCCAAGTGCCCACAGAAGTAAATAACGTCAAGTATCATCACATTACTGCTAGATAGTAACATCTGAAGACATCGTGGGGAGGCAGCTCTGCAATGGGTTGGCCACTTAGGCAAATAAATGCAGGATAAGTATACAAATATAAAAAATACCAAGGATTTTACTAGATTTTTTAACTTATCCTGCATTACTCCTTAATATATCTGCATGGTCTGCATCTTCAGACTCTCTATAGACTGCACCAATCAGCAACAGCGATGTCCAGCATCGATCGACCATTCCTGTTGTCCAGGAAGGAGAGAGTCAGGTATGAGTGATGGCCAGGTATCATCTCAGTATAATCTAATACTGATGTACCGAGCCAATGCGTGCAGCATGTAACCTTCTAGGCTTGGGTGACAAGCACTGGAGAGGTCGAAAGGTCCGGACATGTGGAAGCGTCAGTAGCGTCGTGTTGCGGTGACCTGATGGGTAACCACCAAAGGGCAAAACCTGTGGATGCCTTCCACATCATCAAGTACAACTTTTCGCAGTGAGTGGCTGAGTGCCAGAAGCAGCCTTCCATGATGGCGGGTATGGAGCAGCTGCTATGGTGGAGGTGACCGACCGGATCATATGAGGGTTGTTGGCTTTAGAGGATCCAGTCCTGCGGGCTTGTAGGTTTGAAGGATGAGGGTGCGATGCCACAGGGCGATCGTGTTGTGGCTGACACCTGCCTGCGATTTTGGAGATACAATGTTTCCCCTGGCAATTTTTCGAGTGTCGGACGAAGCATCACACTGCCTGTACCGGACATAGTAGGAGCTCTTGTTTGTCTTCAATCCCAACTATCAAAGATAGAGGCGGGACAGTGAAAGAATCTATCCTGTAAGTCCTGGGAATTAATTCTTGGCAATGGAGTCCCAGCACAGCCCAAGATGAAACAGCTCAAATCTAACCAGGGTGATGTAGTTCACTCACATGTTCTGCTGTTGCCAGAGCCGAGAGGAAGACTGTCATCTTGGTGAGGTTGTAGTAAGATGCCTCTCAGTAGGTTAAGCATCAAATTCAGATCCCACACTGGAGCCTGGATAAGCTGTTTAGGTGCCAGCTGGAAGGATGGGTTCCGCATCCTGGAGACGCCATGAGCGCTGGTGATATCGTGTAGCTGTGTGTAGGATTAAGTGTGTGTCATGGAGGCACCACTGAGGTCCACTGTGTCACTGAGGCTGGAGATGCCGATAAGCACAGATAAGGCTATAGGCACTGATAAGCACGACTGGAGGCACCAAAGGAGCTGAGAACCGAGGCATGGTTCGTTGGAACATGGACTGAATGTCGTGAAATCATGTTGGATCAACGGAGGGGGTGAGACGCCGGGAGATGCTGGCGCCAGTGGTGTCGTGGAGAGCTGGTAAGACGCAGGTAGAGGGAAGCTCAGTGCAAACAGCGCCACGCTAGGCATCGCTGTGGAAGATTAAGTGAATATCAGCGAAAGTGGATGATGGCACCAGTGACGTATCAACGACGACAGGACGAGACTGTATCGGTGGGGAGGAGGTGGGGATCATCCCTGAAGAAGATATGGGTGTGGAGGTGAGACCCTGTGCCTGCTGTGTCTGCTGTTTGCGTGATACCTGCAGGTGTTTGGAAAAAGCTGTAGGGAATAGGAGCAGACAAACTTTACACCTAAGTGTCTGGGCACAGATGGTGGCGCAAATCAGACGAAGGATGTGGGTCCCACCCTGATAGCAGAGTGTAATCAGTTCCCACCCGATTATGTATGCTATAATCATTATCCAAAACCATGTGGGTTTATGAATAACAAATTTACGGAAGCAACACAAAAAACACCAGTTTATTAAAGATATCTCTAGAGTAAATAAATTGCAATACCAAGCCATATAATGAATAGAGAATGTATGACACGACAATAAGTGACAACAAGGTGAATTCAAAATGGCTGATTGAAACAACAATACGTCTGATATTTACCGTGGTAAACACCACACCAGGCAATAGATATTAATGCTAAAGCATAAATCATATGAAAGATATGAAGTCACAAACCATAGGCACAATAACAATACACAAGAATTACAATTGGTGTTGAAACACTCAAAGGATTCAATAGCATATGCAGAGACTCAAAAACAGGTCTTGTCTCTGGGCTTGACAGCAGTAATGTGATGATAGGTGACATCATCACTTCCGTAGTCACGTGGGAGCTGTGTGATGGGATTAGCCACCAACAACTTCTTCAGCCAGACCTAACACAGCTCTTCTGTCAAGAACAAGCATTAGATGCATGAAGTATTGATGCAGGATAAGTTGAAAAATGTTACAATTTACTAGAGTGGTTATTGGACACAATTATTTTTTTCACACAGGAAATGATTTCTAATATATACCCATGCACATTCTTAAACGTTGCAAAAGTAATAGACTGATCTAAGACTGCAAAGGGTTTTTTACTTCTGTTGAAAATAAAATGATGTAAAATTGATGAAATATTCTAATATTTGTCAGTCAGTAATAGAGGGCCTATTTATGTCTGCAGATCAATACAACTTTAGTATACGCATAATATCCACATATCTTATTTAAAATTAACAGGATTGTCAGACCCACAAAAATAAAAATAAAACAGTCACATTTCATGGCTTACACAGACCGTGCAATACATCATATCATATCAGCTCTTCAGCAGAGCCAGTAATCCCTATAGCCCTACCAATATCAAAATACATCGTAAGTGATCTGGTCAGGAATAGGTAGATCAATACCCAATAGGACCAGCATCAGACAAGCTTGGGGAATTCTGAGTGACTCGTCCACTTTATGAAACCTACTACATCTGTCAGTGCATGGTCATTGGGACCAAAAGTGTCTTACTACATTGACTCTTCCCCATTACAAATTCTTATATGATTCAAATCAATAAACTACATAGAATTCTTAGGAACAAAATAATGATTCATGTTAAAAATGATATTTCTCATGTTCCAGGCAGTTTCATCATATTCACATGGAAATATTAGCTGTAGTTTCATGTTTACTGCCATCTTTGACGCTTCAAGAAAACACACCTGTGCCTAATATACATATGCCAATGTACCACTGACATTACCCAGCCTATTAATATCATTTGACACTCCTTAGCCATCATGTTCCATGAATAAACTAGCTGCACATGTTGATTTGTCTCCAAATGAGTCACTGACCTTTCTGTGAGTCATAAGTGTAACAAGTGCTATACTGGTGAAATTCACCAGCAAATATTTAACATAAATGTGGTTGAAAAAGTTGCTTCTAACAAATAAAAATACAGTTTGAAATCAGAAAAAATATATAAACTTGGTTCAAATCTTTTAATGCCTCTCATCATGCTCATAATAAATCTGTCTATATGTTCCTGTACAACCTCTACATGTCGGAGAAAACAAACACTTTTCACTCAAGTCGTCCAAATAATGATAACCTTAAAATAGAAAGCCATTCAAGAGGGGCAATTTGTGTTTGTTGCGTTTGAAATAAATACTAGTACTTATTTCCTTTTAGTGTTAAAAAGATGCCATAGTGTCATGACTTTCACTGATGTTTCCAAACTTCTCATATTGAATCCAACAGTAACTAATATTTTCAACCATGTCTAGAGTTTGTCTTAACAACTGCATCAGGGGGTACACAGTTAATTATTGGTCAGGGTCCAAGTATGTATCATGTGTCAGACATCCTGATATAAATTTCATCCTGGCTCGATTACAGGACGTTCAATATCATAACAGTTATGGTGTGAATCTGAAACATGTGTGCCAAACTGACAAAAGAAACTGCTACAATTTACTTCCTCCCAGCGAAATGCCAGAACAATTGCTGCCACAGCTCAAAAACATTATTTCACAATGTCATTATCAACATGTTTATCATACTAAATATGCCATAAATTATAAATTAGGTCTGGCAAAAAAAGATTGAAACTCAGAATTATCGTTGATGAGAAGAAATATTAACGATTATCAATAGCAAAATTGTGTCTTTGATAATATCTTAAGAAAACTATTGTGATGAAATAAAGTTTAGATTTACCAAAACAGACTTGTTATTGTCAATAATGTTTTAGATTTACCAAAACAGACTTGCTATTGTCAATTATATTTTAGATTTACCAAAACAGACTTGCTATTGTCAATAATGTTTTTGTTGTATCTCAAATGTCCCCAAAGTAATCCATGCATAAATGTGGCACCACTCATCAGTTGGGTGAAATATATTGATTTCTTTCAGATGTTTTTTCAGAATTTTTGCTCAAAGTTACCAATCCGATATTTATCAATAATTGATTGCTATTTAGTTAACGATTATCAATCGCTATAATCTGTATCGATAGCCAGCCATATTATAATTAAACAAGCAATATTTGACCACAGAAATTCCAAAGCATGCCCGAAAAGAGAAGATAAGAATTATGAGATCAGGAAAGATGTCTGCCATCCCAGCATCAACAGCTGGGCTGATGTGACAGGTTGAGCGTGAAGTTGACAATGAGGACGTGTGACTATTGATCAATGGATACACATACACACGACACAGTTCAAACTAAGGAACAATCTTGGGTTGAAATATCAGATTAGCAGCAAACACCATGGTTCCTGAGAGTGGCAAGTCATGGCCAAATGACAACCTAAACTCAATACCGTTAACTGCATTGCCACATACTTAGGGAGTTTTACAGCATAAAGTCATCATGGTAATATTTGTAGGCAATGTTGTATCCACCTTTACTTTATGCAGATGGAATATTATGGCAACTTTCAGTCCCATGATATCCACGATCAGTACTCTTGCTTGAGCTATTGCGTATTTACTCACATGAAATCCTTCTCATTTAGTATTTGCATTTTCTTTGGGTAATAAATATATCTTTACTCCCTTGAGTCGAGCTTATTGAGTGTTTTTTAACCAATGAGTTAACTATATTCTTCAGATAATTCTGCTTAAAATGCTGACTTGTAATTTGCACCTGTTCACAGGAAGCCATAATGTGCTGTATAAGCTTACAACACCAATACATACCATTTAATGTTACGCTATTTTGTCTTATTCACTGAGTTGAGTTCACATGTGTTGCTTGCATTCGATCAATATGTATATAAGATCTGTAAAGAAATACTGATACGCAAGCTGAAAAGCTACATTGGGTAATTATGCAGTGTTGTTATACTACAGTACTGGGCTTTATTAAATTGTTCATGTGTACTTGAACGCAAGCAGCTCAAAATTGATTAGGTGATGGTGATTGTTTTTTGCATATTTTAAACGGAAACACAGCTCATCTTGAGCTCAGAATTATAAACTGAAACTTGACAACATAAATCGACTGACATGTGGATGCCTAATCATTTGTGATGATAATCTACTACATCTTGTATAAAAATCTTTAAGACTAAACTTCCAAACTTGTCTCATGGAATCATTTTCAGTAGATTGTGGTGTAATTGGACTAATTTAGATGATCTCACTAACCTACAGACACAAATTTACTTGACTCATGGCCAGCTGATTTCTGTACTAGGAAGTTAAGGTTAGTAACTTGCACTAAATACTGGTCATTGATCTCTTTTTAAAATTGGCAAACATGGCTTAACCTAATTAAATCTTACTTTTATTCAGTGGAGTGCTTAGGTATATTGAGGTGTTCCTGACCATGTCTTTCTTTACCATGTTTACACAAGCATACATATAACACAAACCAGTTAATAGTGTCATGTTTGCTGTCACCATGTTACTGTTATGGTAATGATGAGACTACAGAATACTGATTGACACTACACATGTTAAGCATCATACTTACTGTATCCCATATTTGCAATTTGATTTGTTTCCCATCGATGGTAATCATACGTGCACCAAACTCAACACCTATGAAAGAAAAAGACTCTTGAAAATACAGGATTCAAATTCAAATGCATGAGAAAACAACAGATTATCATTAACGTGGAGACATAGAAAATAGACAAACACGTATTCATCATTTCATCACAATGTAAAATGTAGCAGTGCCACACTACCACCTACCTGGATCCAAATGACAACACATAAGACCAGTGTTACACCTAGGCCCATTATTTTTATGTTTAAAAAAAGGAATATGTACGTAAATTAGTCACTTTTGATGATGTTTGAGGTCACAAAACAATATTCCAGTCAAAGGTGATCATGTGTAAATAACTGTGGCAAGGCCAATTAAACCAGTGACTGATATCATGAACAATCATCCATGTCATCAAGGTATGACAACAAAGTTACCAAGTCTGACCAACTGATCCATTAAGTTGTGTTGTATGATGTTGTTGTTCTTTTAATTGTTGTTTCACGCCACACTCAGCTATATTCCAGCTTTATGACGGTGGTCTGTAAACAATCAAGTCTGGACCAGACAATCCAGTGATTGACATCATGAACATCAATCCATGCCATTCGGATATGATGACATGCATCAAGCAAGTCAGCGAGCCTGACCACCCGCTCCTGTTAGTCGCCTCTTACAACAAGCATAGTTGCCTTTTACGGCAAGTATGGGTTGCTGAAGACCTATTCTACCCCGGATCTTCACAGGTCGTGTTGTATGACAAACAGGTTGCTGGGGACCAATTCTTCCCAGAATCACCACTGAGTGAGGTAACATTTAACATCTCAGAACTAATTAACAGCTCATTATTGTCCAGAAACTGTCTTGAGGTGTAAGTTTTCATTCGTTGAAAATACAATGGTTTAGTCATGACAATTTGCCAAAGTATAGCAAAATAATCTTCATTTAATAACAAACAGTATGGATTCATGGTACACAGACAATAAGGTATGTGTTTGCTTGTATTTCAAAACAGGCCATTCAGACTGCACTCACTTATGCGATAAAACAGAATTTATCAAAGAAATGTTTGCATGAACATGCTCCATGACACTTAATAGTGAGTTCTAGAAAAGTATCCGCAGTGGGATCTATTTACCTATGGTCAAGTCATGCACAGGCTGGAACCTCTTGTCTGTGAACTGCAGTAACAGGCAGGATTTTCCAACACCTGAAAAGAAATATCAAAAACTTGATTTGACACATTAGTTTTTCCTATGTGAATCTCTTTTACATCTTTCAAAGAAATTAACAGAACATGAATAACCAAAACGTTAAACAAGCAAACTATTCATGCTATTAGCATTATAACTTGGTGTATAATGATCTACATTTGATCAGTTATAACAGCATGAATGTATACAATAATAGGAATAATTTTATAATACAACAGGGAAATCGTATGAGGAATTCACCGGAACAGGATAAACATCCATGTATGACAATAAATTTGATTCAACATTATCAAATTGGAATGACATCATACAGATATTTATCATGTTCATCAGAACATGCCCATACAAACAGATAAGCTATAGCTGTACTATCACAGCCAGCACATGGTCAGCAAGCCCAACTTTAAACAGCTGTCCTTATAATGAAAACATGTTCACTCACATTACGGATCACATCCAAATCTTCCATACAATATTCTCACTTATATATTACAATATCCACATTGTTCTTCTTTTCCATGCACCTAATGTAAGCTGACAAAGTGTTTTCATTTCATTTACGATCTATTTACATTTATCATGACCAGTGCCCGAAATAATTGCCTGCCCATGGCTGATAACTGTTCTGTCGGGCTGCATGAAATTTTCCTCTACCTGCCTCAAATGTCTGACAGATAATTTTAAGCCAACTTATGTATTCAGTTTCATTATAACTCCTCGTGGAGTGTCAAGTAACTGTTAGGATTACTAAAACGGAATCAAGACATGATTTTTTCATATTTATAATGACTGAATAACTTTGGTAGCTTTGAAGATGGGCAGGCAACATTTATGGTTCACCTGCCATGCTCTTTTGTTGGGTTTTGAAATGATTTCAAAAACACTGATCATGACTCTTAATATCTATTCACATGGCTGTTTAGTGAGTGAGTGAGTGAGTGAGTATGGTTTTACCCCGCTTTTAGCAATATTCCAGCAATATCACGGCGGGGGACACCAGAAATGGGCTTCACACATTGTACCCATGTCGGGAATCGAACCCGGGTCTTCGGCGTGACGAGCGAACGCTTTAACCACTAGGCTACCCGACCGCCCCACATGGCTGTTTATATTTACAGTATCAGTTTGACAGTGTAAGAAATTAAGAATGATAGTCAAGGGATAATTCTCAATGTCATAACTCTGATGTTAAAAATGAAAATAGATGAAAATACCAGTGATAATTCTAGAGTGGGGCCTTGTGCTTTTCGTCCCTAAATTTAAAAAAAGGCCCACATTTTAACATTCTGCTGTAACTCTGGAACATATGAAATTTTCACACAAAGGCCCATGTCAGAAAATTCTTAGAGTGAACCTGAAATACTATAGCATGCAAACCTCAAGGACCCCAGAAACCCTTAATTTCTAACAATAACACATATGGTTGATGTTTAATACTACAAAAGTACATTTCCATTCAAGTTCAATGATTCCTCTTTATACCACGGATTTGCTTCATCATGAATAAAGGACAAATAGATCTTAGCCATTACTAAGCAACCATGAAACATACCTGGTTTTCTCTATCCTAATAAGTATCAAACATGACGTTGACAATGAGCATTATAATAGATGACAACTTCTTTATTATACAGAAATATTTCAGGACTACATTTTGCCCCTTCGCTAAATGTAGGCACAAGAAGGGGCACTCAAACATTTTTAATCCACAATAATATTCCTTGTCATGATTAATCCAACTTCAAAAAGACTATAAAGACTCTCAAACAAGATTTTGATAATCCTGAATAACACATTAAGCTTACAATTCAATTTCACACCAATTTGTGACCAACTATGTAAATAAAGCAATCTTCATGATTGAAGCAATAGCAAATATCGACTTGATATAATAATAATTTTAAACCAAGAACCATCAGGCCTGACTCTTACAGTAACAACTGTTGTTTTTTTTAACTTACTGAATAAATTAATCACTAAACAAGCCTCAAAATCTGACCATAAGCAAATCAATGTAAAACTGTAAAAGATGAAAACAAGTTATTTGCAGTGGACATTGTAACTACTGCTTGGCATTTGTATATCAACAAACATTAGAGAAGGAAAGTATGACTATGCATGTGCTTGTTTGAGCATGATGCCTGGTGGGCAATGTCACATCTGTAGACTATAGAGCATGTAACAACAGTTAATAACCATAAAATCAGCTGTCTGTAAAACATCATATGTATATGGTGTTAATAACTTGATAAAATAAGGAGTGTTACCAGTATTCTTCTGGTTATCATTTTTTGTCTCAAATACAGCTGGAAAACATATAATGCAGTAGCACATAACCACGATTACATGATTATAGATGTGTTTTATAACTTCACCACCTTGACCCAAACTATTAAAACCAAAATACCACACACCATTTTCTTTAGACATTACAACATGTACAAAAATGTACAAGGAGATAAGAAGAAATATCTGAGGTTTGTCTTTTCCAAGATTTTTCTAACCTTTCACAGTGAGCATATATATATTAGAACTTTAATGCAAGCCAAAAAAGTGATTTGTTCCCTTACACTCGGAACAGTCACGACACACTTTATGGTGTATAAAAGCAAAGCAACTTTGTTGAAACTGAGATCAGAAAAGGAAGGTCTTTCCTGCTGTAATAGAATTTTCTGATGTATAGTGTCAATGATATTTGACAAGATATCTGTAAAGAGGAATACAGTTTACAGACATTCAGAACTGGGAACAAACACATAATGTTCTAGATATGTGAAAGGATTTACTGTCCTATAAAACAGATCTTGCCTCACATTCACCCTTTTCTAACTGGTTGTACGATAACTTGTTTACAGTTACCCAGTCGTTTTTGTAACAGTTGACTGACCACAAGTCAACCACTGACCACAAAGGATCTACATATTCTGGTTTATCATGGATACATAGGCCTAGACATAGATACACTACCCAAGTAAATCACATTATTAACCCAACACCTAAAACAACCTAGTGGAATAGTTGCATACATATTAACCATGTTCAGTGGCGCAGTCCATTTTTAACATATGACTCGTTTTCACATGTAGCGATATGACACTTTCTGAACTGTGGTCTGTAGATTGGTCCATATCTCATTATGATCGGCTAATTTGCATTGCTTGGAAAAAGACTTCACGACGCCAAACTAAAAAAACATTTCACTCACTTATTAAAGCACTGTTTCTCAAGTAATAAACAAACGTTTGCATGGCGACATGACGTTAAGTTGAAACGTAATGCGGAAGTTTGTACACATGTCGAAACTGTGAACCAAAACATTACACATCGCCATTTTGGATCATGGATGCTCTGGTAGAGAATATAATCGACGCAGTACAACGCGAACAGAAGCTACAATCAGGAAAATTATAACGCATATTAGCTGACATATTGCTGTGAAACCAACGATTGAACAAGAGTCTTACCTGTGTCCCCTATAATGATATACTTGAATAAATATGCGTACGACATCTTGGGCGAAATGTAGTGAATGTGTTGATGATGTCAACGCCACGTGACGTCACCAAATCCACCGGAAGTAACATCATCACGTGACACGCGCAGTTGGCATTAATAAATACCTTCGAAAGATTGGAGCAATGGATACAATATAACATTTTATTACTTTTGCAACCTGTGAAATGCGCCATAAGCGTCGATCGAGGCGAGTGTACCAACAACTTCAATTGGTACAAAAAAAACTTGATTTACATACCGATGTATATATAATTACAATATCCACTGTATTCAATGATAGTTTCTATTATAAAACAGGTGACCATTTAACTCTATTCCACCAAAATGGATGTAACAAAATTATCGACATAATTCTATACATCTTCAAACAACTTTAGTAGGGCATTAAGTTGCATTATTTCAATATGTAGAACAAACTGAAAGTTAAAGTTCATTGTGTTAAGTAAGTATTTAGGTTAATTGTGCGAACAGCGTCACTTATATCCCATCCGCAATGATATGTTTATATATGTATGGGAATATTGAATTCTTGCTCAATTTTAACCGGTTAATTTGAAAACGATTTAATCTCGCTCCACACTCCGACTGTGTAGGTGAACGATTGATTTTTCTACATATTATTAATGAAAGGACATACATGAAATTTGATCTAAGAGTTTTCCTTTACAATCAGGCGGGTTGACAAAAGCAGCACCATGGCAACAGTGAGTGATAATTCACACTGTTGAACCACAATTATGGATTGGAATTTACAAAACGTTTTTGCAATAGTAAAACATTCCCAGACAGGTTAAAGTCATGGCCATAATTTTATCTACATCAATGTATTAACGCTCAGCAATGTTTCCGCTATACGAGGGCCGTTTGTAAATACTCGAGTCTGGACCAGACAAACCAGTGATTGATATTATGAGCAACCAGATACAAAGACCAATCAGCCGTGTCTCAGCGCCCAAATTAAGGGTTGTTTTTTCACTGTCGCTTAAGACAGTACCCATGAAAACCCAAAGGTAGAAAAAACCCATTTCAACTTATATCCTCAAAGTGAAGCATTGTCGTGGAAAGTATTTGGTTGTGAAAAGAACCGTTGCAAGGTGTATGCTACATCTATAGCAAGAGGATACGGTTGGGGGTGAGCGTGGGCGAGGTATTTTTGAAGTGGGTGCACAGAAGATAGTAGAAGGAATGGACTTAATTCCGGAAACAAATTGTGTCTGTTAGCCATTAATTAGTAAATTTGTTGTTACATGACACCAAATGATTTAGTTGTATATGTCTTTTTATACATCAGCATCATTATTATGTTCATAACGATGACGACCGCCTCCGTGGTCTAGTCGTAGAGCGTCCGCCCGGAGAGCGAAAGGTCCGGGGTTCGATCCCCGACCGCGTCATACCAAAAGACGTTAAAAACTGGTACTTGTTGTTACCCTGTCTGGCGCTCGCATGAATGGGGCTCAAACAAGGACTGGTCGGCTCGGAGTCAGTATACTGTGTCTGAGTGGGGTATTCATGTTAAACTGCGGCATGGTATCTCAGTGTGCTAGCACTATAAATCGGCATCAGTCCGGACTAGTACAAGCAGCCACACAAACACACACACGTACATGCACGTCGCTATATAAGTGCAATAATCTTGGACGCGACGTTAAACCCCATTTCACCTCACATCACATAACGATGACTGCTATTCACTTTATCTTTGTTACAAAGTCGTTGTACGTTTTATGCATATAAGTAGAGCGAGTGGTGGTTTACACTGCGTTTAGCAATATCCCATGCAGCCATATCACGGCGGGGATCACCTGAAATCGGCATCACACATTCCAACCATATGCGGAATCGAACTCAGGTTTTTGGTGACGCGCCAACGCTTAAGATTCTGCAAGTACTGATTAAAACGGACCAGCTTGAGACTGAAAAGATGCTGCTGTAAAGCCACTGGTGTTCAAAATAATGACTCATGGACTGCAGCTTGAGGTTGAAGGCCTTATTTTGTAGTGTCATTGGATGTGCATTTATTATTATCATGGCCATTTTGACTTTTTACCTGTGAGCGTTAAGACTTATTTTTGCCGTTTTGGCAATGGGTTTGTAGCCGTTTGGAGTTTTTGTGCCCGTCTTGAGGCCGCCCTGACGTGGGGCCGTTTTGACCAAATCTCCTTCAGCACCCCACCGCCGCGTGTTATGGGTTTTTCGGGCTAATCATACGAACAACCGTAAAACATTTTACTCACTTATAAACGACAACTTTATCTTAAAAAAGAAGACATCATCTGAGTATTTACAACGTCTGTGTGACGCCACACCTTACGTTTTAGCGCGAGTGGTCGCGATAAACATATACCCTCCCGAAAACATATAATGTCCAAAAACATATATACCGTATTCGACGTAATAAGCGCCCAGGGCGCTCTCAAAATTAGAAATAGGGGGCTCTTATTAGAATATAATTTTGTCGAAAAAAACAGAGTTGAAAGATAAATGTCGTGGTTTATGCTGACAGCCTGAAATGTTTATATAGGAGAGATATATTTTTCCAGAATTTAATTGCCCATACTTAAGGGTGCATTTAACACACGAGTGCGTATTATCAGCGAATAAATAAGTATTTTGTACATTGATCAATCGGAAAGGGTGCTAATTGGGATTGTTCACGAGCCAATGTATTAGCAGATATCGCAGTGGGCGCTTATTAGACGATATATAACATGAAGATGTGAGAAATATGTCCGGTTTAGAACTCAACGGTTACGTTTTAGCATTGAAACTAATGCAATCTTCGCTTCTTGCTGTGAGTGGAACGAACGATATAATTGTTTTGTATATTTTTCACTGGCAAATATGTCGAATCTCCTCTGAACGCTGATGCCTTTACGACGTTTCATTCAGTTTGTCTCCACGCACTTGTCGATTTAGAGTTACTCCCCTTATCATGAGCGCCGCCTACTCCGGACATCGAAGGTGTTGATGTTTCTCTGACAGAAGACACAAGGTGTTATGGTATGCTTTTTAATGTGAACGCATGGATATTATATCGCTGTAAGCTATGCCAAAATGGGAAGACTTTCGTCCTCGACAAAATGCCTAAAATTTGCAATGCGATTTATTATCACTCACTTGGATAAATCATATGTATACTATAGGCACAGAGACTTAGATCTATAGTACAGTATCGCATTCTCAGTTGACATTAGAATGTAAATAGCTTTCTCAGACAGACAGATTTTGATTCATTCATGTGTACGATTATATTTTCTTCTTTATATTAAATATCACTTTTTTACATTATCACATTGTTTATCTTCACTGGATGAAATACAAATATAGTGATGTCAGCCTCCATTTGTATACTGAGGGAGTGAGTGAGTTTTGTTTAACACCGCTTTTAACGGTATTCCATTTATATCACGGCGTGTCAGCTTAATGTTGGAGGAAAGCCTGAAGTGATGCAGGTCTCAGACGTATACCACTTCCGGGGAAACCCACGAGCACGGGTATGGTGCTGACAAACCTAGAAACATAATCAGGGCGAACCGGGATTGGAACCCACAATCATAGGTTTCTGGCATGCCCAAGGGATACAGCTCTGCACAGCGAATCGCGGCACCTCAGGCGACTGGGCCACCCGTGCCCCCTCATTTGTATACTGAAGATAGAATCAAAACAATCCCCGATACAATCTAGTAAAGAAATGTTGATTGTATTTATTCTTGTTACATTTTCAGTCAGTCATACATTAATACAAGTCTAAAATAACATTTTTCTGATGCACGTCCAAATTGACATTATTTAAAGAATAGACTAAGAGGAATGTTCTATGCTACACAGTCTGTTGCTCATTCCCAGAACACAGAACCATTTAACTAATATTATATAGCTATGTCTGTGAGTTCTTTGGTATAGAATATTAGATACATGTCCTGTGCCCAGACTTTTAGACTGGATGTTCTCAGAAGTGCCATGTCTGAAACTGAGACATTGTCTCTGTGTAGCACCAGACTCTGTATTTCCGCTGTAGTTGTTTTGGATGTCTATCTCGATGCTACTCGCAAACTCACGCAAACTTACGCAAACTTAACAGGGTCTAATTAGTATGTTCATGTTAAAAAGTGATGATAACTGGAGCAAAATGCTGGGTAAACCCTAGGGCTGGGACGGGTAACTCGGGTACTCGGGTACTCGGGTCGGGTGGGTACTGAGTAGGACCTGGGTACCCACAAGACTACCCGGACCCGTGGTTAGTCATGTGATATTTTGTTTAATGATAAAAATATCTAGAACTCTATGGTTACAGTTCAAGTCACTAATGTTCGCATTTCTTTCTGACTAAGCACCCATTGCTTCTGACCTTTATATGTTTAAATGAAAATAACACTTCAGTCAACTTCAGTGTATGCATGATCAGATCGTTTTATACATATATTTAAATACATTTTACCAGGGCTACACTCAAACTCTTTCCAATCGGACATTTTGTACCAAACTCTTGCGACCTATAGCCGTTACCCGGGTAGGGTCGGGTGATAGCGGGGTGGATACCCGGGTAGTAAATTTGGACTCGTCCCAGCCCTAGTATACCGACCATGAAGATGACTACCCTGTCTGGTAACATTAAGGGAGGAAACTCATTTTTGTTGCAGTATTCTGATATTTGGTCACTACTCATACAGCCATTAAAATGATAACAGTTTCTTCTACTTTAATAACCATATGTACACCCTCATCTTAGTTTACACAGAACTGCAACACAGGGATGTGATAGAATCAACACTGATATTCAAACTCAAAACTGGGCCAAGTCAAACTGGTTATTGACTGTTTTGATTCTATTTAACAGGACATGGTGTATAGTGATATAGAAAAGTTCCAAAATTAAAGAAGAAATGTTAGAATCAAATTACTGCACAGCATAACAATTACTTATGTGCCGTTCAAGAAACATCAAGAGGCAGTTGATAATGATACCAGTTTCGAGATGTTGATGAATTCCACAAAAAGATTTTTGCCAAGTGGCTTGACTTTCTGATGGATATGTCACTCAAACCAAATTTAAAGAGTATTAAAATCTGATTGATGGATAACAGAAAAAGACCTTTACAGGCCAACATGCAGAATTTGGAAGATAGTTGTCACTGACTGTACTGTTTTCCGATATAGATCGAGAAATGTTATAAGAATTGTGAGACAAGGGTCATCATACTGGATTGAGGATATTCTGGAACATATGTCATTATCTGCATTTATAGATAATCAATAGAAACCTCGCAAATAGATTGTACTATTTACTAGATATACTACCGACGAAATAGAGTATGATTGGAAAAATATCAACAGATACAGGTTGATATACTTTATACAGTTTTATTTTGCACACAAACTAAGAAGTGTCTGTCTTGATAACTTTAATCAAACTTGCTAAGACTGCCAATTTTCCCTAGCCTAGTCCCCCTAAGATCTAATTGATCTTGGCCAATAAGGTGGTGACTATTTAATGACTTCTGTTGTTACATAATAATGAAACGATAACAAGGAAGGTGTTATGTTATGCAGGGTTGAATGTTTTGTTCAGGAGTCCATGGGTACCTTGAAATACTTCACCTTTTTAATAATTGGCTTAACAGTGTTTGAAATTAAGCATGAAATCAAAGGGTCCTTGTCATAAACGTAATGTTGAAAGGTAACATTTAAGGGGTCCCCAGGTTCCACTACTATTGGAGCAAACCATGGGGACCAAAGACTCTCCTTAATTTAAAACAACTTGATTCACCAGTTCAATGATGACATGTCTCGGGAATTGATATCGCGAAATCAAATCAATATCATCTAAAACATCTAATGCCCGGCTTCTGTCCCTGAAAACATGTTCTCTCCTGATACCATTTCTGTAAATAATTTCAATAAGGAATGCATGTGTCGCCATGATGGTTTGAATTTGCGAGGTCGTAACTACATTAGGAGAGCCCTAGGGCTGTCGTAGATTTAGGGTGATTTTACGATGTAGTGTAAACTAAGAGGTCTTTGTGAAACGGCCTTAAAAGTTATGACATGGTTTACGACGTGGTTTAGGAGGTCGTAGCGCTAAGAGGCTTTTGTGAAACGGCACCCTGTTTATCCAATCTGTCTGAGATTGATATCCCTTAGATAGTCACATTTTCATAATGTTACATTATGTTTATGATATTATATTTCATAATGATATGACATAATTATTATTTTAGCAGAGGTCATGTCAGGACCTTGGGACAGGGGTAGTCTGTTCTCTAAGGCGCCGCAATTCGCTTTGCAGACTTGTGTCCCTTGGGCACGCCGGAAACCTATTATTGAGGGTTCGAATCATGGTTCACCTTGATAATGTTTCTAGGTTTGTCAGCTTTCCTCCCATATTCTTCTGACAGGCCGTGATAAAACTGGAGTACTGTTTTAAATTTAAATCCAACTCACTCACACATGTCAGGACCTACATTTTCATAAGAGTTTTTAAAACTGTTTGTTGCTATGCTTTCATTCTTCTTCAAGTGATGAGACAGCAAGGGAGATAATCATTGTCATCAAGCATGCCGGGAGACTCTGCTCCGCTTGTTACGGGGGTTTCCCCAAAGGAGGGTCCCCCAGGAACTCGGATAACCATCAGGGGAGAGAACCTAGGAATTGATCCTAAAGATTTCATTGGTAAGTTTTCTTAAATTTTCCATTATCTGTAAAACATAAGAACAAAATAACTGAATATTGAATGAGGCAGTGTTTGGGTAGACTAGTGGTGGAAGCATTGGCTCACCACGCTTCTGACCTGACTTCAATTTCCAGCAAATTGTTTTGTTTCTTGCCTCGATATTGCTGGAATATTGCTGAAAACTTTAATAAGGGACCACATATCATGATTGTGTGTGTGTGTCTTCATACTCCAGTTATGTTTTTTATGGATCAGTGTTTACATCTTTGACTGCTGGTTTGTCTGCATGAAGTCAGATTTCACTTTATAGATTGCTGTTGATTGCTGTTGCAGCAAACACAATCACACTACATTTGAGACATACAAAGTCACTAGGGATCTCTGGGCCGAGATGGTCCTCATTATCCCATAGAGGTGTGCTGTTTGACTGGTATATCTCGATTTGAAATACTAATGAATGCGTATCACAGTATGCTTGGAAAATACTGGTATATTGCTTTTTTCAAAATCACAGTTTTCATCTTGTTAGTCAAGTTTACATAAGTGACAATTAAAATGAAAAATTATATGATTCAGAAATTAGCAACTAATTCATGTGATCAAAAAGTGAAACTTTTCGCATCCAGCTTCCTGTATATAATGTGTCTTTTAAGCATGCATTGTAACCATAGCAACATTTAACAAAATGGCTGATGAGCGCTCGCAATATATTTTGGTACATATAGCAGTACATGAGTCATTAAGTCAGGCCAACACCCATGACTAAAATTCACACAATCACACTGAATTTAAGACATATCCTTCAGAAGGAGAAGGTCCCCAATATACCATGCTTGCTGTAACATCTAATATGAGTGGTGGTTAAAATGTCTGGCTGATTGTATGATGTTTTCTGGATGCATGGATCATAGCTCATGATGTGACCTCTCCAGACTAGCCTCTTTTCCCCAGTAGAACATATGGGGCAGTCGGGTAGCCAAGTGGTTAAAGCATTCGCTCGTCACGCTGAAGACCCGGGTTTGATTCCTGACATGGGTACAATGTGTGAAGCCCATTTCTGGTGTTCCCCGCCATGATATTGATGGAATATTGCTAAAACCATACTCACTCACTCACTCACTCACTCACTCACTCACTCACTCACTCACTCACTCACTCACTCACTCACTCACTCACTCACTCACTCACTCACTCACTCACTCACTCACTCACTCACTCACTCACTCACTCACTCACTCACTCACTCACTCACTCACTCACTCACTCACTCACTCACTCACTCACTCACTCACTCACTCACTCACTCACTCACTCACTCACTCACTCACTCACTCACTCACTCACTCACTCACTCACTCACTCACTCACTCACTCACTCACTCACTCACTCACTCACTCACTCACTCACTCACTCACTCACTCACTCACTCACTCACTCACTCACTCACTCACTCACTCACTCACTCACTCACTCACTCACTCACTCACTCACTCACTCACTCACTCACTCACTCACTGAACAAGCTGTTGATATTGTTCCAAATGCGACTTATTATTACGTGAGCTATGCCTGTTTTCCTAGCTCTGAGGATTTGTGGGATGGATTGCATTCTGTCTGCTGAGTGGAAGACCTCCAGCAAGATCATTGCTCGCACTGGTCCGGGAAAAGGCAAGGGAGATGTGATTGTCGTCACTCGCAGTGGTGGAATTGGTAGCTGTACTGTGGGATTTCGAGGATATTTTTTGCAGACAGGTGAATAACACAGCATTTTTGTTTATTAAAGTGATTCTGTTTGAAAAAAATATGAAATATTGGTTCCCAACCAAAAGAAAAAAATATGATGGAGAGTTCTCAAGGCTCAGAAATGGAATTTCCCAGTTAAATTCCTGGTATCGATGACCATATGAACAGGGGTTTCTGGCTACCATAATATTTTGTTTGTTTGAAGGCCCTCTTCAAGAAACGGCACTTTGGACTGATGAATCTCAGACAGTTCCCTCCAATCTCCGTCATGGTCGTGCATCGTCTCCTCTCACAGACCGAGAGGAAGATGATCCCCTTGGCATCTCAGATGAGGGGGAAAGGTAAGTAACAATTTTTTAAATTTATTTTTTTAAGCATCAGCAAAACAACTGGAGGCTGGAATGAATCGGTCATAATGTGGACAGTGGTCATGATTCATGGATGAATTAACATACAACCACAACTGCTCTTGACACTGTAGGTACAGTGAATATTATTGTGCATCCCTAGGGACGCAGTAAATACTTTTTTTTCTGTATCCATTCTCAACATTTGTGCATACTGGAATCACATTTGTGCATCACGTAAAACCCTTCTGTTATGAGAAAAGTTCATGCCTTTTGTTTCCTTTACATATTTTTGACCCAACCCTCCCCCTATTCTGAAATGTCCCAATTTGTTCACTGGAATGAACGTATGAAGGGCCATACCTTTTCATCAGCTGGAACAAACTCTGAGACTTCCCCACCCACTCACACTTGCATCCATTTCAGAAACAAGATTAATGAGGAAGAACTGTTGGAGATGTTTCCTGAGGGTGAGTAGCCTATTTTAACCGTGTTCAGAATTGTTTGTCAAGATCTTGCAGGTCATGCCTAGTGCCCATCTTAGCATTAAATTCAGTCTCAGATCTTAGGACTCCTGCACTCAGCGTCAAGTCTTCTGCATTTTTTGGTATGAGTGAGTGAAGCATTCAGACCAGCAGATCTCATTTCTGATTTAAAAAATGAACATAATCAGACAGTTCCAAATGCAAAAAGTAAAGATTCACTATTACCGTATATTGTTGTGGATACTGTGTACATCATGTTGTTTCTGAGTGCGATGGCATCTGCACCCAAAAGGTTGTACTAGCAAGTGTATGTTTGATTTCTGTGACAGTTTCTTTTTGCTAAAATCAAAATCTCCGAATCAAGGTGGTAAAGAAATGAAACTGAATTGTTTTAGAAAGCATCCTTCATTTTGATTAGGTGGTCTGGGTCCACTCAGGGTTCACCAGGGGAAACAATTTGTTTGAATGAGCTTGTAGTGTAGTCAAACTTGGAATATGGCTTGGCTGTATGTGTGTACACTGACAATGGTCATTATCAACCACAGGTTAACTAGCCTAGGCACTATTTCTTGCATCCAAGGCTATATTACTGTAATGTTAGCAATATTGCATACATGTTTTATAGTTTCTTTGCCTTTAATCTTTGTCAGGTCTTTTTAGACAGAATTGCTTTCTACTTGCGTATAATCCACATTACCCACACCTGGTTAATATGATGTATGATGCATTTGCATATCCATATAAGTTTTTTTTGACGATTCTATAGAGTTCTTCTTTTCAATTCAGCATCAGGGAATATTTCATTAGAAAACTTTACGCCGGAGTGGTACTTGCTGGAAAACCACCAAAATGCAAGGTATTGTTACAGCTATGTAGTATCTTTACTTCAATTAAAAATATAACATTCTTTGTGATAACTATGATTAATATTTACATGTAGACAAGATACATGGTTTAAAAAATAATTTGTTTCCAATGATTAATTTCATTTGATGGAATGTATATTTGGGATCATTACGATTTCAATATTATGCTTTCTCTTGTCTTATGTTCTATATATGTTTTAGTGGCACAAAAATGAATTTTCATAAATTACAAAATAAAATTTTATGAAACTTTGAATGGAGGTGAAACACTTTATAAGTTCAAAATATTTCTGACCATTGCATAAGTTGAAACAAATCTCATGCCCACTACACTGGCAGTTTAAACCCTGTAGAAATGTTCATATGAAAATTGTTTGCCACATCACAAAATTACATAAATTCTCTATTTTTTAGGGGTGTTTGGGTAGCCTAGGTAGCTCGTCACGCCGAAGACCCGGGTTCGATTCCCAACATGGGTACAATGTGTGAAGCCCATTTCCGGTGTCCCCCGCCGTGATATTGCTGGAATATTGCTTAAAGTGGCATAAAACCATACTCGCTCAATCTGTATTTTTTATGCCATCTGGAAATATAAATGATCATTGAATGTGTTTCATGGTATGTATGAAACTGATAAGCTGCAATTAAAAATGATGTTGTTTAGATGTCTTCATCCTGGAATATGTCAGTATTAGGGCTGGGACCATACTCCAACTGTGCGATCTGATACGTATCATGATTTATCATTTAACTTAAGCATTTATCCATGACATAAGCTTATGACATAAAAACATGTATGTCATACCCCAATGACATAAGTATGCAAATTAGATATGCAAATTAGATAACCGGAAGAGCGAGCGGTTTGATTTGAAACTATATATTATAAGTGAAGTTACACCAGAGATATAATCAGATTACACAGAATCGTTGTTGTTACCGTTATTAAAGTTTCAATTATTCTGCAAAAGTCTGTTCAAGTATTTTGTTAAAAATAATCCGAGGAACTTTTTTTCTCAGCGAATTGTTTATTTTGGTTTACATGGCTATGGAAAACATGTATCACTACGCACGATCTATACGTAAGATTTCGACAAGTTGCTGATGTTAATGTTTAATGCAATTATTCCTTAATTTGGAAGCAAAAATGTGAAAATGATAAATAGAATTCATCACTCATGTTTTTTAATATGGGAAATATCAACCTTGTCCCGTTAATCGGTATTTGCCTCGCCAAAGGCGATACTAGCATGTGCCCCATATTTTTGTTGCGCAAGCCATCTTTTTCATAGACAGGATGGCCAAATACCTGGCACACTGATGATTTACAGTTAGCAGTGTGAAGTATGGCACAACAAATGAAAATATGTATGTTTTCACTATTAGTGTTTAGTGGAACAGTTATTAAAGCAAACATATAAGGTCAGAATTGATATGTTTTACTTAGTGTGCAACTGTGATCGATACTTGTATCGAGAAGTGAAAAATTGCGATCCACTGATGCATTGGTGTATTGTCCCACCACTAGTCTGTATACTAAATGTGTATGTACTAGGGCTGGGACGGGTAACTCAGGTACCCGGGTCGGATGGGTACTGAGTAGGACCCGGGTACCCACAGGACCACCCGAACCCGTGATTAGTCACGTGATCTATTGTTTAATGACAGAAAATATCTAGAACTCTATGGTTACACTACAAGTCACAAATGTTTGCATTTCTTTCTGACTATGCACCCATTTTTCTGACTTTTCATATCTTTTAATAAAGATATAACTTGAGTCAACTTCAGTGTATGCATAACCAGAATGTTTAATACATGTATCTAAATATGTTTTGCCAGTGCTCTGTTAAAAAATACCCAATCGGACATTTTGTACCTATCTCTTGAGACCTACAGTGGGTATCGGGTAATAGGGGTGTGGGTACCCGGGTAGTAAATTCGGACTCGTCCCAGCCCTAGTATGTACACTAAAGAGTATGTGTGTATCTTTCCTTGTTAGTTTTGAAGACCTGAAGGCAGGGCTAGCTCATATGCAGCGTAAAGCTAGCCAGCGATCTGAGGGGCCAATTGCAATTGTCCGATCCAACCTTACAGCCATCTTAGATTGCCTTGAAAGTTTGTCATGTAAGTTGGTAAGAATATAACTGAACCTTTTGTGAGGTCCTATGCTTTCATATAAGCAGAGTTTACCATGGCATCTCAGGTAGCATGCTTTACTTGATTTAATTTCCAAGAATGTCACTACTGTCATATAACTGCCTTAAATCTAATACAGCTTTAGTCTACAATTTGGATACATTTGATGATTCAAACAGCCATCATTTTTGCTGTTTCACAGGACTCTCAATGTTAATCATTTGCCTCCAGTCAATTTGAATGCATGAAGGACGTAATACCTGGTGTCCCTGTACAACTCAGTATCACAATGCCCTCTGGGAGGCCTTTTGTTGAATAGGCCCCATGCTTGCTGTGGTAGGCGATTAGGATGGGAGTTAGGTGGCTGACCAGCTGAATATTGATATCACCTGGAGCAGTGGCCACCTGGTGAGACCATCTGTCAGGTGTGGCCAGTCGACTGTGTTGTCTTTGTTACACCTGTATAATGTACAATGCAAATGCAATCAGCCATTGATCTACCTGCCTCACACCTGGTTATGAAATGCAGTTCCAAATAAAGCTGGTAATGAGATGGGGAAATTATGTAGTTCATACATGTTTTGTTTTGGTTATTCTGTGTCCAGGTAAAATCCCTCACTGTCAACTTCCCACACTGTCAAATCCCAACATGACCTTTCCCTGCGAAAAGTGAGAAATACCCCACAACTCCCATGGTTTACTGTTTTTCACAGAGTTGTCTGTTTCTTGTTGATGTGGGCAAATATTGATCTTGACTGCGTGGGGTTATGTCCGTGAGGGGAAGTGTTGATGTAATGGAAAAACCAATGATGGGGAAATGTCAATGTGGGTACATGTTAGTGTAAGGTGATGTCTGAGTGGGGAAATGTGGGTACATGTTAGTGTGAGGTGATGTCTGAGTGGGGAAATATGGGTACATGTTAGTGAAAGGTGATGTCTGAATGGGTAAATGTGGGTACATGTTAGTGTAAGGTGATGTCTGAATGGGGAAATGTGGGTACATGTTAGTGTAAGGTGATGTCTGAATGGGGAAATGTGGGTCCATGTTAGTGTAAGGTGATGTCTGAATGGGGAAATGTGGGTCCATGTTAGTGTAAGGTGATGTCTGAATGGGGAAATGTCAATGTGGGTACATGTTAGTGTGAGGTGATGTCTGAGTGGGGAAATGTGGGTCCATGTTAGTGTAAGGTGATGTCTGAATGGGGAAATGTGGGTACATGTTAGTGTGAGGTGATGTCTGAGTGGGGAAATATGGGTACATGTTAGTGAAAGGTGATGTCTGAATGGGTAAATGTGGGTACATGTTAGTGTAAGGTGATGTCTGAATGGGGAAATGTGGGTACATGTTAGTGTAAGGTGATGTCTGAATGGGGAAATGTGGGTCCATGTTAGTGTAAGGTGATGTCTGAATGGGGAAATGTCAATGTGGGTACATGTTAGTGTGAGGTGATGTCTGAGTGGGGAAATGTGGGTCCATGTTAGTGTGAGGTGATGTCTGAATGGGGAAATGTGGGTCCATGTTAGTGTAAGGTGATGTCTGAATGGGGAAATGTGGGTCCATGTTAGTGTAAGGTGATGTCTGAATGGGGAAATGTCAATGTGGGTACATGTTAGTGTAAGGTGATGTCTGTGTGGGGAAATGTGGGTACATGTTAGTGTGAGGTGATGTCTGAGTGGGGAAATATGGGTACATGTTAGTGTGAGGTGATGTCTGAGTGGGGAAATGTGGGTACATGTTAGTGTAAGGTGATGTCTGAATGGGGAAATGTGGGTCCATGTTAGTGTAAGGTGATGTCTGAATGGGGAAATGTCAATGTGGGTACATGTTAGTGTAAGGTGATGTCTGTGTGGGGAAATGTGGGTACATGTTAGTGTAAGGTGATGTCTGAATGGGGAAATGTGGGTCCATGTTAGTGTAAGGTGATGTCTGAATGGGGAAATGTCAATGTGGGTACATGTTAGTGTAAGGTGATGTCTGTGTGGGGAAATGTGGGTACATGTTAGTGTAAGGTGATGTCTGAATGGGGAAATGTCAATGTGGGTCCATGTTAGTGTAAGGTGATGTCTGAATGGGGAAATGTCAATGTGGGTACATGTTAGTGTAAGGTGATGTCTGTGTGGGGAAATGTGGGTACATGTTAGTGTGAGGTGATGTCTGAGTGGGGAAATGTGGGTACATGTTAGTGTGAGGTGATGTCTGTCTGGGGAAATGTGGGTACATGTTTGTGTAAGGTGATGTCTGAATGGGGAAATGTCAATGTGGGTACATGTTAGTCTAAGGTGATGTCTGTGTGGGGAAATGTGGGTACATGTTAGTGTGAGGTGATGTCTGTGTGGGGAAATGTGGGTCCATGTTAGTGTAAGGCGATGTCTGAATGGGGAAATGTGGGTCCATGTTAGTGTAAGGTGATGTCTGAATGGGGAAATGTCAATGTGGGTACATGTTAGTGTAAGGTGATGTCTGAATGGGGAAATGTGGGTCCATGTTAGTGTAAGGTGATGTCTGAATGGGGAAATGTCAATTTGGGTACATGTTAGTGTAAGGTGAAGTCTGAATGGGGAAATGTCAATGTGGGTCCATGTTAGTGTAAGGTGATGTCTGACTGGGGAAATATGGGCACATGTTAGTGTGAGGTGATGTCTGAGTGGGGAAATGTGGGTACATGTTAGTGTGAGGTGATATCTGAGTGGGGAAATGTGGGTACATGTTAGTGTGAGGTGATGTCTGAGTGGGGAAATGTGGGTACATGTTAGTGTGAGGTGATGTCTGAGTGGGGAAATGTGGGTACATGTTAGTGTGAGGTGATGTCTGAGTGGGGAAATGTGGGTACATGTTAGTGTGAGGTGATGTCTGAGTGGGGAAATGTGGGTACATGTTAGTGTGAGGTGATGTCTGAGTGGGGAAATGTGGGTACATGTTAGTGTGAGGTGATGTCTGAGTGGGGAAATGTGGGTACATGTTAGTGTGAGGTGATGTCTGAGTGGGGAAATGTGGGTACATGTTAGTGTGAGGTGATGTCTGAGTGGGGAAATGTGGGTCCATGTTAGTGTGAGGTGATGTCTGAGTGGGGAAATGTGGGTACATGTTAGTGTGAGGTGATGTCTGAGTGGGGAAATGTGGGTACATGTTAGTGTGAGGTGATGTCTGAGTGGGGAAATGTGGGTACATGTTAGTGTGAGGTGATGTCTGAGTGGGGAAATGTGGGTACATGTTAGTGTGAGGTGATGTCTGAATGGGGAAATGTCAATGTGGGTACATGTTAGTGTGAGGTGATGTTTGAGTGGGGAAATGTGGGTACATGTTAGTGTGAGGTGATGTTTGAGTGGGGAAATATGGGTACATGTTAGTGTGAGGTGATGTCTGAGTGGGGAAATGTGGGTCCATGTTAGTGTGAGGTGATGTCTGAGTGGGGAAATGTGGGTACATGTTAGTGTGAGGTGATGTCTGAGTGGGGAAATGTGGGTACATGTTAGTGTGAGGTGATGTCTGAGTGGGGAAATGTGGGTACATGTTAGTGTGAGGTGATGTCTGAGTGGGGAAATGTGGGTACATGTTAGTGTGAGGTGATGTCTGAATGGGGAAATGTCAATGTGGGTACATGTTAGTGTGAGGTGATGTTTGAGTGGGGAAATGTGGGTACATGTTAGTGTGAGGTGATGTTTGAGTGGGGAAATGTGGGTACATGTTAGTGTGAGGTGATGTCTGAGTGGGGAAATGTGGGTCCATGTTAGTGTGAGGTGATGTCTGAGTGGGGAAATGTGGGTCCATGTTAGTGTGAGGTGATGTCTGAGTGGGGAAATGTGGGTACATGTTAGTGTGAGGTGATGTCTGAGTGGGGAAATGTGGGTACATGTTAGTGTGAGGTGATGTCTGAGTGGGGAAATGTGGGTACATGTTAGTGTGAGGTGATGTCTGAGTGGGGAAATGTGGGTACATGTTAGTGTGAGGTGATGTCTGAGTGGGGAAATGTGGGTACATGTTAGTGTGAGGTGATGTCTGAGTGGTATATTGCAGACTGGGCAAATGCCTCTGCTGCACTCAGTAATTTTTTATGATGCACTTATGAGTGATTTAATTATGTATTAATTGGTTAATGTTTGTTGAGAAAAATGCTGAAAAATTAGAAGACTGTAAGAACCTAAGTATGAGACTGATTTGGGCCACATTATGTTTCAGCTATGTATGAGAAATTCTCCGCAGATGATATTCGTGGCGACTGCATGAACTCCTATGCTGTGCTGCTGATGCGTGAGTACTTCATTCAGATAAGTCTTGTGTGGATTCCAGGCTAGACTAGTCCCCAGCAACCTAGGCTTGTCTCCCTGCAGGGATTCCAGGTCAATAGGTCCCCAGCAACCTATGCGTGTCTCCTTGTGGGGATTCCAGCCTAAATAGGTCCCCAGCATCCTAGACTTTTCTCCCTGTAGGGATTTCAGAATAAATAGGTCCCCAACAACCTAGGCTTGTCTCCCTGTGGGGATTCCAGCCTAAATAGGTCCCAAGCATCCTAGACTTTTCTCCCTGTAGGGATTTCAGAATAAATAGGTCCCCAGCAACCTAGGCTTGTCTCCCTGTGGGGATTCCAGGCTAAATAGGTCCCCAGCAACCTAGGCTTGTCTCCCTGTAGGGATTCAAGGCTAAATAGGTCCTGAGCAACCAAGGCTTGTCTCCCTGTGTGGATTCCAGGCTAAAAAGGTCCCCAGCAACCTAGCCTTGTCTCCCTGTGGGGATTCCAGGCTAAATAGGTCCCCAGCAACCTAGGCTTGTCTCCCTGTGTGGATTCCAGCCTAAATAGGCCCCCAGCAACCTAGGCTTGTCTCCCTGTGTGGATTCAACGCTAAATAGGTCCTGAGCAACCTAGGCTTGTCTCCCTGTGTGGATTCCAGGCTAAAAAGGACCCCAGCAACCTAGCCTTGTCTCCCTCTGGGGATTCCAGGCTAAATAGGTCCCCAGCAACCTAGGCTCGTCACCCTGTGTTGATTCCAGGCTAAATAGGTCCCAGGCAACCTCGGCTTGTCTCCCTGTGGGGATTCCAGGCTAAATAGGTCCCCAGCAACCAAGGCTTGTCTCCCTGTGTGGATTCCAGGCTAAATAGGTCCCCAGCAACCTAGGCTTGTCTCCCTGTGTTGATTCCAGGCTAAATAGGTCCCCAGCAACCTTGGCTTGTCTCCCTGTGTGGATTCAGGCTAGACTTGGTCCCCAGCAACCTAGGCTTGTCTCTCTGTGTGGATTCCAGGCTAAATAGGTCCCCAGCAACCTCGGCTTGTCTCCCTGTGAGGATTCCAGCCTAAATAGGTCCCTAGCAACCTCGGCTTGTCTGCCTGTGAGGATTCCAAGGTAAATAGGTCCCCAGCAACCTTGGCTTGTCTGCCTGTGTGGATTCCAGACTAAATAGGTCCCTAGCAACCTAGGCTTGTCTCCCTGTGAGGATTCCTGACTAAATAGGTCCCCAGCAACCTCGGCTTGTCTCCCTGTGAGGATTCCTGACTAAATAGGTCCCCAGCAACCTCGGCTTGTCTCCCTGTGTTGATTCCAGGCTAAATAGGTCCCCAGCAACCTAGGCTTGTCTCCCTGTGTGGATTCCAGGCTAAAAAGGACCCCAGCAACCTAGCCTTGTCTCCCTCTGGGGATTCCAGGCTAAATAGGTCCCCAGCAACCTCGGCTTGTCTCCCTGTGAGGATTCCTGACTAAATAGGTCCCCAGCAACCTCGGCTTGTCTCCCTGTGTTGATTCCAGGCTAAATAGGTCCCCAGCAACCAAGGCTTGTCTCCCTGTGTGGATTCCAGGCTAAATAGGTCCCCAGCAACCTAGGCTTGTCTCCCTGTGTTGATTCCAGGCTAAATAGGTCCCCAGCAACCTAGGCTTGTCTCCCTGTGTGGATTCAGGCTAGACTTGGTCCCCAGCAACCTAGGCTTGTCTCTCTGTGTGGATTCCAGGCTAAATAGGTCCCAGCAACCTAGGCTTGTCTCCCTGTGAGGATTCCTGACTAAATAGGTCCCCAGCAACCTCGGCTTGTCTCCCTGTGAGGATTCCAGCCTAAATAGGTCCCCAGCAACCTCGGCTTGTCTGCCTGTGAGGATTCCAAGGTAAATAGGTCCCCAGCAACCTTGGCTTGTCTCCCTGTGTGGATTCCAGACTAAATAGGTCCCTAGCAACCTCGGCTTGTCTGCCTGTGAGGATTCCAAGGTAAATAGGTCCCCAGCAACCTTGGCTTGTCTCCCTGTGAGGATTCCAGACTAAATAGGTCCCCAGCAACCTCGGCTTGTCTCCCTGTGTGGATTCCCGGGTAAATAGGTCCCCAATCTTGTTTATTAACTGGCTGCTGTCATCTTGCTGGAATGTTGCAGTGTGTGACGTACAAATCACTGGATTGTCTGGTCCATACTTGATTATCAACAGAAGTGTTTTTTTTCAATTATCCTCAGGACTTATGTAATGGTTTAAATATTGTGACAGTTTTCAAATTTCCTTCTCCAAAACAAACACTTGTTACTTGGTGTAGATTTACTCGTCTTAAGAAATATAGAAATAAATTTATGCCTGCTTGTCATCATATTTTGATGGTATTATTTGGGCAATTAGTTAATTCCGCCTCAAGCTATCCATTCATTGTTCACAAAGAAAGGCTCAGTTTCAATACATCAAAGTGCCTGCCATAGCGTGCAACATTTAAATAATCAAGTCTGACTAGAGAAACCAATGATTGATATTACATGCAATCAGCCAAGTCCTCTGAACCACTTGATCCTCTTCTGACAAGCATAGATTTCTGGGGACCTATTCAAACTGAGATTACCCACAGGTTTGAAAATTCTAGACAGATCAAAGACGTTCTGTAACAGTTGACCTCTGTTTGGATTCTGTAATGTTGCAGACATCAACCTAAAACAATACTCAACCCGTGAAGACTCGAGGTAGAATAGGTCTTCATAAGGAGACTATGCTTGTTGTAAGAGGTGACTAACAGGTTCGTGTGGTCAGGCTCGCTGACTTGGTTGATGCATGTCATCGTATCGCAGTTTCGTGGATCGATGCTCATGATGTCAATCACTGGATTGTATTGTCCAGACTCGATTACTTTTCAGACCGCCGTCATATAGCTGGAATATTGCTTAGTGCAGCGTTAAAGGGCAAGTTCACACGGAAATGAACCAATTTTTCTTGTACTTTTTCCACATTAAAAGTGTTAACATAGAAGTGTCATAGACAAAAATATAAAAACATCATATTTAATTAACATATTTTTGCATTAAAACGATTTATATTTTTCACATTTACCAAGTGTTCTATTTCCATAACAAAAACACCATGGCTTATGCCCCTTGCAATATGACATCATTGGTGCCAATTGATAAACATTATGACGTCATCATGCTTTGTTAGAGCCGTGGTGTAGGTACAGTTTTGTGATTCTAGCGTCTCAGATGCCAGCCAGAATTGCGTTATGCTGAGTCACTACTGCGCCGGAGTGTGTCGTAGACCATGTTGTTTTACCGCAAACTGGTCCTTGATATCTTTTGCGTTGAGAAAATACAGGGACCCAGTTGAATTGGCACCAATTACGTCATAATCTAAGGGGGATAACTCAGGCCTATTTCGCTCGTAAAACGAAGGCCTCATAACGGCATATCATTTTAACACTATTGTGAGCTTCCTACTTTCACTGTGAAAAAAAATTAGTGTATATTTTCAAACACAGATACTAATTAATTCTAAAATTGCGTTTTGTTTAGAAAAAGAAAGAAAGTGATTTTTGCGTGTACACTTCCCCTTTAAACAACAAATTAACAGACAACTAAAACAATACTCACTACTATGACTGTTGATGTTTGACACCAGAGGCCAAGTCGTGTGCGGACGGGCTGTTCCAGGAGGTGCTGGGGAGGAAGGACAAGGCCGACTCCACCAGGAGCGCCCTCAGCGTCCTGCAGAAGTTCAAGTTCCTCTTCTACCTGCCTCTCAACATGGAGAGAAACATACAGAGGGTGGGTGTTCACGATGTAACATACACTAGTGCACCTACCAGAAACCATGATTTATGAAAACAAAACATGCTCTTCTTTTTTCTTTATATGTCAAAAAACGTTTTGTATTGTCTTGATCATTTTATGGATGGTTACCATGAAAACACAGGCATGATTTCTCCCAGGGCGACACAGGCAGTGATAAGATGACTAGTGGGATTTCTCCTAGGGCAACGCAGGCAGTGATAAGATGACTAGTGGGATTTCTCCCAGGGCGACACAGGCAGTGATAAGATGACTAGTGGGATTTCTCCCAGGGTGACACAGGGAGTGATAAGATGACTAGTAGGATTTCTCCCAGGGCGACACAGGCAGTGATAAGATGACTAGTAGGATTTCTCCCAGGGCGATGCAGGCAGTGATAAGATGACTAGTAGGATTTCTCCCAGGGCAACACAGGCAGTGATAAGATGACTAGTAGGATTTCTCCCAGGCTTACACAGGCAGTGACAAGATGACTAGTAGGATTTCTCCCAAGGCGACACAGGCAGTGATAAGATGACTAGTAGGATTTCTCCCAGGGCGACACAGGCAGTGATAAGATGACTAGTAGGATTTCTCCAAGGCTTACACAGGCAGTGACAAGATGACTAGTAGGATTTCTCCCAGGGCGACACAGGCAGTGATAAGATGACTAGTAGGATTTCTCCCAGGGCGACGCAGGCAGTGATAAGATGACTAGTGGGATTTCTCCCAGGGCGACACAGGCAGTGATAAGATGACTAGTAGGATTTCTCCAAGGGCGACACAGGCAGTGATAAGATCAACAGTTAATGTTTTTGGTTTCAGGGCGACTACAACATTGTGATCAACGACTACGAGAAGGCTAAATCTCTGTTTGCAGACACTGAAGTTGGTGTGTTTAAGAAAGGTAAGGTTCCTATTCTGTATCAATTGTGTGTCACATTTGGGCTAGAATTGGTTCTGTAAATAGATGTGCTGTTATACAAAACCCTGACAGTTGTAAAACTTTCCACCTTAAGATTTTGGTAAAAGTGCAAAAAACATTTTTGGTAAGATGTTTGATTTCTGAAAAAGACATATGACCAGATTTGGAGCATTGAGAGTTCCTTGTTACTTATACAGTCAACTTGGTCATACTGAGAGCTGTTCTATGTTCTACAGTGTACACCGAGTCTGTTCTATGTTCTGCAGTGTACACCGAGTCTGTTCTATGTTCTGCAGTGTACACCGAGTCTGTTCTGCAGTGTACACCGAGTCTGTTCTATGTTCTACAGTGTACACCGAGTCTGTTCTATGTTCTGCAGTGTACACCGAGTCTGTTCTATGTTCTTCAGTGTACACCGAGTCTGTTCTATGTTCTGCAGTGTACACCTAGTCTGTGCTATGTTCTGCAGTGTACACCGAGTCTGTTCTGCAGTGTACACCGAGTCTGTTCTATGTTCTGCAGTGTACACCAAGTCTGTTCTGCAGTGTACACCTAGTCTGTTCTATGTTCTGCAGTGTACATCGAGTCTGTTCTGCAGTGTACACCGAGTCTGTTCAATGTTCTGCAGTGTACACCGAGTCTGTTCTATGTTCTGCAGTGTACACCTAGTCTGTTCTATGTTCTGCAGTGTACACCGAGTCTGTTCTATGTTCTGCAGTGTACACCGAGTCTGTTCTATGTTCTGCAGTGTACACCTAGTCTGTGCTATGTTCTGCAGTGTACACCGAGTCTGTTCTATGTTCTGCAGTGTACACCGAGTCTGTTCTGCAGTGTACACCGAGTCTGTGCTATGTTCTGCAGTGTACACCAAGTCTGTTCTGCAGTGTACACCGAGTCTGTTCTATGTTCTGCAGTGAACACTGAGTCTGTTCTATGTTCTGCAGTGTACACCGAGTCTGTTCTATGTTCTGCAGAGTACACCGAGTCTGTTCTATGTTGTGCAGTGTACACCGAGTCTGTTCTATGTTCTGCAGTGTACACCGAGTCTGTTCTATGTTCTACAGTGTATACCTAGTCTGTTCTATGTTCTGCAGTGTACACCGAGTCTGTTCTATGTTCTGCAGTGTACACTGAGTCTGTTCTATGTTCTGCAGTGTACACCGAGTCTGTTCTATGTTCTGCAGTGTACACTGAGTCTGTTCTATGTTCTGCAGTGTACACCAAGTCTGTTTTATGTTCTGCAGTGTACACCAAGTCTGTTCTATGTTCTACAGTGTACACCGAGTCTGTTCTATGTTCTACAGTGTACACTGAGTCTGTTCTATGTTCTGCAGTGTACACCGAGTCTGTTCTATGTTCTGCAGTGTACCAGCAGGTGGAGAAGAGGATCAGTGATTTCCGAATGATGCTGCACAACAAGCTGCTGGAGCCGACCATCAGCCTGGAGGAGCAGAAGAAACTCATCAGGTCAGCCCATACATCCTCCCACACCTGGAGTAGCTCATGGTTGGGATGGGTGTTGGAGATGGATGTTTGAGAGGTGGGGGAGGGGGTGGAATAGTCTGTCCTCTCACCAGATGATTGTCTCTGTGGGTATTTAGGGGAATAGTTTGTCCCCTAACCTCATGCTTGTCTCTCCGTGGGGATTCAGGTATAGTAGATCCCCTTAAGTGATGCTTGTCTCTCTGTGGGGATTCAGGTATAGTAGATCCCCTTAAGTGATGCTTGTCTCTCTGGGGATTCAGGTATAGTAGATCCCCTTATGTGATGCTTGTTGCTCTGTGGGTATTTAGGGTAATAGTCTGTTTCCTAAAATCATGCTTATCTCTCTGTGGGGATTCAGGTATAGTAGGTCCCCCTACATGATGCTTGTCTCTCTGTGGGTATGTAGGGGAATAGTCTGTCCCCTTACCTCAAGCCTGTCCCAGTGCCTTTATGTTAAGCATACTGAATCTTCATACATTTGGAAAGGTGATTGGGCATACTAAATGAGAACATATTACAACAGTTTGACAAAACTATTTACTGAATACAAATTGCCAAATTACAAGATGTACCCCAACTTTTCCAAAAAGATGTATCCATGCTTGAGCATGTGTGCCAGTGACAAGTACCCTATAGTGCAAGGACTGCCTGGTGTGTGTATTACTTGCGAGAGCTTGTTTGTGTGGACTAAGATTGTTGGAGAGAAGGGTGTTGTAATGTGGTGGATAGCTACTTATGCAGAACCTATACTACCACAGATACCTGATCAGCCTAGAGTATAATGGAGACCCGGCCTGGGAGTGTCTGATGAAGCAGCAGAAATGGTTGATCGGACTGCTGCATGAGTGTAAGGAGGACCACCTAGAGGCAGGTAGGTACCACACTACTATAAGCCTGTCCTTGTATCTAAGGACCGCCTCCGTGGTCTTGTGGTAGAGCGGAAGGTCTGGGGTCCGGGGTTCGATTCCCGGCCGGGCCATACCAAAAGACGTTATAATATGGTACTTGTTGGTACCCTGTCTGGCGCTCGGCATTAAGGGGCTAAAACAAGGACTGGTCGGCTCGGAGTCAGTATACTGTGTCTGAGTGGGGTATTCATGTTAAACTGCGGCATGGTATCTCAGTGAGCTAGCACTATAAATCGGCATCAGTCCGGAATAGTACAAGCAGCAACACACACACACGTGCATGCACGTCGCTATATAAGTGCAATAATCTTGGACGCGACGTTAAACCCAATTTCACCTCACCTCACCTTGTATCTAAATACTGGGGCCACACTGGTATAAGCCTGTCCTTGTGTCTGTATACTGGGACCCGATGGTATAAGCCTGTCCTTGTATCTGTATACTGGGGCCACACTGATATAAGCCTGTCCTTGTATCTAAATACTGGGGCCATACTGCTATAAGCCTGTCCTTGTATCTAAATACTGGGGCCATACTGCTATAAGCCTGTCCTTGTATCTGTATACTGGGGCCACACTGGTATAAGCCTGTCCTTGTATCTGAATACTGGGGCCATACTGCTATAAGCCTGTCCTTGTATCTAAATACTGGGGCCATACTGCTATAAGCCTGTCCTTGTATCTAAATACTGGGGCCACACTGGTATAAGCCTGTCCTTGTATCTGTATACTGGGGCCATACTGGTATTAGCCTGTCCTTGTATCTAAATACTGGGGCCATACTGGTATTAGCCTGTCCTTGTATCTAAATACTGGGGCCACACTGGTATAAGCCTGTCCTTGTATCTAAATACTGGGGCCACACTGGTATTAGCCTGTCCTTGTATCTAAATACTGGGGCCACACTGGTATAAGCCTGTCCTTGTATCTGTATACTGGGGCCATACTGGTATTAGCCTGTCCTTGTATCTAAATACTGGGGCCATACTGGTATTAGCCTGTCCTTGTATCTGTAAACTGGGGCCACACTGGTATTAGCCTGTCCTTATATCTGAATACTGGGGCCACACTGGTATAAGCCTGTCCTTGTATCTAAATACTGGGGCCACACTGGTATAAGCCTGTCCTTGTATCTAAATACTGGGGCCATACTGCTATAAGCCTGTCCTTGTATCTAAATACTGGGGCCATACTGCTATAAGCCTGTCCTTGTATCTAAATACTGGGGCCACACTGGTATAAGCCTGTCCTTGTATCTGTATACTGGGGCCATACTGGTATTAGCCTGTCCTTGTATCTAAATACTGGGGCCACACTGGTATTAGCCTGTCCTTGTATCTAAATACTGGGGCCACACTGGTATAAGCCTGTCCTTGTATCTGAATACTGGGGCCACACTGGTATTAGCCTGTCCTTGTATCTGTAAACTGGGGCCACACTGGTATAAGCCTGTCCTTATATCTGAATACTGGGGCCACACTGGTATAAGCCTGTCCTTGTATCTAAATACTGGGGCCACACTGGTATTAGCCTGTCCTTGTATCTAAATACTGGGGCCACACTGGTATAAGCCTGTCCTTGTATCTGTATACTGGGGCCATACTGGTATTAGCCTGTCCTTGTATCTAAATACTGGGGCCATACTGGTATTAGCCTGTCCTTGTATCTAAATACTGGGGCCACACTGGTATAAGCCTGTCCTTGTATCTGAATACTGGGGCCACACTGGTATTAGCCTGTCCTTGTATCTGTAAACTGGGGCCACACTGGTATAAGCCTGTCCTTATATCTGAATACTGGGGCCACACTGGTATAAGCCTGTCCTTGTATCTAAATACTGGGGCCACACTGGTATAAGCCTGTCCTTGTATCTGTATACTGGGGCCACACTGGTATAAGCCTGTCTTTGTATCTAAATACTGGGGCCATACTGCTATAAGCCTGTCCTTGTATCTAAATACTGGGGCCATACTGCTATAAGCCTGTCCTTGTATCTAAATACTGGGGCCACACTGGTATAAGCCTGTCCTTGTATCTGTATACTGGGGCCATACTGGTATTAGCCTGTCCTTGTATCTAAATACTGGGGCCATACTGGTATTAGCCTGTCCTTGTATCTGTAAACTGGGGCCACACTGGTATTAGCCTGTCCTTATATCTGAATACTGGGGCCACACTGGTATTAGCCTGTCCTTGTATCTGAATACTGGGGCCACACTGGTATAAGCCTGTCCTTGTATCTAAATACTGGGGCCATACTGGTATAAGCCTGTCCTTGTATCTAAATACTGGGGCCACACTGGTATAAGCCTGTCCTTGTATCTGAATACTGGGGCCACACTGGTATAAGCCTGTCCTTGTATCTGTAAACTGGGGCCACACTGGTATAAGCCTGTCCTTGTATCTAAATACTGGGGCCACACTGGTATAAGCCTGTCCTTGTATCTAAATACTGGGGCCACACTGGTATTAGCCTGTCCTTGTATCTGTAAACTGGGGCCACACTGGTATAAATGTATCTAAATACTGGGGCCACACTGGTATAAGCCTGTCCTTGTATCTAAATACTGGGGCCTGACATAAGCCTGTTATTTTTCAGCTTCAGTGACTGTTTCATTGAATTTGACTCGGGTGCTTCTGAGTTAGAATATGTCCCCAACAACTTATGCTGGACATAAGAGGCAACCGGATAGATCGGGTGGTCAGACACAGTGATTTGGATGATTGTGTGTCATCGTATCCCGACGACGTTGCTCACAACATCGTTCAATGGATTGTCTGGTCCAAGCTTGATTTTGTATTGTCGGAATATTGTGGGCATTAACCAAAAATAAACCAAAGCAAGATATTTAAATAAATTTGCTGAATTGTTTTGCTGTGATTTTCAATAAGAATCTGAAATCATTGGCAGAATAATGTTCACCTTGTCTACAGAAATTATTCTTTTTTGTTCATAGGATATCACATACTCATTACAGGAAGCACTAAAAACGTGAAATTGTGGGATTGATTTTTGATATCACATTTCAATTATTTTAACCTTGAATGTAATGAGTTTTTTTTACCTAATAGCCACCCATCCTGCAACAGATTTTTATCATCTGATTAACTGACGTATAGTGAAGGTGTTGACAGTTAGTTAGAAGTTAACCTGAACATCCAGACCAAGATGAATGCTAAACATTGGCTATGGCAAGCAAAGTGGTGTGGAGATATCTGTATTTGTATCCTTCAGACAAGGCCTCTGACTGGGACATGGACATGGCATCTGGCAGACTGCGAGTTCCTCTCGGTACATCCAACTTCAAGTCCAGTAAGTTATGAGATGCCTACTACCCAGCTATTGCTACTCAGTTAATGACGGTACGATGCAGCATATTCACTGGGTATCAGGGAAATGTTAGGCACTCGACCACTCACCCAAACATTCTGCCCAACGTTAACGATGTATGGCAAGTAGCTATTTTCCTGTTTGAAACAGGGTGAGTTAACTGTCACCATTTGTTTGAATGCTTTGTAATACAAGTCATTTTCCCAGAAGTGTTTGAATAATAAAGTGATGGACTCACAAGGAGATAAGAATCGTGTGTACTCAGATTTGTGTTTTTTTCAGTTTTGATGCCCAGTACCGGTAATTTGTTTTGGAACTGATAGCGTTAGTTAGAGGTTTCAAAGGTTAAACTTTCTGGACATCAAATTCTCAATAAAACCTATAAATCTGAAATATTTATCATCACTGTAAATTTAAGAAGTTATCAGTCATATTCTGAAGCACACTCTTTCAATGGAAACTGTAACGTTGTGAGACGGACATAACATCACTCTGGAATGCTATGACATCACCATGGAATGTGATGACATCACCATGGAATGCTATGACATCACCATGGAATGTGATGACATCACCATGGAATGCTATGACATCACCATGGAATGCTATGACATCACCATGGAATGTGATGACATCACCATGGAATGCTATGACATCACCATGGAATGCTATGACATCATGATACAGTGGATGAGAATACATGCTTCCGTGACAACTGAACTCTGCTGACTAGCAGAATATGAGAAAAACCCAACTAAATTGAAGTAGTTCTGATAAATACTGATCCAACTTATTATTTGATTACCAGTAATGTGATATTCATTTTGCCAAGCTGAATGGCATGTTTTCTGATATGGGATTGAGAAATAGGTTATTTGTCCAGAAATGTATTCATAAACAGAGGAAAGTGCGAAAGATGTCCAGGCTTTGAATCCCATTTAATGACAGTTTCAACCAATCAGGTTGCAGCACACACGTCCCTTCATTTCACGCTAAAATCTATGCTGTCCGATGTGCAGATGCATCCTCCATTGTCCACGGTAGCATATCTCCATTCTTTGATGATACATGACCTGGACCCATCTCTCTTATCACAGAATTTCTTTTGCTCTTAAGTTTGAAATCAACAGCCAAACAAATGGACTCTTCTGAAAGCAGACTGCCACCATGGTCTAGTGGTAGAGCAGACAGTCTGGGAATCAATCCCCGGAGGTGTTGTTACCCTGTCTGGTGCTCGGATTAAGGGGATAAAACAGGAACTGGTCTACTCGGCTTAGTATCTGATCTCAGTGGACTAGCACTACAAAATCAGCATTAGTCCGGACTAGTACAAGCAGCTACAGACACACGTGCATGCAAGTCGCTATATCAGTGCAATTATCTTGAACACGTTGTTAGACCCCATTTCACCTCACCCACCTCTGAAAGCAGTTTATCTGCATTCATAATTGAGGTCTCGTATTTTTAATCGAATCAGAAGACTGTTAGCTGGAAGAGATAATTTTAAAGTAACAATAAAGTTTAGGAAAGTTTTTATGCTGTAAGATGTTGCCAGTTGTATTTGAGATGGTATGCCCCCAGTGAAGATCTGATTAGAATTGGTCTTGGGTGGTCAGACTCCCTTTTTGGTTGATGCATGTCATCATATCCCAGTTGCGTATATTGATACTCAAAATAATCAATCACCGGATTGTGGTTTCCGGATTCAATTATTTACAGACCGCCATCATTTAGCTGGAATATTGTTCAGTGCAGCGTTAAACAACAAAACAACAAACAAACAAATGAGATTGCATACCAGGTCCACTACTGGATATAAAACTTCTTGTTTCCAAAATGAACAAACACTAATATGATTGAATGGCTATTTGGCAAAGTGTCCATCGAATCGGGCTCAAAATTGGTATGAATGGGTCAAAAGTATAAGAACATAGAATTTGGAGATAAGATTGCCGAGGATGCTATGTTGATGTGATGATCTGTGATGATGTGTTGCAGGCGTGTCCAGGGAATCGAGTTTCACTTCCTCGTCTGATCAACCAGGTAAGGCTTGTGTCAAAAGTTAAATTAGGTAAAATTGATTTAGTTTTAATTTTGAACACACAAATATTTCAAACTTTTCATATAGAATCATAGCATTATCGTGCTATCCATCCATCCATCCATCCATCCATCCATCCATCTCAGACTTGAGGCAGGATAAGCCACATAGATTTTGATAGGCTAAGTTACATGATGAAACTGATGCATGGCTGTTACAGTGAGCACAAGCCTGATGTGTGTTATGGTTGATAAAGTCCTGATGTATTACGTCTAGGGGTGTAACACTGAACAAACCACTGATGCTTTGTAGCTGTTTGTGGTCAAATACTAATATACATCAGTATATTACCAATACAATCAGTACAAGTGTGAATAAATCTACAATTGTTGCAACAGTATGGTGATAGTACAAGTGTTGCAACAATATGGTGATAGTACAATTGTTGCAACAATATGGTGATGGTACAATTGTTGCAACAGTATGGTGATAGTACAATTGTTGCAACAATATGGTGATAGTACAAGTGTTGCAACAATATGGTGATGGTACAATTGTTGCAACAGTATGGTGATAGTACAAGTGTTGCAACAATATGGTGATGGTACAATTGTTGCAACAGTATGGTGATAGTACAAGTGTTGCAACAATATGGTGATGGTACAATTGTTGCAACAGTATGGTGATAGTACAATTGTTGCAACAGTATGGTGATGGTACAATTGTTGCAACAGTATGGTGATAATACAATTGTTGCAACAGTATGGTGATAGTGCAATTGTTGCAACAGTATGGTGATGGTACAATTGTTGCAACAGTATGGTGATAATACAATTGTTGCAACAATATGGTGATGGTGCAATTGTTGCAACAGTATGGTGATAGTACAATTGTTGCAACAGTATGGTGATAGTACAATTGTTGCAACAGTATGGTGATAGTACAATTGTTGCAACAGTATGGTGATAGTACAAGTGTTGCAACAATATGGTGATAGTACAAGTGTTGCAACAGTATGGTGATGGTACAATTGTTGCAACAGTATGGTGATTGTGCAATTGTTGCAACAGTATGGTGATAGTACAATTGTTGCAACAGTATGGTGATAGTACAATTGTTGCAACAGTATGGTGATAGTACAATTGTTGCAACAGTATGGTGATAGTGCAATTGTTGCAACAGTATGGTGATGGTACAATTGTTGCAACAGTATGGTGATGGTACAATTGTTGCAACAGTATGGTGATAATACAATTGTTGCAACAATATGGTGATGGTGCAATTGTTGCAACAGTATGGTGATAGTACAATTGTTGCAACAGTATGGTGATGGTACAATTGTTGCAACAGTATGGTGATGGTACAATTGTTGCAACAGTATGGTGATAGTGCAATTGTTGCAACAGTATGGTGATAGTACAAGTGTTGCAACAATATGGTGATGGTACAATTGTTGCAACAGTATGGTGATAGTACAATTGTTGCAACAGTATGGTGATAGTGCAATTGTTGCAACAGTATGGTGATAGTACAATTGTTGCAACAGTATGGTGATGGTACAATTGTTGCAACAGTATGGTGATAATACAATTGTTGCAACAATATGGTGATAGTGCAATTGTTGCAACAGTATGGTGATAGTACAATTGTTGCAACAGTATGGTGATGGTACAATTGTTGCAACAGTATGGTGATGGTACAATTGTTGCAACAGTATGGTGATAGTACAATTGTTGCAACAGTATGGTGATAGTACAATTGTTGCAACAGTATGGTGATAGTGCAATTGTTGCAACAATATGGTGATAGTACAATTGTTGCAACAGTATGGTGATAGTACAATTGTTGCAACAGTATGTTGATAGTGTCATGACCTATCCCACGTAGTTATACAACGTTTTGTCCAGTGTCGACCTCACTGACCATGCTGCCCTTGCCTTTTGTCAGGGGTCAAGTACCGGACCCCCCAGAAAGTGTTGTACATCGAGGACCTCACGGACATCATGATGGACAACTTCCCCGACTTCTGGAAACTGGGACAGGCATACTTCACAGGGGACTTTATGCTGAAACTTGAGGTAGGAATACAACCAACAGATGCAGTTATAGAAGTCCATTGCTTTCATTGTTCCCCATGTTCTACATACAGTCAGGGACCATATACATGTATTCAATCGGCATATGGTCTCTTATACAGTGTACGAAAGTGCTGCTTGTTAGTTTTGTGTATGTTCTGCCCTGTTCTAAGTAGGTTAGTTACATATCACTGCAATATTGCAATGTACCCGGGTAGTCACTGTGTATAACACCATATGTTTTATTAAATGGTACTCTGTGGTAGAGGGCCCCAGGTGGCCTAATCATCATAGGAGCCACAAGTTGTTGTGCAGAGTTGTTGCCCTTAAGCGCTCCAGGATCCTATGATTGAGGTTTCAAATCTGAGATTCCTCTTAGATTACCGGTAGATTTCTAAGTTTGTCAGCACCATTACAATGGGGTTTCATCAAAGTGGTAAGCGTCTAAGATCTACATCACTTCAGGTTTTCTTCCCACATTTTGTTGACATGCTGTGATCTGACTAAAATACTGTTCAAAGAGGCATTAATGAAACTCACTCGTCCGTGGTAGACACTAGAGATAATATAACAAATTGATGGTTATTCTTTGATGATTTTTCTGTTTGATCGAATATTGCCCAGGGTTTCAACCATGTCTTGAAATTGTTCAATGTTAGTAGGACTTTGCAATTGTTCTTGTACAAGTTGAACTTCTCATTACCCGCTGCAGACCCAGTTAGAATAGGTCCCAGTGCTCAGCTCATTGTCATGCTTATCATAGAGACCCCTGAAAATCTGGATTAGAATTGTTCTTCAGCAACCCATGTTTATTGTAAGAGGCGACTAACAGGATCGGATGGTCAGGCTCGCTGACTTGGTTGATGCATGTCATCGTATCCTAATTGTATAGATTGATGCTCACTATGTCAATCACTGGATTGTCTAGTCAGACTTGATATTTGCAGACCTCCATCATACAGCTGAGATATTGCTGAGTGCAGTGTTAAACAACAAACCATCCCCAAACCCTTATCACAAGAGACAACAAAATTGTTAAGGTACTTAGGATCTGAGAGGTGGTAGATTGTATGTCATCGTTACCCAGCAGGGAGGGACTTAACATGCCGCCATCATATTGTTGGAATATTGTCGACTGCAGCAGTAAACAAACAAAATACAATTCTTATCATGCATTATGAATCTATTTCAGAGCTCTGAGAAGGGGTTTAAGATAGATACAAGTAAACATTCAAAATTAAAGGTAAGTTTACAATAAGTATGTTATCTATAAGCACATGTTAATTATTATAGCCAAGCAAATGAGCCAGTGTTAAGGTCAGATGTCATTTGGGCTTAAAAATAAAAGAAAGAATTGGTTCTCAGGCAATGGCTTTTGAATATATAGTGCGGGAGGCAGTGTTGTTTTTGTTTGTTCTAACTAGTGTGTACCCAGATAAACAGATGTGTAACCAAATAAACAGGTGTGTACAGTCGACCTGGGAGAGGGCCTCCCTACATAAATGTATTCCTTGATGAGTAAAATACTGGAATACAGTATTTGACAACAGTTGGAATTTTTTTCTTTTTAAAAAAACCCAAAAAATTGGAAATAAATATGAAACATGTGGCAAACTTTATGATGATCGGACGGTGCTTGAGAAAAAGACTATTATTTTTTTTAGCTTTAAGGCTTTTAATGTGCTGTGATTCTTGTTTTAAGTTGATGACTTTGACAAGTATTGATGAATTTAGACATGTAGGTTTCATACATAATTCACCAGTTAAGCTTGTGGAAAGGATTTTCCTTTGACATTTTACAGATACGAAAAAGGCTAATTACCTGAAATCCATTCAACCTGTCAGTCTGTTGTGTAATGGGGCACAGGTGGCCCAGTCATCTATTGAAGAAACAGATTACAGGTGATGACTTACTGTTTTTGCAGCAAATGATTGCAGAAATTATTGGCTTGTTTGCCAACCTCGTCCGAGCTGCCTTCCTGCCTGGGTCGCTGGAGAATATTGGCAAGACAGAGAGGGAGACATTAGGGGTGTGGTCAGTCACGCCTCTCGGTGTCCCAGGGGCATGGCTGCCCCACAGTGTCAGGCAAATCAGGTAGCCAAGACATTTTATGTATTAATCAATGCCAAGGAAAGTATATTTGTAATAAATGCAGTACCAATGGAACAATATCAGTTTAAAGACATACTTCAGTATTGACATTCTGGATTTTGGTGTTGGTAGATGGTTTCACTGTACCTGTTTCACACTGTGTCCGAGTGTGTTTGACTGTGTCACACTGTGTCCGACTGTGTCACACTGTGTCCAACTGTGTCCGACTGTACCTGTGTCACTCTGAGTCCGACTGTGTCTGACTGTTTACACACTGTACCTGACTGTCACACTGTGTCCGACTGTGTCACACTGTACCTGTGTCACTCTGTATCTGACTGTCACACTGTGTCTGACTGTGTCACACTGTACCTGTGTCATTCTGTGTCCGACTGTGTCACACTGTATCTGACTGTCACACTGTGTCCAACTGTGTCTGTGTCACACTATCGTCATGATATGGCTGAAATATTGCCGATGTGACGTAAAGCATAAACTCACTCACTCACTGTGTCCCACTGTATCTGACTGTCACACGATGTCTAACTGTGTCCCACTGTATCTGACTGTGACACACTGTATCTGACTGTGTCACACTGTATCTGACTGTGTCACACTGTGTCTGACTGTGTCTGTGTCACACTATCGTCATGATTATGATATGGCTGAAATATTGCCTATCTGACGTAAAGCATAAACTCACTCACTGTGTCCCACTGTATCTGACTGTCACACGGTGTCTAACTGTGTCCCACTGTATCTGACTGTGACACACTGTATCTGACTGTGTCACACTGTATCTGACTGTGTCACATGGTATCTGACTGTTTCACTGTCTGTTTCAGATCCTGTGCATCATCTCTCTCAAACCTGGACACACTCGGCAACTCGATGAACTCACTACAGGAACTGGCCTTTGACCTCCGCACCAACTGCATGTTCACCCTCCTTAAACAGGCGATATCAGGTGTGTGTGTATGTTTGTGTGTGGGTCTGTGTCTGTGTCTGTGTCTCTGTGTTAAGTGTGTCAGGATTAACCCGGAAGGAAGGGACTCGTTTATCATCCACATTTTCTGATGGTGTTTACTAGTTGTGGACAAAGCCTGACTAATGTGGATCAGGTAGAAGCAATGTCTGGGAACTGAGCGTTGAGCCCATTCTTGAAGTCCCTAATTTATACCTGTGTCTGCTTCTGTTACATTCTTCTTCATATAGGCTAAATACTGTATGGTACAAGTTATTATTACATGACCTGTGAAGTGTTTCCCACTGTGATGTTGTGGGAATATTGCTAAATGTGGCATATTGTTTGATCCCCCATGGGGATTCCTGGTTAGAATTGGCCCCCAGCAACCTATGCTGGTTGTAAGAGGCGACCAAATGTATTGGGTGGAAAGACTCGGTGTCTTGGCTGATGGCTTATTCCAACAGCGTGGATTGTTGTTCACAATATATATCACTGGATGTTTTGGTCCAGACTTGATTATTTACTGGCCACCGTGATAGGGCTGGAATATTGCTGAGTGCAGAGTTAGACAACTACCAAACAACCAAACATGTACCGGGGTAGATGGGTTTTTTATGCATCCCTTGTTAGGTTTTATACCACCACTCTACAAGGAATTTATCTTACCAACATATTTAATATGACATTATTAAAGAATTAAGCAAATTCAAAATTGATAGAAAACAGCTGTTCGATTAAGCTGAGGTTAAGTTGTGCTATGTCACGTGACTTCCATTGACTTGGAAAAGGCGCGCCGGAGGCTCATGGTATAAAACATAACGAGGGAAGCATAAAACCCCATGTACCCCGAGTGATCCTTCTACAACGAATTTATCTTACCGATATGTTTTAATAGGACATTTTAAAAAAATGAACACAAATTCAAATTTGAGAGACAACAGCTGTTTGATTGAGCTGAGGTCATTTGTGCTATGTCACGTGACTTCCTTTGACTTGGAAAAAGCGTGCAGCTTTTAGCTTTGAAACGGGGTATAAGGGATTTATTCTGCCTCTCAGAAATCCTAATGCAGCCTGACTTGTTTGTGGTGGGGTATAAGGGATTTATTCTCCCGCTGAGAAATTTATTCCCCTCCATGGCGGAATACATAGTATTTTATCAAGATCACGACGATGCGCGTGATTATGTTCATGAACTTCTAGAATGCCACTGAAAGACCTCTCCACCCACATGTTACAGATGTAAAGTTGCTACACACGAAGGAGGTGTGGGCAGTGGACACAGACGATGAGTACGGCGGCACAACCCAATTGGTAAGGAGAAAAACATTTTGTCAGGAGAGTGTATCAAGTTTATTACACATTACCGGTACTAACCCCATGGCTTCAGGGGGCAATATGTCAGCCCTGCATTAGTCATTATCCTGCATCTGATTGTAACCCGGAGCAGCCTTGTTCCATGGCTCTTAGTGATAGGTGGGGAGGTGGGGTAGCCTAGTGGTTAAAGTGTTTCTCTTGTCACACTGAAGGCCTGGGTTTGATTCCCCACAATGGTACACTAATGGTACATGTCTGGTGAACCCAGCTGTGATACTGCTGGAATATTGTTAAAAGCGGCCTAAGTCCAAACTCTGTCACTTAGTGATGTGTTTAAGCCTATGTTAAGGAAGGACAACTCTAACATCAGTAGCACTGAGGGGATTGGTGGATTGACAGATGTGTGATTGTCACAGTGTTGAAGCACATAAATACAGTACAGTAGAACATGGATATAACAAACTACAAGGGACCGCAGAAATCAGTTTGTTATATACGTTGTTCGTTATATACGTTTTCGCTCGGAAACATCCGCCATCTTGGCTAAAACGAAATAAATACACATACACATTTATACACGTTTTCTCCCGCATCTACCGGTGATTCAGTTAAATAGTACCAAAATTTAAATGCAATGGTAGGAAGAAATTGTATCTGAAGTTATTATTTTATCAGAATAATATATTCCAGTATCAATGAAATTAATGTACACATTATTGAATGAAGTTTGTTTGTTTTACAGAACTTATTAGTCCAATTACATGGACAATTAAATTAACATAATGCAAGTTTAACAAGGTTGAATCGTCACCAGTGATTGTGTTGATTCACCGCGATTGTGTTGATTCGCGTCTGATTGCGTACAGCCAATTGTCAGTGACACTTGACACTGAGTGAGATTTCTCAGTTCGCTATACACGTCACGAATTAGTGGTAGATGGGCTTGTTGGGGATCAGATATAAGTTCGCTATATCTGCCAGTTCGCTGTAGAGAGTTCATATTGTACGTAAATTTTATATGATAATATATAGGAGATAAATCGGGGATGTTTTAACAGTTCATTGTATCCGTTTGTTCGCTCTATCTGTGTTCTACTGTACTTGGACTGTTGTTCATACACTATATGTAAATCTCATAACAGGAGCCTGATGCTTTGACTATTCTGTTATACTGTGTGTAACTATTTCAACACAAATATTGTCCATATCTGTATCAGTTAACATGAAATATTTTATGAGTTGAAATGAATCGGTCTATTTTTCAAAGGGACACAGATTAGTACCAGGTGTGCAATGTTTGTTTCAGCCTGCGTTGTTTGAGAACATTGTGAATGAGGCGGTGCAGCATCTACACGAGGTGGTCGTTCTCAACAAGCCGGGGGAGCCAGAGGTAGGCATGTCTAGCCATGCAGGGGATAAGTACATCACATACAGCCTTTCTGTTACGGTTTTAGACAAGTTGAGCCGAGCAACTCAAAACAGAAATGATTAAGATTTATTTGCCTTGGCCCCATTCCACAAAGTGATCTTACAGCTAAGGTGATCGTAACTCCCATACTTCATCATAGGCTTACGATCAACGTACCACTAAGATCACTTTGTGGAACGGGGCCCTGATCTTTTTCATTAGCAAAAGATTTGTAAACCATAAAGTGTGACCTAATACTTCCTGGGAGTACCAAGAAGATGGTGGGTGAGATGTTGGAAAGTAGGGATGCAGTCCATTTTGTATATGAACCGGGTCTTAAGGTGAAGGTTACACTTTCTCCCTCACTTGGTGGGGTAATGCCTGGTGTTGGTGTTGTAGATATTCAGTCAGCGGCCAATCCAGAAGGAAGCAACCTCCCTGTGCACTCAGCTGCTGCAGGCCTTCTCCCAGTGTATGGAGCAGCTCGCATTCAGCCCCCCACTGCACAAGATGGAGACTCACAGGTGGGTCTTAGTGGAGAGTGCAAATGTCAGTCAGTGTCTCATCATTGTGGACTCACACGTTAGACCTAGTGATGGTGGAGGGGTCAAATGTAAGTCATTGTCTCAACATCGTGTGAGTGTGAGTCACAATGATGGTGGAGAGTGCAAACGTTAGTCAGCATCTCAACATCGTGAATACACACACAAGTCCTAGTGATGGTGGAGAGCTTCAATGTGAGTCAGTGTCTCAACATCGTGGACACGCACGTGTGTCCTAGTGATGGTGGAGAGATTTAAGGAGTCAACGAAAACATGTGAGTCGTTGTCACATTCCCTCATAACGCTCCTGGTTAGCATTGGTCTTCATGCTTCTCATAACAGATTAAAGGGATCAGGTGGAGAGACTCGCTGATTTGGATGATGGATGTCATTATATCCCAACCGAGTAGATCATTACTCATGGTGTCAGTCACTGGATTGTCTGGTCCAGACTCAAATATTTAAGGCTGCTGTCATATAGCTGGAGTTTTGCTGAGTGAGGCATTTCACAACAAACAAACAAACACACAAACATACACAACTTTGCTGCAGTCATGTTTGACAATGACAGTGTGTTCTTATCCAACAGTGTTACATCGATGAGGAATGCGACTGGCCTGGACTTGATGATGGACCAGTTTGAAGATCCAATCCCATCATTAGTGAGTGGATTCCTTCTGACAGTGTCAAATTGATGTAATCCTTTCCAATATATATCCCAGATGATAATAACATTTCCAAATTAAAAATTACTTATTTAGACTCATACTGATCATACTGCTAAGTAGAAAAATATTCAAATGTTTCTAACAAGATCACCTGAAGACAAGCAAGCAATGTGAAAGTCAGCTTATATTTGTTAGTCACATCCCAGTGGTTATAAGTAGCCAAAATGAAACCCAAGAAAGTGTTTGCTATCAAAGTCATAGTGGAGGTGACCTGTGAAGATCCGGGTAGAAATTGGTCTTCAGCAACCCATGCTTGTCCTAAGAGGTGACTAATGAGATTGGGTGGTCATCATATCAATTGTGTAGATTGATGCTCATGGATCAATCAAGGTATAGTCTGGTCCAGACTTGATTATTTACAGACTGCTGTCACAGAGCTGGAATATTGCTGAGACCGGCATTAAAGAAACAAAAAACATAATGAAGGCAAAGTATCTTACCTGACACAATTTGGCCATACTGTCTGTGTACCGGTACTACATTTAATACTACATACTACATTTAATACTACACCAGCGAGACTGTCTATGGTCTCCAGCTAGGAATGTTTGTGCTCACCTTTCTGCTGAATATCGTATTCAGTTATCAGTGTTCCATAATGTGTATATGGTATGAGTAAGCAATTTATCGTATTTCAACACTCTTTAAATGTTTGTGTTTTGTATCCTAGAAATGTTAAAGGTTCCTACAACTGGTTGTAAACCATTGCTTCTTTAAAAAAAGGTTAACTTCAAGCCCAATGCAACCTGATTTGTTTAGTGTTTTAGTTTAACACAGGGTGTTATCAACAGTGAGATGGTGTTTAAGTGAAATACCAGCTGTTGGTGGCAGTGCGAGAGTCTGTTATGGAATCGTGTTGCAGGACAAGCGCCTGGTGATCATGCTGAGCAACTGCATCCACACCTGTGAGCGGGTCATTCCCCGGATCACCGAGAACCTCAACAAGCATGGCTATGTGGAAATGGAGAAGGCCTCGAAGGTAGGATGGCTGGCTTGATACACTCCTGGTGAACATACATGCAATGATGCATCAGTGTCAACACCTAGATCGGGATGTATGTGCAGGCAGGGTATATGTACTTATGATAGGGTTAATCAGATATGCAGACAAAAGTATCCAACGAAAATGTGAGCAGCATACTGTACATATATGCGATACTGTTGCAGTGCACTCTCTTCCCTCAAAGATGACCGCTGGTCGAGTGATGAAGCATCTGCCCTAAGGCTGGGGTTCGATCCCTGGCCGCGTCATACCAAAGGATGTCAAAAGATAGTATTTGTTGTTACCATGCCTGATGCTTGGCATTAAGGGGCCAACACAAGGACTGGTTGCCTTGGAGTCAGTATACTGTGTCTCAGTTGGATATTCATGTTAAACTGCAGCATGGTGTTTCAGTGAGCTAGCACTATTAATGTACTCCGGACTAATACAAGCAGCCACACACACACGTTCATGCACTTCACTATTTAAGTGCAATAATATTGAATGCAATGTTAAACCCCGTTTCACCTAATCTCACCTCCCTGCAAAGATTCATCGCAGGTTTTGTCATTGATTCTGTGTTTTGTTGACTACTTGTTTATCTGTTGCAGACCTGAGCACAGTTGTTGGTACTTGTGTTATAATAACAAGGATTCTCTTTCAGATTAAATCCTCCTTGGGGCACTTATTGCATTTTCCTGGCTCAAGAAAATCTACATGACATAGTTGTAACCATCTTCCTTAATAAAAATTGTTACCAAACAAAAAACTTTGTTTTTGTATGATATACGTCCACCCTTATGGTGCCTCACCCTCCACGGCGCGTCACGCCAAGGGAAGCAACTCTCACCCAAATCACTTTCCTTATGTCATCTGACAAAGACAGACGTGCTGTTTTTTTCAAGACAATATAAAGACAAGATAATCGTTCGTACAAGAACCATGGCAGACCAAACTGTATGTATGGTACATTTCTTTCATGCAAAGGCGTAATACCTCGCATTGTAAAGTTATAAAGTTGTAATTATGTGACACGTGTACGATACCTTTGAAATAAGGCCGTCGTAGCGTCCATTTTGTAGTGCCACGTATGATATATGTAACACCAGGGCCATCAAAAACGGCTTCGGTTTTTTAATCTATATCATCGGGCTTTAGCCTACAATCTTTTCCTTTAAATAAACCCAAGGTGGTGTGTTAATTAATTTAAATTACACTTACCTTTTTTACGGGTTTTCTACACCTTCGCGCGTAACACGCCCACTTTGGTGTTATAATTATACTACGACATTGGCTATTAGTATCGCGTTACCAATCTCATTCTAAATTACGCCTTTGCTTCTAGTTACACAATTTATGCACGTATCTTTCCGATCTTTCAATCGCACTGATACACTTTATTACCCTTCCCGCCAAACTCAAAAATTACGGTCTTTTTTACAGACCTTCAAATTGTGTACGGGGTGCTCGGCTTCGATTCCCCCCCAAGACAGGCATGATACCTGCATAAAGTGTTTGGCCGAAGACGGGCATGACGATGGGTCATGCCCGATCTGTGTTGCATTCACACCACGGGCGCAGAAAAAGAGAAATGTGGACCTCTTACACTTTAAGGGTCTATTGAAGGCGGGGGTGGACATTAGATCGGCAAAGACCGCCCCGCCCCCCTCAAAAAAAGTAAGAAAGGGTAAAAAGGCAGCTGAGACTGTCTCCTCCGCTCCCTCCCCGGGGGCCGGGGGAGAAGGCTCTAGGGTCCCCGTCACAATCACTGCACCCTCTCCTGCACCGTCTTTGGCAGACATCTCTGCCTTGTTGAGGTCGCAGATGGCGTCGATGATGGAGGAGGTAAAGTCTCAGCTCCGAGAGGAGTTGCGGACCGAGCCTTCCCCGTTGTCGGCGCCGGACGCGGCTTCGAGACCTTGTGATATGCCCGGCGTCGGCCGAGGCAGGCCACTTGGTCTCGGGGACGAACTCAGACCGGGCTTCAGCGCCGGCTCGAGGTCGCTCCCCAGCGGAGGGGTGGCGGGCACTGGCCCGTTCACTACTGACGCACAGTTCTCCCTAGCGGAGCCAGACGCCTCTTCCGAGGCCGAGGCTTCCTCTAGCGGATTTCTAGCCCAGAGCCAGGTGGGTTCCCTTGAACCCCCGGCACCTCGGGACCGGGACTCGGCTTCGGGCCGGGTGCAGCCCGGGGATGCGAAGGCCCAGGCCTTCGGGCGTCCCCTTCCGACTTCGTCTGCCTCTTCTCTCGGGGAAGAGTCGATTAATTTCGGCTCGGAATCGAGAGAGGAGGAGTGGATGGAGGAGGGGGGAGACGACTCGGAGACCTCGGGAATATTTTCCTTCGTTTCCTCGTTGAGGCATGTACGGGACAAGATTGTCCAGGTACTGCCTCAGGTGGCTGCGCCCATGCCCCAGTCGGATCCGACTGAGTTCCGCCTTCCGGGGGACGCTTTTGCTCCGAGCAAGGCGCCCCAGGTGCGGCTCCGTATTCTGTCTTCATTGGTGCATGAAGTCATCAACCCTCTGTTGTCGGGTGCCCGCAGGAAGTTCGACCTGCCCGAACTTATTAAGCGGTACCCGTTAGCAGAGGATGGTGATTTTGAGGTACCGGTGGTGGACGAATGCGTCTGGACCTCCGTTACCCTGGGGGGGTCTTCGACCCCCAACTTGGCTAAGGTCAAGCAGGGCCGGCGGTTGCCACCCTTTCCCGCGTGCGGTACGGAGCTGAAGGCTGCTTACGTTTGCTTCGAGGAGCAATATCGTAACGCATGTCAGCAGCTCCGGGTGTCCGTACACTCCGCTTATCTGTCGGCCGTACAGAGGGAGTTAGCGGGAGAGGGGCCGGCCGACTCTTCGGAGTTGGCCGCGCAACTTACGGAGGTACATAGTCATCTTGCGAGGGACGCTATTCGTAGCTGTGCCTCGCAGATGATGTGCGCAGTCATGGGCATGCGCAGGCTGTGGATGTCGGTATCCAAATACTCGGCTTCCACACGCCAGGATCTACTTGCTTTGCCTTATAAGATGGGTGCCACCCTCTTCCCTGGGGCTCAGCAGGTGGTCCGAGAGGCCGCACAGTTGTATGCCTCCATCAAGGATTCTAAGGCCTTGTTGGAGGTACCATGCGTTAAACCGCGTAAGCGGACCTCTCCACTTGCTTCCTCCTACGCTGACGCGCCGGGTCAGAAGTCTGCACCTGCTTGGAAGCAGCCGCTTCCTTCAGGTAAGGGCGCCGGGAGGAGCAAGAGAGGCAGGGGCCGGGGCAGGGCAGCTGGTCGAGGCCAGCAGCCTTTTCGCGGGGCCGGGAACCCATCGGGTTCCCATTAGCGCCCGAAGCGCCCCGGGAGGACCCACGGTCGCATGTTTTCGAACTGCCGACAGCCGGGGTCTGCTGCCTCAAGCCGGATGTCCCCGTAGGCGGCCGACTGGCTCTATTCCTGCAGGAATGGGAGACAGTCACATCCAATCCCTGGACCCTGTCCACTCTAAGGGATGGCCATTTGCCTCGGTGGAAACATCATCCGCCCCCCTTCTCCGGGATAAAGCACACTCCGGTGCCTGCTACCCTGGAGAGGGCGGAATTCCTCCGTGCCGAGGTCGACGCACTTCTTATGAAGGCTGCGATCGAACCGGTTCCCGTGGGACAGGAAAGCGAGGGCTTCTACTCGACATATTTCCTAGTCACCAAAAAAGACGGAGGGTTCAGGCCTATTCTCAATTTGAGAAGGCTGAACAAACTTATAGAGGTACCGTCCTTCAGGATGGAGACACTGCGCTCGGTGATCTCAGCTGTCGAGACCGGAGAATGGCTAACGTCAATAGACCTAAAAGACGCCTATCTCCACGTACCCATACACCCCGAGTTCAAGAAATACCTCAGGTTTTCTTTCGACGGGAGGTGTTATCAGTTCAGGGTTCTACCATTCGGGATCGCTACAGCCCCGAGGGTGTTCACCAAGCTGATGTTGATTCCCGCCCAAGTGGCCAGGTCAAAAGGTCGGTTCTGCCATCCGTACCTCGACGACTGGTTACTAAGAGCTCTATCGCAATCCCTGAGTCAGATAGCTACACAACAAGTGATAGATATTCTGATCACTCTAGGGTGGATAGTCAATCTCAAGAAGTCAGATCTGAGCCCTACTCAGAATCTAGTCTTCCTAGGGGCGAATTTCAACACGGTGAGCGGACTTGTATCTCTGTCACAAGATCGCATTACCAAGGTCAGAAGTGTTACTTCCCAGTTCCTTCTGTCCGCCAGTCACACTGCTCGTACATGGCTCCAGTTACTGGGCAACATGGCGGCGACAGTGGATGTGGTTTGGCGGGCGCGCTTGAGAATGAGACCCATTCAACAAGCGCTCCGTCGACTTTGGGTGAACTCGGAAGATCTCGAGACTGTTCTCGAGACTCCGCAGTGGCTCAATGCACACCTTCAGTGGTGGACCGAGGTCGGGAATCTGTCCCGGGGGCTCCCCCTCGACACTCCCGTGCCATCTCTCACAGTTCAAACAGACGCGTCACTCTCCGGCTGGGGAGGCGTTCTGAACGATCACACTGCCTCGGGACTATGGTCCCAGCAGGAGATCAAACTGCATATCAATGTGCTAGAACTGAGAGCGGTCAGGTTGGTGTTCCAACGCTTCCTGGATCTGCTTCGTGGCCAAGTGGTGCGTCTAGAGATGGACAACCAAACGGCGATGACTTACATCCGGAAGCAGGGGGGAACGGTGTCTCCGTCGCTTCTCCAAGAGACGTGGCAGTTCCTCCTATGGTGCGACTCACACGTTATCAGGGTGCTACCTGTTTATCTCCCGGGGGTAGACAACGTCCGTGCGGACGCTCTGTCTCGCCGGATCCTCGCTCCTCACGAGTGGAGGCTCGACCCGGGGATATTCGGGATTATCTCCCAGTTATACGGGTCGTTCCAGGTGGATCTGTTTGCGTCTGGGGTGAATCACCAGACACCAACGTTCTGCTCCCGAGTCCCCGACCCGAGGTCGGTGGCACCGGACGCCTTCCAGCTAGATTGGACGGACAGAATACTGTGGGCATGCCCCCAAGTACCTCTGATTTCCAAGGTCCTGTCTCAGCTAGCCACTCAGCCTGCGCGACTACTTGTGCTCCTGGCACCCCTTTGGTCGGCGCAGAGTTGGTTTCCAGTCATACTCAGGTTTCTGGCTCAGCCTCCTGTTCTATTACCTTTACGACCGGACCTCCTATCCCAGAACGAGGCCCTCCACCCGAATCCCAGGATTCAGTGGGTGGCTTGGCCACTGTCCGGAATCGCCTCCAGGAGAGCGGTATTCCTGCACGAGTTGCAGACACAATACTGGCTTCACGGAGGGATTCGACAAACGTTCAGTACGAGGATAGATGGGCCTGCTATGCGCGCTGGTGTGTCGATAGAAGGATTGCAGATCCCTTTTCTGCAGATCTCGTAGCCGTACTTGAGTTCCTCCAGTCGCGACTAGATGTCGGCCTGGCCGCATCGACAGTCCGGGGGTACTCTACAGCTATCGCTGCCTTTCACGTCCCCGTCGACGGGGCACTTTTGGGTGCGCACCCATTAGTGCAGCGTTTTTTAGCAGGTGTGGACAGGATCCGACCGCCTGTCCGGCGGATCAGTCCCCCTTGGGAATTGTCAATCGTTCTTGATTGGCTGTCCGGTCCTTCTTTTCGGGATCTGTCGTCTCTCTCTCTTCAGCTGTTGAGCTGGAAGACGGCGTTCCTTGTGGCGGTAACGTCCGGCAGACAGGTAGGCGACATTCACGCAATGTCAGCCGATCCCGAACTAACTGTCTTTCACCGGGACAGGGTCAGTATTCGCCTGCCGGACTCTTACCGTCCTAAGGTCGCACACGCCTTCCACGTGACGGCTCCTATTGAGCTACCTGCTCTTTCACAGCCTTCCTCGTCGGGGACCACTACAAGACATGCTCATGTCTTGGATGTCCGCAGGACCGTTAAGTCCTATATCAGCAGAACTAAGGGTATCCGTAAGGATAATCAACTATTTTGCTGTTATGGCGGTAGGAAGGCTGGCTCACCTGCGAGCAAACAAACTATCTCGCGGTGGATAGTCTCTACTATATGTACGGCGTACACGCTTCAAGGCAGGGACCCCCCTACCAAGTTGAAGGCTCATTCGGTTAGAGCAGTGGCTACGACACAAGCGTATGCTGCGGCTCTGCCCATTGAGGAGATCTGCTCCGCGGCTATTTGGAGCCAGCCGAGCACGTTCATCAAACATTACCAACTCGTCAAACACTCAAGCGAGCGTGCTCGGTTTGGTCAGTCAGTTCTCCGAACTGGGCAAAGTACTACATCTCTAGCCGATTGAGCCTTCGAGATTTTAGACCGCCCGGACCGGTTATAACACTGCTCAGTAACGGTCCGGATTTTATCTTCTACGGTCGATACAATACCAGCCATTACTAGTCGATAATCATCGTAATTGCACATGCGCTCCTTCGATTACGGGGACCCTCTGGCCTAGCTCTGTGCGGGTTTATAGTCTCTCGGGATCTGTGCCCCCAATATCACTTGTTCAAAAACTCAAAAAAAAGTGGGTGGGGTGGGGGGTGTGTGTGTCTCGAGTTCTCGATATGATGAGCCACAAAGAATGGCTCTTTTCATTGTGTATGGTCGATAACGCCCTGTCTCCAGCCCCCGCCTTTCGACGGTGGTGCCTCACGATAAGGTTGGTTCCATTTATTGAACTCTTGTTTATTCATTGAAATAATCAAAATACGATGTATTTTATGCACGCTTGTTGCTGACGGATGCCACTTCCTAGATTATCTTTAGGAGTCTATCTTGATGCAATAAGTGCCCCAAGGAGGATTTAATCTGAAAGAGAATTTTACAAACCTGTAGAGGTTATGAATTCTCTGATGAAATCCTCCTTGGGGCACGGCCACCCGCCTCCCCACATTCCGTCAGCATTAGACATATGGAAAGTGATTTGGGTGAGAGTTGCTTCCCTTGGCGTGACGCGCCGTGGAGGGTGAGGCACCATAAGGGTGGACGTATATCATACAAAAACAAAGTTTTTTGTGTGGTAACAATTTTTATTAAGGAAAATGGTTACAACTATGTCATGTAGATTTTCTTGAGCCAGGAAAATGCAATAAGTGCCCCAAGGAGGATTTCATCAGAGAATTCATAACCTCTACAGGTTTGTAAAAATATATGATCTGATGCTGTGTGTGTGATGTTGCAGGCTGCTCAGGAGACGTATCGCGACCTGGACAGGAAGCTGTTCGAGGCGTACATCGAGCAGAAGTCAGACCCTATAGTTGGAGCTATGGAACCAAACATGTACCGCGGGGGCTTTGAGTGGAAGCATTGGAAAAAACCAACAGGTTTGTCAGTGATATGTAAAGGATATGTTATACATGTGTTTTTGAATTGAACTGGTTGACATACATTACATGTGCATGAGTTACTCTGCACTTTGAAAACCTTGAAGGACTGGTTGCCTTGGAGTCAGTATGCTATGTCTGAGTGAGGATTCAGGGTAAAATAGGTCTTCAGCAACCCATGCTTGTTGCAAGAGGCGACTAACGGGATTGGGTGGTCAGGATCGCTGACTTGGATGATGCATGTCATCGTATCCCAATTGCATGGATCGATGCTCATGATGTCAATCACTGGTTTGCCAGATTATTTACAGACCTCCATCATACAGCTGGAATATTGCTGGGTGCGGCGTTAAACAACAAACCACACCAAAACCAAAACTGTTAAACATATTTTGTTGAAAGAATCTATACAGATCAGTCTAGTGGGAGGCTGGTGCATTTTGATGATATGGGATTTTTAAAAATTGTTGTTTTTTTCCCCTGACAAGTTGGAATTATACTGATAATGAGGGGAGTGCTTGTTTACGGAGCAGAACTGCAAAACCATTGAATATTTCTTGTTGAAACTTGCACTACAGATCAATCTAATGTCAAACTGGTGCCTTTTGATAATTTGGAATTTTTAAAATACTGAACAGCATTATTTTTTTCTTTACTGTATCCAATGGCAATGAACCCAAAGTGGGGTAACCAAACTCCATTTCCGAATTGCCTCAGACCGGAGGGATATGCCATGTGCTGATGACTCTTGATTATTGGGAGTTTTGTTATGTATGTCATTATTTCCGCCCATTTGCAGTGAACCCCACAATATACTCCAATGTGTCCAGATAAGAATAAGTCACTGTATTAATGTGAGCAAGGGGGCGGTCGGGTAGCCTAGTGGTTAAAGCCTTCGCTCGTCACGCCGAAGACCCGGGTACAATGTGTGAAGCCCATTTCTGGTGTCCCCACGCCGTGATATTGCTGGAATATTGCTAAAAGAGGCATAAAACCAAACTCACTCACTCACTCACTCACTGAATGTGAGCAGGTGAGACTTGTTTTTGCATTAATTTCATGATTTACAGTGTAACAGGGGCGGTCGGGTAGTCTAGTGGTAAAGCGTTCGCTCGTCACGCCGAAGACCCGGGTTCGATTCCCGACATGGGTACAATGTGTGAAGCCCATTTCTGGTGTCCCCCGCCGTGATATTGCTGGAATATTGCTAAAAGCAGCGTAAAACCATACTCACTCACTCACTACAGTGTAACATGTTCCAAGTTCCGACAAGTGGAATGCTTATATTGTTTCTGCCAGGTCAACATGTGGCAATGATATATAGAGATTGTCATAGAGGTTCTGTCCGCTGTTCAGGTGTCTGTGATTGTGTTACAGGTGTGAGGCATTACCTGAAGGAAATCCTAATGAGTATGATTGAAGTGCATGCAGAGGTAAGTAACCATTGAGATACCTGATACTGCCTCGAACATAACTTATGTTCTTACAGCGACTGTGATAATGCTGTCAATATCTATACAGGAATTTTGTCTGAAATGATTAAGATAAGTAACCCCAGACATTGTCTTGTTGGGCAGGTGTTCAGCATATCTCCGATATTTGTGTTGCGTGTGATGACAAAGATCGCAGAGTCTGTGTGCGAGGAGATGTCCCGTCTCATCCACTGCAGCCCGGGCTTCAACAACAACGGCGCTATACAGGTAACCATAGTTACTGTGCTTGTGAAAGAAGGAAGGGGCGAAGGATGGATTAATCAAGCTGTCAGTCAGTAACTTCCTCTCTGTATCACTGAGGACTGCAATCTGGAGCAGGCAAATCAGCTAAATGGCATCAGCTGCTAGAGGCCTATTATTGTTATCCCCCGGTATATAATGTTGGGGGATACAGTCGAGGCCGTGTGCGAAATACGCTGCAGATATCTCAAACAGATCCTGAAGTGGTGCCTTTTCCTATTTGCGGATTTTGGGCATTTTTATTTTTCTTGATTTCTATGGAAACAGTTTGGACTTAGTTTTATAAAGGGGGTGGATTTTGTTTCCGGAGCGCAACTTGAAAAAACTCTCATTTTGTTTCAACCTGTAACAGAGGCAGGTGTTGTTTCCAGCCCACAACTAAAACACTAGGTATTCAACATTTTTCATCAAACTTGGTACATGTATTTATCAATGGCTGAAGTGATGCCTTTTGCTATTTAGGAAGTTAAAAAAAGAAGAAGTTTTTCCTGTTATCAAGGCAACAAGTTTGACTTTGACTCTATTGTAGTGGTGTGTTTGTCCAGACCATATCTCTAAAACTAATAGGTACTCTTTCTTGAAACTGTGCACACACAAATACCATGCTGTCAACTGGTTCCTTTTGCTATATAGGTTTTTTTAGAATTTTTATTTTTTCTGTGTCCATGGCAACAACTTTGATTTTGACTCTGTTCATAGTGGTGTGTACCTGACATAGAAATACAAAGTTAGGAATCCCAATTCCATCGTATTGTTTTGATAGTTCAGTAACTACTCTTGTATAGGGACAGACACATAAGTTAGAAATTCTCTCATCAAGTCAGATGATTTGTTCTTTACAATTTGTGGGAGCTGGGGGGATTTCTCATCTTCTGATGACTCTTTTGTTATTATTGGTACAATATTTTTTCTTCTAAAATTCAATGTAGGTGGTCAGAATCTAAAAAAACAACACTTCAACTTCCTGATTCCTGCCGCTACAGAATGTAAATAAACAAGCAGTTGTAACATGAAAAGATACCGAAAGATGACTCATTTTTTTTTTTTGTTAGAATGTTTTTGTTTATGTATTATTCACCATTTTTACGAGAAGCGGGAGGAAATCTTGTGGGTTATTCATTTGACCTAATTGTAAAACTGTTGACAGATTTTCTTTTTTCTGATCATGTTCTTTTTAGTTGGTTGGTCTTATTAACCAACAAAAAATAATATCCGGCCTTATTTATCTGATATTGCCTCAACCCTGTGGGGATGTGGGTTAGCATAGTTCCAACTCAGAGGCTACTGTTTGGGTCAGGTGGCCATTGTACGGCAGTATGGGAGGATGCTCACAATGTCAACCACTGGTCCAGACACCATTACTTACAGGCCACCATCATAGAGCTGGAATAGTGCTGAGTGCTGTGTTAGCAACAAACAAATCCGACTGCATTGTAGAAATTTGGTTATATGATTATAATTAGACTCCAGATCGGGATTTGTGATTTGAAAATATTGTGTAGACAGGTGGTTTTTGTGTTGTTGTTGTTGTTCAAACTAGAATGTAACCAAGTTTTGCTTACAATAATTTTGGTGAAATCATGTTGTTATTAAGTATTGTAGCATGTCACTGCCAGGGTTGTGTGTTCGAGACGGGGAATAATTAAAGATTTTTTTATTTAAAAAAAAGAAAAATGAAATAAAAATGAAATGTGCATTGACTTTATGATGATGGGGACGGTGAGTGAGAACCAAGATTATAATTTTTTTAGCTTTAGATTTTTACTTTATTGATGGTATTATTCAAGCTTTCACTTTTTTCTTTTCTCAGTTTTTGTATATGGCAGCTATTTCTGTCTATTAGCCGTGACATGTATATATCATTTAGAGGTGTCTGCAGTCCATCAAGATAATACGAACCTGTTTCAGGCAAGACTGGAGTTATATGCACTTCAAGACACAGTGGATGTTTACAAGACGGAAAAAATCAGGTAGGTGATCATCCCATGTTGCCACAGATTACAGATATGCTGACATCAATCTGTCAACAGATTTAGCACTCAGCCTGTGTGTTCACACAGCAAGCAGGAAAAGAACATATCCATCATTATAGCAATGATGTACAGAGAATCTCACGCAAGTGACTTTTCAAAATAAAAATATCAACATGAGTCAGTAAGTGTTTAAAAGTGTTTAAAGATTAGTGATTAGGGCTGGGACGAGCCCAGATTTACTACCCGGTTACCAACCCCCTATTACCGACCCTACCCAGGTACCCGCTGTAGGTCTCAAGAGATAGGTACAAAATGTCCAATTGGGAATAGTTTGACCGTAGCCCAAGACAAAATGTGTTTAGATACACATATAAAACTATCTGGTCATGCACACACTGAAGTTGACTGAAGTTTTATCTTTATTCAAACAGAAGGAGTGGGTGCAAAGTCAGAAAGAAATGTGAACATTAGTGACTTGTAGTGTAATCATAGAGTTCCAGATCATTTTTGTCATTAAACAATATATGTCATGTGACTAACCATGGGTCCGGGTAGTCCTGTGGGTACCCGGGTCCAACTCAGTACCCACCCGACCCAAGTACCCAAGTTACTGTCTCAGCCCTATTAGTGATGTCATTTGATGGTAACATCATGGTAACTAACGAAGTCACTATGGTCTGCAAAGCATTGTGATGCAATTTCATTGTTGTGATATCTCCTGTGGAAGCCATTTTGGATCATAAACTTTGGTTGGCTTCGACTGAGCTAATACCGTCATGCAAACAGTGTTATGTACAAGTGTCCAAACCCTTCAACTGACAATGTGTTCAGGAAAACAATAGTTGTTAGTGCACTCCCTGCTCACACCAAAGGACCAGGTTTGAATCCCAACATTTTACAATCTCGGAACCTCATTTCTGCTGTCCCCCAGTGTGATATTCTTGGAATACTGCTAAAAAGTGGTGTAAAACAATACTCTCTCTTCAGAAGAAATTGTGTAGTTCTCAACAGTCATTAGGATTTCTTTGAAATAGTATTTGACCACTTGCAGAATTTTTCAAACATCTGAGTATTCCATGGACCTTGTGTCACTAGGTTTGGTATCTGTATGAAAGTTATTTCTGATGATATAGAAATTACTATGTTAAGCAGGAATACTCAAGTGTTATGATCCATATCAGAAGTACAGGATGTGTAACACTGCCAAACCCATCATCGTGTATGAAAACAGTCACCCCCATCTCAGCTGTAGCATCCTATATTCAGCTCCTTTTCAGGGACTTAAGGGCTCCTTATAGTTGTTTTTATTCAACTTTATACGTAACTTTATTTTTGTGGAATATATGTCAGTCTGAACATTGGCCTTTTCTAACTCCCAACAGCAAGAGTTTCAAGGAGGCCCTTGCCTGTGTTCCCCAACTGTCTGGACAAGACAAGAAGTGAGTGATGTGTCACATTATGGTGTTAATGACCGTTTGTTTGTTGTTTAATGTCACACTCAGAAATATTCCGGCTGTATGATGCAGTATGTAAATAATAGAGTCTGGACCAGACATTCTAGTGATTGACATCATGAGCGTCAATCTATGCAATTGGGATATGTTGACAAGTCAGCCAGCCTGACCACCTCTTACGACAAGCTGAAGACGAATTTTAACCTGGATCTATAGGGGCGTTGATGAGCGGTCAGACTTGGTACAAGTTTAATTCATTTCACACAACCAGCACTTTGTCTTCCAACTCAAACTTTACGACAAATGCCAGAGGCCCTACATACTGAAGTTAAGAATTCAAAATTTTGATCTCTCTTAGAAACCCTTGATCCTCATATGATTGTCCTTCTCCAAGATGTATTTCTGTTTCAGATTCATGGAAGGACTTCTGAACAAATTCAAATCCCACATGAAGTTCCAGTTGATGTGTTTTCAAAATGAAAGTACAGTGGGGTCCACTGTGATCAATGATTGAAGTGAGCTGGGACAAAGTGGAACTTTCAAGAGACAAGAGAATAATTTGATGAGCCATTCACAAGACACAATCCACACAGAACTAAGACATACTGGTGGCAACCTATAAGGGGACAAAATAGAATGGGAAGAACTTGTTTCTTACACATTGTGTGTCTATCCTGAATGTGCCAATGTGGTGATACAACAAATACAACCCTTGGGCTTAAAAAAATAAAAAGATTGGTTCTCAGGCAATGGCTTTTGAATATATAGTGCAGGTGGGCGGTGTTTTGTTGTTGTTCAAACTAGTATTTAACTAAATAAACAGTAGTGTAGCATCAACAATAGAAAGGGCCTCCCTACATAAATGTATTCCTTGATGAATAAATAGTGGAATGCAGTATTTGACTACCGTTGGACTTTAGGATTATTTTTTTGATTTTTTTGAAACAGAAATAAAAAAGAAACATGTAGCAAACTTTATGATGAGTGCCTGAGAACCAAGACTTTATTTTTTTAAAGCCTTGTGTGATCATTTTATTGATGGCATGCAGTACAAGTGGTTTATTTACTGTTACATTAATTCCTTGTTCCCTAAGCCGCACTGTTTATATTTTATGGTTTACAGATTCTTTGCCTTTCAATTAACATGGGTGGCTTATTCGCCATATTACGTGCCCTGCTCCTATCAGTGCCCTCTCCACCCCCTCCCTTCGTGTCCAACAAATGTTTCAAGTTTGTTGCTTGGTCACAAGGTATTCAATAGAGTAAGTTGTATGGATGTCCACAAAGGCCTTCTTCCCATATGCAGTGCATTTGACCAATTACAGATGGCAAACAAAATAAATCCTAAATTATTTGACCATATGGTTGAATCTGAAAATAAATAAAAATAAAAGTGTGGCATGATGATAATGTGCTGGAAGGGATGCTTGTGTCAGTGGTCTGAAACTGTGAGATTCACATTCCAATGTCATGTACACTGCTTCCCAGGATAAATTCGTCTCCGAGGACAACTGTTGTGATGCTGGTCATAACTGAATGTCATCTCGTACTTCACGCTGCCGTAACTTATTGAATTGGATAAAAAATGTAAATATATCATGTCAGTGTGGATATGTGCAATATCAACATCATAAATAAAACATTCATACACATATTTTGTTTTCAGTGTTCCCTCTGAGGCCTACTTGCCATGAGGTATCTTATTGTTTTATTGTTAATAAGATTTGTTTCTTTGTTGTTTAAGGCCACACTCAGTAATATTCCAGCTGTAAATAATGGCCCAGAGAATCTAGTGATTGATATCATGAGCATCAATCAACGCAATGGGGATACGATGACATGCATCAACCAAGTCGACAAGCCCGACCACCCGATCTAAGTCGCCTGTAACTGCAAGCACAGGTTGCTGAAGACTTGTTGCTGATCAGTGAAGGATGAAGCAAGATATGACCATATCACTGCATTATTCACTTAGCAACATCCCAGCTATGATGGCTGCCTGTAAATAATCAAGTCTGGACCAGACTTTACAGTGATTGATATTATGGGCAACAATCCAAGCTGTAAGGTACAATGATAATCAACCAAATCACCGAGCCTGACCACACTACTCATTAAGTCGCCTCTTATGACCAGCATAGGTTGCTGGGAGCTAGTCTAACCCAGAATCCCCACAGGTGCTGGCAGATAGTAAATTAAGAATTTATATAGCGCATTTCCTAATTAACAGCTGCTCAAATGCGCTCAGGTCTTGATTGATCTTGTCAAAGGCTCTCTTGAAGACTCAGGTTTTGAGTGTCTTTTAAAGTGTGTCAGATTTCTGTTTCTCGGATTTCTTGTGGCAGATTGTTCCCTAGCAATGGGCCAACATGTTGAAATGACCCATCGTCATGTTTTGGTATGTAATGGTGTGTTCACTAACTGAGGTCAATTTGAAATCCTCCCATCCCATTGTCAATGAGACAATACAAAACACATTGGGAAAGGTCATCAATATGTCCATGAGACAATACAAAACACATTGGGAAAGGTTTTATTGCATTCACAAAACAATTCCTATACATGGTTCATGTACAAAGGATCCAGTGTAATGCTTCACAAGGGAATGGCAACATCCTTACCCCTCGAGTTAACTGAACTGTCAACCTTAAACTGCATCCTTAAAGCAGGCACGCAGTCTGTAAATACCACTGGCTCGTACATGCTGCATGAGACACTCGTAGCATGCCCCCAGTCTGTAAATACCACTGGCTCGTACATGCTGCATGAGACACTCTAAGCATGCCCCCAGTCTGTAAATACCACTGAAATTATGGAGAACATGCGAGTCGTGATCTTTAATTTCTTGGTTTACAGTTAAAAAAATATAGTCCTGGTTGGTAGGATGAAAAATAGAATTAAAAAACACTGTTGGTTAAGCTTGTCTCGTCGGTCTTGCTGTTTAACCTCTTGTTCATGACACAAGTAAATTTACAAAAAACAACGCGCCTAATTAGGTTTCAGAGCTTGATCGGTTTTGACTTAGCTGATAGACCCTAAGGCATTACCAGTACCTCAAATCACATAACGAGTGTATGTGTAAAAACAATGCTAACAAGATAAAATTGTAAAACCATCAATCCATACTGTAATAATACATTCTTTGAAGATTATCAACTGCAAGGCCATTTCATAAAAGAGATTATTTTCAGAATAATGCTAACGATTAATGCCCTTCCTTTAGAAGTATGGAGACATGCGGTGCCAACGGTCCCTGACAAAACACGAAACAGGGACAAATAAAATTGGTGGCCTGAATTGTCCAGCTCCGTTTCCCTGACCAGAATGTAAGGCAACAGTGGACAATTATGACGATTCTGTACACAGAGTGGCATAGGGTTGATTCACTCTGAATGGACCGCCTCGGTGTTCCAGTGGATAGTGTCTGCCCAGGGAAAAGGTTGCTGGTTCAATCGCCTGTCCGCATCATACCAAATGATGGTAATAGATATATTTGTTACCCTGAATTTTGATTGGCATTTAGGTGATTAAATACCGTATTCGACATAATAAGCACCCAGGGCACTCTCACAATTAGAAATAGGGGGCTCTTATTAGAATATTATTTTGGTGAAAAACAACAGGGTTAAAAGATCGTAAATTTCGTGGTTTATGCTGACAGCCTGAAATGTTTATATACGACAGATGTATTTTTCCAGAATCTAATTGCCCACAATTAAGGATGCATATAACACACGTATTATACACGAATACAAAAGTCTTGTGTATATTGATCAATTGGTAAGGGGTGCTAATTGGGATTGTTCACTAGCCAATATGTTAGCAAATATCGCAGTGGGCGCTTATTAGAGCGGGCCGCTTATTACGTTGAATACGGTAATGATTGGTCAGGTTGTAGTTGGTATACTGTGTCTGAGAAGGGTTTGCATGTTAAACTGCACCATGGTATCTCAAAAATGCTAGCACTATGAAACCAGCATTAGGCTGGGCTAGTACAAGCAGCCATACAGACACATCCATGCATGTTGTTCTAGAAGTTATTTAATCTTGAATGCGGTATTAACCCCCATTCAACTCAACAACCATGAAGGACTTGTCATTCAGATAGGTCTAGAAACATTTACCACAATCCCCCAAATCTTGAAGGTCTAGCTCTCGTTCCACAAAGCAAGGACTGTCCACGGTAACATACCAGACAGTTTGTGGAACAGGTTTCTGAAGTATTATGCATACCTGTCAGTTGGACGATCAGAAAATACACTACACCTCTAAATACACATGGTCCTATGTCAATACTTGGTTGGATCTTAAGTAAATCACTATTTCTTATACTAAATGAAAACACTATTTATGCACAGACCCTAACATGACTGACATGACTGAGATCATTTCATGACTTCATGACTTTCGTCCTTTTATAGAAAACAACCATATGAAACATAGATTAGCAGATATTCAGGTTCACACTTTCCCTTAAAAATAAATATTTCAATGCAAATATGCAGCCACTGAAGTGATTAATCATTTTCCATTATGTGCAGAGCGAGCAAATCGTTACTTTCAGCACTTACTATAAAAAAGCCATAGCCTAATGGGATGTTTTTACAGTAAGTTTTCACAAAGAATAATTACAGAAGTGATGAAAATGTCGGCATCACAAATGAAATAATGGGTCATGTTTACCGGACACACAAGTACTTGTTTGTGTGAAGACTACTTTTTTGGAGTCATCACAACCTGTTCCTGGATCAGGTCTTTCATTGACATTTACAATTTGTCATGGAGACACAAGTTATAGGCATTTCAACTCCTGTATTGTTTTTCCTCAACATTTCAAGGCAACCTCATTAAGATAGATGGACAAGAAGTATAACTGAAATATTGTGTAGAAAGTGAGCAAGTGTGAACAGTATTTCAGTTATATCACGGCATGTCCCCTTGGTGCGGGAATAACGCCCGAAGTGATGCAGGTCTCAGACGTTTACCACTTTGGTGAAACCCATGAGCATGGGTATGGTGATGACACACCCAGCAACATTATCAGGGAAGACTTGGATTCGAATCCACGATCGTAATTTCCTGGCACACTTATACCTTAAGAATACAGAAGAAAAAACAATATATCTGGTGTCTATCTGCTGATCATACAGTACCCTCAGTGAGGTATTCATGAATGTATAGTTTATAAGTTTGTTTGTTTAGCACAGTACTGAGCAATATTCCAGGTACAAGATGGTATAGTTAATAAGACGATCCTGTGTCTGTGAAGGACTCTCTCCACAGAGAATCTTAGCATACTTTTTAAATGAGATTAGTAAGATTCTGCAATAAGTTTTGTCATGCATCAATAGATTTGACTGTGGTGATGTTTCAGCGTGAGGCCTTGTAGTCGATGAATCGTTTCAGATTGGTACGGACCATGCTGATGAGAGCCTGGTGTTCTCCAAGTCTCCCTCGTTCGCTGTTGATCTGCAGCAGAAAAAGAAATGGATGACCAAGAACACAACTACATAACAGCTCTCAACACACATAGCTCCACATTTGCATATCATCTTTGTTTTTTGTTTAACACCACACTCGGCAACATTCCAACGAAATGAAGATGGCCTGTAAATAATCGAGTCTGGACCAGACAATCCAGTGATTATATTGTGAACAACGATCCACACTGTCGGGGTACAATGACATGCCATCATCCAAGTCGCCCAGCCTGACCACCCAATCCATTTGGTCACTTTTCACGACCATCATACGGGGATCATATCTAACCAGGATTCCTCCAAGGGGTGCATATTATGAATCATTAATGATGAGGGGTACGTTAACAAGCGAGTGAGTTAGTGAGAGATTTAACCCCACTTTGAGCATATCAGCTAGATGTTGGAGGAAAGCCTTAAGCAATGCAGGTCTTGGGTATTTATCACCATTGTGCTGACCAACCTAGAAACATAGTCAGGCTGAATCTGGGAATGATCATAGGATTCTGGCGTGCATAAGGGACGTAACTCTGCACAGTCAATTGAAATGTCATAGATGACAGACCTGGAAAGTACTTTAACAAATGAAACATCCACAGCAGAGCTGAACCAGTTTGATGTGAACTGGGAATCAGATTATTCACAAGATCAACCAGAGCAACATCCATAGCTAACCAGGGGTTCCAAGTGTTTTGTGTGTGTTTTTTTTAATGTTGCACTCAGCAATATTCCAGCTATATGATGGTGGCCTGTTAATAATCAAGTCGGGTTTGATTTAGTATTCATTGTATATTCACCCGTGATGTCAGCATAGGTCTGAAGTTCCTCAGCTTTTCAACCAGGGCTATCTCCCGGACGATAGGGTCAATATGATCCTCTGCGAAGACGTCAAATACCGAGTCCAAGGCCTCTGCCACTACCCAGAGTTCCGGGTCACGTCCGATCACCTCCAACAGGAAATGTCCTATGTCCTGGCAATCGCAATGTTCAGACATACAGTCAAATGTGTTTTGTCTGAGGTGGGTAAGTGAGGCAATGAGTGGATATTGTTTAACATCAAATTCAGCAATGCGCCAGCCATTTCAAGGTCTGGTTTGAAATTAACATAAATCCACTAGTCCGCGACGAGGAAGGACTTGGGACTTTTCTTGTGGACTACCACTCTAATCAATAGGTAGATGGCAACTCTGTCGAGATCACTGATGAAGACTAGTGAAACTAAATATATCAATTTCTAACCCAAATAAGATATTCCATCACTGACCAGATAAACCAGTGGTTGAAAGCATGAGCAACATTTGAAGCCACAAGAAAGCAAATGGCCATGAAGGCCTATTCTGCCCTGTAATATGCATAATAACTCCCCAAACCCTCCCTTACCAGATAAACAAACATCTGAGTACCCCTTTTCCTTGACAGAAGAATACGGTGTCAGCACTATGTCCACTAATGCATCCCCATTGGTCTGAAAAGTTGGATATCTGTTATTTAAAGGGTGTCTGGGCTCTAACTGTTTGAGAGTCTCAGCAAATTCTGATTCAAGAGCCTTAAACTCCACTTTGTCTCCCAGTTCAGAAAAGAGGCAAAGACCATGGTCCACAAACTGATTGTAGCGACTTAAAGTCGGTCTTAAAGTATGGATTGTGATGATCGTCTTAAAGTACTCATGGAAATGAAAAAACAACTGTTTTGCTGGATTTAATAACCGACACAAAGCATTACATAGATGTAAATACGAAATAACAAAACAAATGGAAAAGTACTAGTCTGGATTTGCTAGTTTTATCTCAGTGCTTAATACAAAATGTACTTTACAGGAGGTAATTTGTAGGCACTTTCAACATTCAAAAATAAAACTAAGTCCAAATTGACATAGGCATTATGCAAATTAGTCTGGAAAAAAGTTATCAAAACAACAATAAAAATAACAGCTATGTTTATGTACATAATAATAATGACATATAAGTTGTTGTTTGAGAAGGGAATATGTTACTTTTACGTTCTGATATTTTGACGATGATTCACCATCCCACAATGCCACTCACAAATCACTAACCACTGACAAATCACATGCACGTGGGTGGGTTTCAAGCACCTGTTTTCACCTGTCGTCAAGGTGTCATAGGTCATGGACATTCACCTTGATCTACCAACACCTGGTTATGCTCAGTTTCACAACAGTCTGTTTTGTTCATATTTTTACACACTTTTACGTGTAAAAAGACATAAAAACCTTTGATACGCTGTATTTGTGCTAATTGAGTTGTTTGAAAATGTATATATTTTGTATATTAACTGCATTTATTTAAAATCTGAGATCGAAAAAACAGTTTTTTTCATTTCCGTGAGTACTTTAGCGCCATGATTGCTCTGTGTAAGGGGCCCTGGACCCACTTGAATGTTAAGGTACGGGAGTTGAAATCATCTCAGTGCAAGTGAGTTCGCATGTCCTCCTACCTTCAGCAGTGGGTGTGGTGATGACAGTTTGGCTAGAAGTCCGCCAATAGTGGCCACGCAGCGAACAGCGTTCACCCGGACATTGGCGTTACCGTCCTGGTGGCTCAGGGCGAACAGGAACTGCAGGTCAGCGATTGTTATCTCAGAGAACTGAAACAAGAATGAGTAAGTGAGTGAGTTAGTGGAGCTTCTTCAAAGCCACAGTCAGCAATATTCCATCATCATCATCCTCATCAATGTAACTGTTCAATAAATGAGTCTTTGCCATACATTTCATACTGCATACATGACCAGTGTCTGAAACTCAGCAGATAAAACTGAGAGCCTTAAGGGCCAGCACATTTAGAAATAACTGTAGGCCCAAACATTTTAGCTGAAGCAGGGAGACATACCCTTGCAATATAAATTACAAAAGTCCACCAGAAGCTTTTACTGCTATCATACTGAGTTCCCAGAGATGGGGTGGTGATGAAACCTTCATTTATCAGGAAATTATTAGCTTGTAAAACATCTTTATGACTACATGTCATACAACATTTGAAAGGTCTAATCCTACTGTTTATAAATATGAAAGTTATGTTTATCACATTACTTAAATAATGCTTAATAGATAAATACTAAAATAAACATGGGCCTGCTGAAATTTAAAACTATCAGCCCGAGAACAAATCTGTTGGCCTTAAACCTACGGGCCGATGTCTATTTTGAACACTGTACATGACACAAGCAGCCATTAACACTGAAAGTGAAGACTATCCCTCCCTCACCTTGGGAGACTGAAGCTGGGCCAGTTTCTGCATGACTGCTCTCATGGCGCTGGTCACTGCTTCCAGTAGGTCAAGGTGAGACTTGGCTGAAACAGAGCGTGTAATCTATCACATCATTCAATACAGGTGATGTCAAAGGGGATTTATCACTGGCATTCAAGATTACTGCACTTATATAGCAATGTGTGTATGTATGTGTGTGTGCGTGCGTGCGTGCGAGTGCACATGCACATGTGTGTGTGTGCATTTTTCATTCAATATAGGCAGCATAATACTCAAGAAAGAAAACATACAACTTTATGGACATCAACTACTGGCTTATAGCATTAGCTATGTTGAAATGTAGAATCTACATCGAAACGTTGCTAATGCAATTAACCAGAAGTTGTAATCCATAACATTGTATGTTATCTCATTTGGCAGTTGGATGTTCATTATCACTGTCTTAATTACTTGTTTCTCAGTTTTGTTGTTTTGTACTTTGGAACAGACCAACCTGGGACTGATATAATGAGCACTGTCCCATACGGTAGAGGAACGATGACACGCAATCAACAAAGTCACTGAGACTGACAGTTGATCCATGTCGTCCCCATTTAACCAGAAGTGAGGGAAATAAATACTTCTTAGCATCCAAGTGAGTGATTCAGGGAGAATCTGAGGAAGGTAGGTTCTACATCTCTTCCAGCAGAATTAAAAAAATGATGGACTGGCACAAGCTTACACGTTAACCACTAGGCGACCCCTCCATGTAGCAATAACCACCTTGCATTGAGTTGAAGAGCTGCACCACCTCCTACCCTCCACCAAGAGCCACCTGGTTGTGCTACCCGCCTTGTGTTGAGTTGTAGAGCTCCTCAACCATGTACCCCCCACCAAGAACCACCTGGTTGTGCTACCCACCTTGTGTTGAGTTGTAGAGCTCCTCAACCATGTACCCCCCACCAAGAACCACCTGGTTGTGCTACCCACCTTGAGCTGAGTTGGAGAGCTGCACCACCTCGTACCCCCCACCAAGAACCACCTGGTTGTGCTACCCACCTTGTGTTGAGTTGGAGAGCTGCACCAGCCCGTCCCACATCTTGTGCAGTGGCAGCAGCCCACCCATAGCATCGGCGGACATGGTGTTAAGGATGTTGTTGACACACAGCAGCGCATGGGTCTGGACTCGCAGCAGACTACACAAACACCACACTCACTTATATTACACATCTTTAATTGAGATGGATAATGATATCATTCACAATTGCTGACTGAAAATAATGAACTTGGCTGAAACGGGATATCTGACAAAAAATGATCAGATGAAATGGGAGATTATAAGTTATAAATGTCTTAGCCTTTTTTCAGTCATTAAAAATCAGCTATTCATAGACCAGAAAAATCCTGTTATTTTTCTTCAGTTGGTTGGTTTGTTTTTTGTTGTGCACATATGACGGTGGTCTGGACCAGACAATCCAGTGATTGATATCATGAGCATCGATCCACACAATTGGGATCGATGACATGCATCAACCAAGTCAGCGAGCGTGACCACCCGATCCCGTTTGTCACCTCTTACGACAAGCATTGTCGCCTTTTACAGCAAGCATGGGTTGCTAAAGACCTATTCTATCCCAGATCTTCACGTGTCAGAATATAAAGAATGTTGCAGTATTATTTGTTTATCTACCTGTTAGCTATTTTCTTGCCCCCGACACAGTTGTTGAGCACAAGCTGTTTGCTCTCCTCTACAGGTTGGGCCTTGTTCAAAACCTGAGAGATTAACATCAACACATTTATTCAATTAGTAATAACATTAAAATACTAATACAATCATAATTATCATCAAAAGATCTATTCCATTGTCATAATCATAATCACCAACACTAAAGACAACCATGTTGTTATTCTAAGGACAAGGTTACTGCTATTCCGCACAATGGTAAATACTTGTGAATACATCAACCCATATTCAGTCTAAGACAGAGTTGTTGCCATGGAAACTCGAAAAATATATTTTTAAAAACCACAACCTATCAAAAAGCACCAGTTCAGCACAAGACCTATTTATGTGCCATGTGTGGTGAAGAAATATTGTATGGTTTTCAAGATCTGCACTGGAAACGACATCTTGCATGGACAGTGTCCATTTTTATACAACCTGCCACCCCCCACCCTACAAAATAGGATCAGTACCATCCTTGACATTCAAATCACTTAGATGTTATGTTATTGCAAGGTACCAATGGAGGGTGACACTCCCAGGGAATGCTTACCTTTGTGAGGATATCGTTGTTCAGCAGGGCGCCCTGAATCTCAGTTGGCACGCACAGAGGGCTCTGGCACAAACAATACATGCACATATAATCTTTCTATCCTGTGGGAAATTTATTGTCTTTGCTGATCTGAGTTTAATTGTAATGTTTTTGATATTAACACACAACAGTACATAATGATATGGGTATATTACAAGCAGGGCTTCAACTGAGTATTTGAAGAAGTGTTAGTTTCAAGACTCAAGTCCCAAGCTCCTCACAGCGATAGTCCGTTCGGGGGTGCTCTCTATACTATCGCTGCCACCAGTCTAAACTCCCCACTGTGATAGGTGGCCCCAACCATGCTTGGAGTTGAACTTGAGACCGTTATGTTCACAAACAAGTGACGACAGTCGTGACGCTGAATACACTTACCGCTGATAAATTACTTTCTTTGTTTGTCAACGTGAATTTCTATTTCATTAAAAGTATCATCTTTAACTGATATAGTAAGAATGTAAGGTAGAAGTTGGTTGATTTTCATTAGTCTGCAATCTCAAACCAATCTGAATATTAAAAAAACCAAAGTAAATTCATCTGGAAAACATGGTCAGTCGTAAACCTTTTCAAAATGAAATATGATGGCATTCTCAAAGACATAAATAAAAGTATAACGTTACTAATACGTGGTTAGAGGGCAAATTTCAAGATTCTTGTAATGGCCGCGCCCACACTGGTGACAGCGATGTTACCGAGAGTGTAACGAAGGTGTCACGCACTGGGAAGGAGCTTGCTCAAGTCCTAGTCAAGGGGAGATCACTCTAACTGCATATTTATGTTTAAGAACATGTAAAAGATATATGCTATACATGTGTGGTGTTTGTTATTTTTATCTTGTCTCTCTTCATATTGTATTGGACCACCTCAGTGTAATGTATATCCCTGGAGAGTGAATGGTTGGTGGTTTGATCCCATGGCCACTTCATTTAAGATGTAAAAACAGAACTCCCTGCCTGGTGCTTGGCATTAGGGAATGAAAGAATTATTGGTTGGCTCACAGTCAGTATACTGTATCTGAGTCAGGTATCCATGTTAAACTGTGGCATATTAACTTAAGAATTAAAAAATACTTTAACCAATATTTAAAAGTAGTATTTGAGCTGGATATTTAGACATGTGAGATCTTTGTAAATACTACTAAATTGCATATGTAACCTAAAAAAACATCCTTTCTGTTATGCAATTTCATTGGATTGACTGTAACCAATCAAATAAGAGCTTGGATTCACAGTAAACCTCCTGCAGCAAACCTGTCATATCAATCCATCAGCTTTGTCTCGGGAGTCAACCAGTTTCAAAAACACTGACTGCAGCAAGAATTTTGCCAAAGTAGATAAAACGATTGTATTTGTTGCAAGTAATAGTTGATTATGTCAGTGATGGCTTCATAATAGCCTTCCAAGCCTAACAATGGCACTTAACAATGGCTGTAACATGTGTTTAATAACAGCTTATTTAATCGTTGATATACATATTATTGATAAACATGAGATAAAGTAGAATTAGTAAATAAAGGTGAATATCTTCTGTACTTACACATTCCTCACTGGCGTCTTCCCCCATGCTGATGTCAACAGCCATCTCATCAGAGGAGCCAGAGTCGATGCTGACGTCCTCCCAGTCATCATCTGTGACAGACACAACCTTGAGCAATGTAATCCTTGGAACATGATGCTGGGACTACTTTGCTGGGAAAAGACACTGGGAGAACGATCCTGGGAATAAGACCCTGGGAACACGACCTTTGCAACACGACCCTGGGAACACAACCCTGGGAACACAACCCTGGGAACACAAACCTGGGAACTCGACCCTGGGAACACAAATCTGGAAACACGACCCTGGGAACACAAACCTGGGAACTCAAGCCTGGGAACAAAAATTTGGAAAAACGACCCAGGGAACACAAACCTGGGAACACCACCCTGGGAACTCGACCCTGGGAACACAAATCTGGAAACACGACCCAGGGAACACAAACCTGGGAACTCGACCCTGGGAACACAAATCTGGAAACACGACCCAGGGAACACAAACCTTGGAACACGACCCAGGGAACACAACCCTGGGAACACCACCCTGGGAACTCGACCCTGGGAACTCGACCCTGGGAACTCAAATCTGGGAACTCGACCCTGGGAAGACAACCCTGGGAACACCACCCTGGGAACTCGACCCTGGGAAGACAATGCCGGCAACACATTGCTGGCAAGCCAATACTGGCAACACAATACTTGATCAGAAAGCTGCAACACAACCCTGAGAACATGATGTTGAGAAGACAATGCTTGGAACACAATGATGAGCAACACAATTTATTATCCAACAGAAATGATCTAATATTAAAATAGCTTTCTGATGCATTCAAAGATTTATCTGGAAACTGAAACCAACCTATCCCTGCTGACGCTGCTAACCTGGAACAACCCTTCCTGTCCAGACAAGACTTACCCCCAGCACAGCACAGGTTGGCGATGATCTCGAGGCTGGTCTGCTGAGCTGAAAGGATCTGGTCGACCTCCTTCAGTTTACCTCGAGGCTCAGCGCCCTGACAACAGACACAAAGTGCCAGATTATCACTTCGCTACATTCACAATATACTACCTGCCAAATTATAGTTTTGAATTGCAAACACTAGTTCAGGCTGAGATGACTGATTCATGTTGATTTCTGTATCATAATACTGAATGTTAATATTAGGTATCAAATTTACTAACATAGCCTCCCTCCTGGGAATTCTGAGTTAGAAATGGGCCCTAGCAATCCATGCTGGATAGAGACAGACAGACAGACAGACATACAAATACAGACACACAGACAGACAGACACACAGATACAGACAGACAGACACACAGATACAGACAGACAGACAGACAGAGAGACACAGATACAGACAGACAAATAGTGTGTTTCAATCATTCCTTATAACCACAAATAACTTATTGCTAGTTACCCTTTGGTGTGCAATACTGGCCTCATCACTACTCCCAGCACCATTCTGCAATATGAGGACATGCAACACACGATAAATATTAAATGCATGTTACCATGGTTACAACTTAGTTTGAAATAGTCACACAGACATACCTTTTCACATCCCTTGGGACTCGCAGTGCAAATGTATTTATGTCCACTTTAACTCTTTATGCATACTGGACATAATATTTTGCATCTGGTGAAGCCCTGTCTGAGTGTCCTTATGCTACCAGGCATTCAAAGTTGTATTTGAAACAGTATGGAACAAGACAAGTCACGTACAAAACACGGGACATATTTTGACGCTTCTTGAAAGAACCCTGAAACTGACTGTCATTCAAACTGGAACATACGAGCGAGTGAGTTGGGTTTAACGCCGCTATTAACACTATTCCAGTTATATCACGGTGTGTTAGCTTAATGTGGGAGGAAAGCTCGAAGTGATGCAGGTCTTGGACGTTTACCACTTCGGTGAAACCCACGAGCACGGGTATGGTGCTGACAAACCTAGAAACATACATAATCGGGGCGAACCGGGATTGGAACCCACAATCATAGGTTTCTGGCGTGCCCAAGGGATGCAACTCCGCACAGCGAATTGCGGCGCCTTAGACGACTGGGCCACCCGTGCCCCCTGGAACATATGAACATTGGTGACCAATGGGTTCAGGGTATATCTCCATATTAATGAGTAGACAATCAAGGGTGCAGAACCACACACAGAAACACCATCTCCTACCAGACAGCCATTCTGTGTTGCCTCCCCGATTAGGTTGGTGACGTCCACTGCCAGGACAGTGGCTAGTGTGTGGACGAGGGTCGCCATCGGAGTCTGGGGCTGCAGTGGGTTGCTGACATTGATCAGGATCCCTGCAAGGTTTCATACAGAACTAATTACAACAGGGTGAGACACAGCCATTACTGTTACTTGTCTCCAAAAGTCTAGTTTTTATGTATTGTCTGAACACATTCAGGTGTCATTACTGGTGGGAACAAGCATGTGAAGTTTCAGCTTGACTGGTCTAGTGGTTTCAGGGAGGAAGTTTACTGTGCAGGGAAATGTATGTAGAAAGAATTTTCCAGGTCCAGGTTGTCAAAGGAGGACGTATTGGCCCAGGGCAGAAAAATGCAGCAGGTGAAAGTCACAGTTTTAATTATCTTTTTCATCACATTTTCAACAAAAATGCTGAGTAGTGGGCATAATTAGCTTTTCAATAGGGCTGCCTTGATATCCACCCACCTGTCACAAGTGTGCTTAGCTGGATACTATCTGCTGATTCGACCGGTGTCATCAACTGGCTGAGCAGTGCTAATGTGCCGCCCGTCTGACAATACTCGGCAGCCATCTTGTTGTTTTCTGTCACTGCATGGAGACATTGAGCTGAAAACCCAACCATATCATCATCATCATCATCATCATATGAGCATGGGTAGGTTCTGGTATGTCATGGATGTGTATGAGTGTGTGCATGTGTGTGTGTGTTTGTACTTAATGCATACACTGATAACTAATAATCTTCCTGACATCGGTCCTGTACCTGGCTACTATGGCTGACATCGGTCCTGTATCTGGCTACTATGGCTGACATCGGTCCTGTACCTGGCTACTATGGCTGACATCGGTCCTGTACCTGGCTACTATGTCTGACATTGGTCCTGTACCTGGCTACTATGGCTGACATAGACCATGTACCTGGCTACTATGGCTGACATAGACCATGTACCTGGCTACTATGGCTGACATAGACCATGTACCTACCTACTGCTATGGCTGACATAGACCATGTACCTACCTACTGCTATGGCTGACATAGACCATGTACCTACCTACTGCTATGGCTGACAGACCATGTACCTACCTACTGCTATGGCTGACATAGACCATGAACCTACCTACTGCTATGGCTGACATAGACCATGTACCTACCTACTGCTATGGCTGACATAGACCATGTACCTCCCTACTGCTATGGCTGACATACACCATGTACCTACCTACTGCTATGGCTGACATAGACCATGTACCTACCTACTGCTATGGCTGACATAGACCATGTACCTACCTACTGCTATGGCTGACATAGACCATGTACCTACCTACTGCTATGGCTGACATAGACCATGTACCTCCCTACTGCTATGGCTGACATACACCATGTACCTACCTACTGCTATGGCTGACATAGACCATGTACCTCCCTACTGCTATGGCTAACATAGACCATGTACCTACCTACTGCTATGGCTGACATAGACCATGTACCTACCTACTGCTATGGCTGACATAGACCAGAAACCTGTACCTACCTACTGCTATGGCTGTAGAGAAGCCATACAGCTGATGCTGCAGGCAAGGCAACAGGTACTGCACTAAGGTCTCCCTGTTGAACACACTCACTGCCAGGTCACTGCTCTCACTGCAACACAAGCCATCCTCCTCACAACACCAAGCAGGGACAATACAGTCAGGATCAAGAACAAAAGATTCCAGAGATGCCAACTCTAAACATCTTCCCGAGGCAAGGGAGTTAACTGACTAAAAAAGTCCATTTGCCACTCTTGCCGAACAAGGCTGGTATTGTGGAGTTAGATTTTGTCTGGACTAATGAGTCTATGCATAGTTCAATCAAAATCGCGCAATTAAATTGAAATCTGGTTCGTTAACTGTCATGTAGATTTCGGTTGATTGAAGAATTTGCAAAACATGTGCACTGCTAACTCGGTGTCAACAGATATTTTCCAAATCTTTTCAATTTTTTAATCAAGGTGCTCACGTGATGTGACTTCGGTATGTAAGATCCGTTTTATCACAATATAGATCTTGATTATCAATCAGATCATCTTGACGGGGGCGCCATTTTGTTTGAAGCAAATGCAAGTGATACGAGGCGGGGAAACTGATTGGTCCATAGGAGAGGCATAGAAGGGACATAACTTGTAATAGCCAGTGGCGGCGCTACGATCGAGCCCAGGAATTCCAGCCTAGTTCGTCAGTCAGTTAACTCTCTTGCCTCGGGAAGAAGACCCTAAATGAAGCTCTGGAGTAATAGGAGGTTTAAAAAGTACTTGCATATTCGATATTTATGTTAGACCTACACATAGTGAAACATGTGTTAATAGTGTAAATTTAGTGTCAAAATCATAACAATTACACAAAAATCATAATGGCTGGCATCTCTGTGATTGATTCAATCCAGGCTGGGACATCAGAAGTCATAATAGTTAGTCGAGGGACAATGTTTACAGAACATTTAGAATGATACATGATGTATATATTTGGTTTAAATGATCTCATTGTTTGCTAAATAGCATAAAATGTGACCGCATGAACCAGGCCCTGATGTCATACTACACCTGGAGCAAACAGTGAGTGAGTGAATGAGAATGGTTTTACACCGCTTTTAGCAATATTCCAGCATTATCACGGCAGGGGACACCAGAAATGGGCTTCACACATTGTACCCATGTTGGGATTCGAACCCGGGTCTTTGGCCTGGCGTGCGAACGCTTTAACCACTAGGCTACCCGACCGCCCCCCTGGAGCAAACAAATATGGGGAGGTAGGTAGGGCATATATATACCATTCTAAATATAACTGATGTCCTGACAACTACGTACAGACATAATAAACGTTTAAGGGTCACAGGTAGCATCATGGGTTCACTGAACTATTGGAAACACGCATCCTTTTTGGCCTTACTTTTACACTAGACTCCCACAGACAGGCATCTTACCAAATATTCCACAGCAGGTGCACTGCCTCTGCAAAGATGTTCTCAGAAGTGTCATCATGTTTCACAATCTTCTCCTTCTTGTCCGGAAGCCAGCCTACACCATACTGAAGACAGACATCTGTGTGTACTAGTGGAATACATTCAAACACATTCTCATACATGTCATAAGCATGGATGCAAGGATCAGATCACGGGATCATGCTTCGTGTGTTGTTTATGCCACACTCAGCAATATTCCTACAACATGACTCTGGTCTATAAATAATCGAGTTTAGACCAGACAATCCAGTGACTGACATCACGAGCATCTGCCAGAGAGTCTGACCACCTGAGCCACATCAGTCTCTTACAACAACCATGGGTTGCTGAAGATCAATTCTAACCTGTATTACCATTGTGATGATGGTAGTCGTATTTCAGAAAGGTGCTAGTAATGTTGCTTATATATCTATAGTACGGTATGTAAACATGTGTGATCGACTTAACACAAAAACTGATGTTTAGGGGCATTGGGCCAAAGACTTAATATGGTCAGAAATTCTAACTGTATGAGTGACCTAAGAATGTGAACCTGACCAGCTTCCATCCATAGTGCCAGTACTGCCTTGGATTTGTTTGCTTGTTTGTTGTTTACTGCCGCACTCTGCAATATTCCAGCTATATGATGGTGGTCTGTAAATTAATAAGTCTGACCAGATAATCCAGTGATTGACACAATTGGAATACGATGGCATGCATCAACAAGGTCAATGAGTCTGACCCCCGATCCTGTTAGTCTCCTCTTACGACAAGCATAGTCACTTTTTATGGCAAGCATGGGTTGCTAAGACCTATTCTACCCCGGAATCTTCACGGGTGGAGGGGCCTTGGACGAAACGTTGGGGAGTACATAATGACTGAAGTCTGGCTCACCTTCTGGAATAGAAGGACAAGTGGTGTAAGGACGTCCTTCTGCACCATCTCCTCGCAGACCTCATGGCCGCCACTTACACTCAGGTTTCTGCAGACACATGAAAGATCAAAACAGTGGCCTCATCACTTCTGTGCATGTAAAAGTGTACTACCAAGCTGCATTGAGGAGTTTTAAGTTTGAATCTTCAAACGATAATAAAATGTAATAATCAATGATTTGACTGTAACCATGGCAACATAAATGTTTAGTAATTACTTTTCACTTGTCTCAGACTAATGGACCCTTGGCTGTGTATAAAACTTCTAGTGACACGTCTTACCTCAAATCTCTTAGCGCCACATGTCTTACCTCAAAGCTCCTGGCGCCACAGGTCTTACCTCAAAACTTCTAGCGACACACATCTTACCTCAAAGCTCCTAGCGACACACGTCTTACCTCAAAGCTCCTAGTGACACACGTCTTACCTCAAAGCTCCTGGCGTCACAGGTGTTACCTCAAAACTTCTAGCGACACACACCTTACCTCAAAGATCCTAGCGACACACATCTTACCTCAAAGCTCCTAGTGACTCATGTCTTACCTCAAAGCTCCTAGTGACACATGTCTGATATGGGGACTAGGATCTACAATCAAAGGAGCGACAATCTTGACAATGTTGTGTTGTAGTAGTAGAGGTATAACTTCCGGCTGGCTGACCAGGTTGGCTAGGGTGGAACAGCCACACTCCCGGGTCTCCACGTTCACACTCTGAAGCTGCAACAACCAATATTGTATGAATAAACAGGCAAACATTCAGACCAACAAATGTTCACTGAGAGTCTAGCTAAGTAAAAAAGTGCTCAGATAAAGTGCTCAGGTCAGGAATGTCACAGAGGGGAGATAACTCTATAGACAGATGCATACCGCTTTAATTCGGCAGAGAACATGAGTGAGTTTTTGCTGCCTTTCGCAATATTCTTGCCGTGTCATGATGGTGGACACTTTACACATTTTACCCATGTGGAGAATTAAACCCTGCTCTTTGCTGCGATGCGACAATGACTAACCACTGGGATGCCCTGCTACAATTTAGTTAAAAACAAGGATGATACTGATCATAATCAGTTGATATTTACATGATACTGTGAAAATTTTCAATTTTCAACAATATGTTCGGAAAAATGAGAATTTACGGATATCACCTTCCCTATAATTAGGAACACAACATTGTGGAGTACTTGCTTACTCTTTCATCAGGTGAAGGAGATGATGGAGTAGGTATACTCCGAAACATTGTGTTCCGCATTATAAAGAAGTTGACATCCATAAATTCTCTCTCTTTTGTGTATCACTTCTAAATGCTATTCAAATACTTTATATGGTCAGAAATTCTAACTGCATGAGTGACCTAAGAATGTGAACATGACCACATCAAACCTGACCAGCTTCCATCCATAGTGCCAGTACTGCCTTGGATTTGTTTGCTTGTTTGTTTTTACTTTAATTGTTTGTTTGTTTGTTGTTTAATGCCGCACTCAGGAATATTCCAGCTATATGACGGTGGCCTGTAAATAATCAAGTCTGGACCAGACAATCCAGTGATTGACATCACAAGCATCGATCCACGCATTTGGGATACCATGACATGCATCATTAAAGTCAGCAAGCCTGACCAACCGATCCTGTTAGTTGCCTCTTATGACAAGCATCATCACCTTTCACAGCAACTTGAGCAAGCATGGGCCTCTGAAGACCTAGTCCAACAAGGATCTTCACGGGTCTACTGCCCTGGAAATCATGTACAAGCAGTCGGGTGAACAGCAAGCAATGTGGACAGATAACCCTTCAGTATGAACGACACAAGCATCTACTACATAGTGAGTGAGTAAGTGAGTGAGTGGGGTTTAACGCCGCTTTTAACAGTATTCCAGTTATATCGTGGCGTGTCAGCTTAATGTGGGAGGAAAGCCCCAAGTGATGCAGGTCTCGGACGTTTACCACTTCGGTGAAACCCACGAGCACGGGTATGGTGCTGACAAACCTAGAAACATAATCGGGGCGAACCGGGATTCGAACCCACAATCATAGGTTTCTGGCGTGCCCAAGGGACGCAACTCTGCACAGCGAATCGTGGCGCCTTAGACGACTGGGCCACCCGTGCCCCTTCTACTACATAGTCTACACACTGGCAGAAGGGTTTGCTTTCAATTCTCAACTTATTCTCAACAATTCAACTAATCCCTCCAACCCATACAGATTTATGCAAATTAATAAGTCTTGACTGAACAAGAAATGGCAACTTGTTATTTATTTTAGTAACCAGTACTGATATCATATCATGACATGAAATTCCTTGTGGTTTTTTTTCAGGGGTGGAAAGACAGTACCCATTTCCTGTCTGCCCCTTCATATACCTTGTAAGGATTCGGAAGGAAAATAGTATTATGATATTATTTACAAAATGTCTTTAAAACTATCATGATATAACATTTATACTAAGTTTTCCCATAATAATTAGATCCACACCAAGTGCTTTTATGAGTTATCATGGTGTAATATTTATAAATCATTTCATATAATTATAGTTTAGCAAGTAATACTTATCATCAGGTAAAATGCTTATATAAAATATCAGTAGTTTCAGTTATAGCTTTTTAGATAGATGCTAGCCTAAGGGGTTTCAGGGATTGACCTTTCTAGCTCATATGCTAAAAAGAAGGACTGTAAACAATCGTGTCTAGATCAGACAATCCAGTGAATGATATTATGGATAATGAACTATGCCATTGGGGTGAGACGACATGCAATCAAACAAGTCAGCCAGTCTGACCAATTTTTAACCGATCGATAGAGTCTGTTCTAACACCCAGCACAGATTTCTGGACTCTGTTCTAATCAGGAGACCACCTCCATGGTCCAGTGGTTGAGCGTCCGCCTGGAGAGCGGAAGGTCCCGGGTTCGATCCCCAGCCATGGTCTAGTGGTAGAGTGTTTGCCTGGAGAGCCTGGCTGTGTTATACCAAAAGACATTAAAAGATGGTACTTGTTCAGTTGTTGTTACCCTGTCTGGCGCTCGGCATTAAGGGGCTGAAACAAGAACTTGTCGGCTCGGAGTCAGTGTACTGTGTCTGAGTGGGGTATTCATGTTAAACTGCGGCATGGTATCTCAGTGTGCTAGCACTATAAATCGGCATCAGTCCAGACTAGTACAAGCAGCCACACAAACACACACACACGTATACATGCACGTCGCTATATAAGTGCAATAATCTTGGACGTGACGTTAAACCCCATTTCACCTCACCTCTAAACAGGAATCCCCATGAGATTCCCTGACCTGAGCCGAGAGGCGCGATGGGGTTCAACAGTCAAGACATGACCCTACATTACGGCCAACCTGCAGCACAACAGCCTTCATTAATCCTATTTAGACTTTGGTGGTCAATTAACCCTAGTGTTTTCCTCCGACCTTGGCATTGCATCCTATTTACCGACTGTGTCATGGTTGATTGCTGAAAACCAAAACAATGTCTACACGTAACGGCAGAATTCTTTTACTTAGCTACTCACCTGCTCGATGACATCAGAAACAGTGCCATGTGCATTCGGAACAAAATTCTCAATTTCCGTTTCAATCTCCTTCACACTTGTTAATCCCGTTGGTTCAGCCTTAGCAGCTCTGAATTTCTTCTTCTTCGACTTGCCCATTTTCAATATGATCAGAAATTTGCATGACAGGGTTGAGAAAATGTCCAAGTGTCATTTCATGTTTATAAACAACCACATGGACAGCTGGTCGCCGCCATCTTCCCGACGTAAAAGGACCGTCATGTAAAGCGGGACTTCCGTAAACAAGCCGCAGTTTAGTACTAGACTTCCTTCCAGTTTTAATCTGGTTACGCTGTTTGCATGCGCAGATAGCCATGCGAAAAGAATTACCAGTCAATTCAATTTCTAAAATTAACTTTTACAATATCTCTTTCGGCACGCAAATAGTCTTTTTGATAGTGATGTCTTTTTTCACTAATTTGTTTGACAATATCACTACTGCTTGTATGTATTGCCCATGTGCCTGTAGTGATATCAGTACTGTATGTATTTATAGCTCATTTGCCTGTAGTGATGTCAATACTGCATGTTTTTTTATAACTCAGGTGTCTGCAGTGATATCAATACTGTATATATTTATAGCTCGTGTCTGCAGTGATATCAGTACTGTATGTCTTTATAACTCATGTGTCTGCAATGATATCAATGCTGTATGTCTTTATAGCTCATGTGTCTGCAGTGATATCAGTACTGCATGTCTTTATAGCTCATGTTTCTTCAGTGATATCAGTATTGTATGTATTTATAGCTCATGTGCCTGTAGTGATATCAATACTGCATGTTTTTACAACTCATGTGTCTGCAGTGATATCAGCACTGCATGTCTTTATAGCTCATGTGTCTTCAGTGATATCAGTCTTGCATGTCTTTATATAACTGGAATACTATAAGAAACGGCGTTGAACTCAACCCAACTTACTGTAGTGATATCAGTACTGCCTGTATTTATAGCTAATGTGTCTGTAGTGATATAAGTACTGCCTGTATTTATAGCTAATGTGTCTGTAGTGATATAAGTACTGCCTGTATTTATAGCTAATGTGTCTGTAGTGATATCAGTACTGCCTGTATTTATAGCTAATGTGTAGTGGTAACATTACGCTCAGGCGTATGTAGTTATATCGGACCACGAGTTGCCAAGCTGTCTAATACGTTGCACAGATCTGAGCTTCGAAGGCGTGCCAAACGTCCACGATAATAGGTTCGAATCCCAGTTGTTTCTGGGTTTGTCAGCATCAGACCGTGTTTGTGGGTTTCTTCGTGGTAGTAAACGACTATCAAATTAATCACTTCAGGATTTCCTCCCACATAAAGCTGATACGTCGTGAAAAAAGCATATTGTTAAAAGCAGCGATGGTAATATGATTTCTGTCAATGTTTTCTCGCTCACTTGTCTGTAGTAAGGTGCAAGTACCAATAGATAATTTTTACATGTTCGGCTTGGTCTTTGTTTTGTTAAAAAATCTTTGGTTTAATTTTAATAATTCAAAGACGACGTTTCAGCTTATTCGTGTCTGCATTGGACACTGATTAGTACCGACTTCTTATTTTACGTGCGCTTCGTCCATTATTTCTGTCGCAGTGTAAAATATTCCTTATTTTCTTATCTGCCCTCGCTTATTTTACAGGAGCGAGTGAGTGAGCGAGTGGCATGTATGGAGCAGATCAATAATTACTATTTGAATATAAGGGATCAAATCCGGGATTTGAAACCATGTTCAGTCGCTACTAACTGACAAGTTACGAAACAGCCATTCAACCACACAGGCGCAAGTAAACTCAGCTCTGCATCTCAAATCTGTACCTGATGTACTTGTACATTTCAAGGCTGAAGATGACGTCTTCTATCAAGGAATCACTTTGGTGGCACACGTGTACAACGCACAGGTCACACGTCAGGCGAAGTTAAGCACGTCGGTCGCGGAGAGTAGGTGGATGGGTGGCCGTGTTCGGCAGCTTGACTCCTGAGAGATTCTTGGGCTCCGCCCCACACCGAAGCTCATGTTTGTCCTTAGGAAAGTGACTTTATTCGAAGTATGAAATGAAAATGTGACTGATAACTGACGCCCCACAGGCAACTTCGACCGAATACTCCCCAGGGAGCTGAGAATGAAACTCGAGCAACACTGATCTATTGATCAGGAGTAATAATCATACATCACTTGCGGAGTTGGACTTTACTAAGCGGTGAAAATCTCAAAAACGATTGTAAATAGTGAACCCCATATTCTGGTTTTATATTTGATGTCATATCATTGCTTTGAAAAAAACATCCAACAACATTATTATATCATCTATGTATATGGTATATGTTACTTACTATACTCTCTAAAAAATAAAAGTAGTAAATTCGTAAATGTCAGACAGTGATGCCGACATCCATGCAAAATTAATACCAAATATGAACTGGTCATTTTTGCATGGATTAGGATTGATTTTTGTAAAAATGAGGTATATAAGACATTTGGTGAAAAGATGGAAACATCGAAAATATACAACCGCTCAGGATAGATTCATACGGCTACGTCACTTTCGTTACCACCGCGGCCACCTCCACAACTACGGCAATACCAGGATTGCGTAGGATGTCAGCCCAGACAGTGAGGAAACGTTTAAGCGCTGAAGGTATTCGCACTCGACGACCATTTCGAGGTGTCCTTTGACGAACCTGCATCGTGGGCTGCGACGTCAGTGGTGTCAAGGTCACAGAGTATGGCCACAACTGCGATGGTTACAAGTTTATTCAGTGTCGTTTTATGCGTCGCCTTGCGGACAGTAGACGTGCTTACAGGCAACGTGTGGAACGCTATGCACGGAACTGCATTCAGGAAGTGAACCGATTTGGTAGTGGTAGTGCGATGATGTGGGCAGCCATCTCCTACACTGGTAGAACAGACTTGGTGCAAGCTCTGGGGAATTTAACGGCACAACGTTACACGGATGAGATTCTTCGGTCGTACGTCCTCCCCATTATGCAACGAGCGAACGACATCACACGACAAGAATGACAAGAGGATTTCTCAGGAATCAGAACATCCATGTCCAGCCATGGCCTTCCAGGTCTTCAGATTTAAACCCAATCAACATTTATGGGATGCACTGGATCAACGACTACGAGCACGTCAGCAACGTTTACTACCACAGAAGCTCCGACTGTTGGCACAAACACTGCAGGCAGAGTGGGTGAACAGTCACCAGGCCACAATTCGGGATCTGATTGCTTCCAAGTTTTGGATTCTGATGGTGGCTATACAGGATATTGAGAACAGATGACCTTCACCTTGAAAGTCTACTGTTCCATATGAGCCATATGGAACCTGGGTTAATGACAATAATGTGTGCCAATTTTGAACACTCGAGTACCATCTGTAGATTTATATAATATGTAAGATATACATCTAAAATTACCTTTGCGGTATATTTACTATGTACTATATTGCAACAAAGCTAAACATATGTTTTATATCTAAAATAATATATATGATTTATAAAGGTTTTCGGGAATAAAAGACCATATATATATGTTTTCAAGCAATGAGATAACTACACTTCCGAACTTCCGCGTTGTAGGAATATCCTTATAGGCATCCGGGACGTTCAGAATGAACCGGTTGTTAATACAGTTATAGCTATCAATACTTGACTGTGGAAACAAAGGTTCAAGATTTTGTACCTCGCCTCTGCATATTTTACCAAGGTTGGAAAGATTATGAAGTTTGAATTCTCTGAGCCTGTTTAAGAAGCATTGTTCCTTGTCTCGTGTACACAAAATGACACCATGAATCCATGAGTATAATTACGAAGGAGGGTAAAACATATTCACACTCCCAAAACACATTATATCATTTCCAATAACCATACACACAGTAATAGGCAAACAGTTGATACATTACACTGACGGACAAGAGAAACCAATTGTAACTTTCACTTCAGGTGATCTTTGATGTTGCTAGAGTTTAAGCTTCACGCCTTTAAAACCAACTTCGTTCTGGTTGAGGAACCACTCACTTGTAAAGAGGTGAACTTTCTCAAAATGTTGACATTGCCGTGTGCGAGTGTATTTGATATAATTTGTTTGATGGCCTATGGGTGGAATAGTGAGAAACATTTTCACAACAGACAAATTCCTGCACACTGTCCAGGGAGCTGAAATTGCAAATCTGACCCCAACACAATCTCCAGGGAGCTGAAATTGCAAATCGTATCACTACACACACTCCAGGGCACTGAAAATGCAAATCTGACCCCAACACAATCTCCAGGGAGCTGAAATTGCAAATCTTATCACTACACACACTCCAGGGCACTGAAAATGCAAATCTGACCCCAACACAATCTCCAGGGAGCTGAAATTGCAAATCTTATCACTACACACACTCCAGGGCACTGAAAATACAAATCTGACCCCAACACAATCTCCAGGGAGCTGAAATTGCAAATCTTATCACTACACACACTCCAGGGCACTGAAAATGCAAATCTGACCCCAACACAATCTCCAGGGAGCTGAAATTGCAAATCTTATCCCTACACAATCTCCAGGGCACTGAGAATACAAATCTAATCCCCACACACTGTCCAGGGCACGGTGCTGAGATATTGTCTCTACATAACCTCCAGGTTACTGAAAATGCAAATTATATCCCTACGCATTATCCCAGGAGCTAAGAATACAAGTCTTATCCCTACACACTCTCCGGGTAGTTGAGAATGGGGATTTGAATATTTACTTTTCTCTTGTGCGGGTAATAAATAATTATATGTGACATTGAAAGACATTTATTATTTTCATAATTACAATTGTTAATAAAGACCATTTTCGACTTCCATGATGCTCAATACGATGGCAACACCAAACGTAACGTCCTTTGTTAACTGGATGCAAATAACAGTAAGGTCTATTTTGAAAGGCAACACATTTATTACAATTATCAGGTTTGCAATTTTCCCATCGTCATAATACGTCCCTTAATTAACTAGCTAGTTCACAATGTTCATTATAACCTACTGAGAGTAGTGAGAGTGTCATTAAAATTGTAACCAAGATGTACTTATTGATATCAACGGCAACCATTCACTTTATTTGAAACATGTTTCATTAGCACACAGTTAATAAACGATGCTTTTTTTTACTGTGATGACCGCATGTATCTGGCTACAGACAATATTGAAAGTGCTACATGCGCCTGTTTCACCATGACATATTCAAATGACAATAAGACGCCTATTGTTAAATAGAAGCGGACTGCGGTATCTCATATTGACTACAGTCAGTGAAAGCTGTCAGTGACAGTGCTTCAAAAGTATCGTCCTTGCTTCAAAGGTAAGTTGTGTTGGGAGGCAGTGTTTTGTTGTAGCGTGGGGTGAGGGTGTGTCGTTCGTGTGAGGCAGACTGCTGTAGCGATGTGTGTGTGTGTGTGTGTGTGTGTGTGTGTGTGTGTGTGTGGTCCAAACCCGGATACATGGACTATATTTCCACTCTTTTCTTCCAAAATCGAGCAAACATGTATGTGTTTACCATCTTTGGCAATGAACATGTACTGTGATCGTTACCGTGTAATGCACAACATACCGTCTGTGAATTTATCATAATGCTGTTCAAAGATCTTCAAATGATGGTTAAGGTGAAATACATGCCGTGGCGTAGCGATTTTCTTGTTTCCTTTGCCTGTTCTCTATGTATGCTTACTATTGTTTGACTTCTGTATATTAGCTGAAATGTTTTCTCAATAGTTGTAGAACACATTCAAACAGTTTCTTTTAATCTACACCTGTTATCCTTTCTCTTGGCTCTGCAGTTAAGTTCCGAAATTATTTAATGCGTTTAAAATACACAATTATTTTTAAAAAGATATTATATACATTTATATAACATTTTCTTTATATTGTCAGGGATAACAATGGACATCACCTTGTTATGCTTACTCCTGGCAGTGCAGCTGTGCTCATTATCGACGTGTAATGGGGCAAAGATCCTCTATCTCCCTTTCCCGTTATACAGCCATGTTAAGCTTGGGCAATGGTTGACTGACGATCTCCACAAATATGGCCATGAACTATGGACAGCCTACCCCAAATATCTCAAGTCACTTGGTGTACTCCAGGACAAAAAGTACAACCTAATTCAATTAGAAAAACTTGGTGATGAAGATGTAGGAGAGACACTACGTAAAGTCAATGAAAAAAGTCTTACTAACAAAACTATACTTGAGAAATTCTTGCACACTGTTGAGAGTATTATTCAGCCGGTTCATGAACAGTTGCGAGAAATAAATTTCAAAATTATGAAGGATGACGAGTTCCTTCAGGTCGTGAAAAGGCAACATTTTGACCTGGTGCTGGTCGGGGGAACCATGAGAGGAATGGAACTGCATCTGATTCCATACCATCTTGGCATCCCTTTCTGTTTCCTCAGCACAGACATCGACCCTTGGAGATCCGGCCTCCCTGTCAACCCATCACATACACCAATAACTGGATCCGAATTCACAGACAGGATGGATTTCTTTCAGCGTGTGCAGAACACATTGATGTATATGAGTCTGATTTTCGACAAGGACCTTTTCTTTGGCGACGACAGAGACAACTTTAAAGGCCCCGACGGTAACGCCGTTACTCCGGGCAGCGTCATGAGTGAAGCAAAGCTATGGCTAATTCAACATGATGTTTTGTTGGACTATCCTCGACCTAGCATGCCAAATGTCAAGTACATTGGCGATCTCTCTCTCCGAAAGGCACAACCTTTAGCAAGGCAGTTTAAACAGTTTTATAATAGATCAACTAATGGTGTTGTTGTTGTTTCGTTTGGAAGCTTTGTGAATCTAGAGCAGCCGCTTGTTCAAAAGCTCTTTACCGGTCTTTTGAAAACTCCTTATTCATATGTGATACGATTAAACGTTACTTCACCTGACAAACATAAATTTTTAACATCCTCTTGGATTCCTCAGAACGATCTGTTAGCCAACCCTCAAACCAAACTATTCATTACAAACATTGATGCAAGTGATCAGAATGAGGCTGTTGCTAACGGTGTCCCTATGGTTGGAATACAGATACACACTGATCAGTACTATAACGCTAATCGTCTTCAGCGAAAAGGATATGGAATATTCGTTGACTTCCTGGAAATCACACCCGAGGAGATAGCTGACAAAATAAAATATGTGATTGAAACGCCTTCCTACAAAGGCAACGTCAGCAGAGCAGCCAATATCCTGAACGACCGACCGTGGACCCCCGGTCAGGAAGCTGCCTACTGGATTGATCACGTGATCAAATATGGCGACGCTCACTTCCGTTCTGAAGGCATGAAGCTTCCGTGGTACAAGTTTCTGTGTTTAGACGTCTTCATCTTTGTGTCCTTAATTATTGTGTTGCTTTTGAAAGGTGTAATGTTGTTAGTGAGATTGAGTCTTCCTGGTTTCTTCAGAAAGAAACAGGTCGTAAAGCCCAAGAAAGAGTGAATTCGTTGCAATAATAATGACGTCCTTGCAGGATAGGATGAGGGTAAATATAACTGCAAAAACAAGTATGTCATCCACTGTTATGGACCTACTCAGCGTTATAGAATATATCTACCATTATGGAAACACAGCGTGACAATGAGCACTTTAATAACATTGCAAGCACAACCATTCAGGGTCATGCAGAAAACATAAACATTAGTTACCTTCAGTTTCATTATGTACGTTGTGCTCGAGATTAAAGAATCAAAAGTTCTTTTCTGATATGTTGTCTTTTTAAGAACAATTTGAATTATTGTCAGTCAACCTCTAATGTTACAAATTCCAAGGGACCGTTTAGTTACATTTTAGGCCATATTTCAGTTTTAATAAATGTGTGAACCTCCGACCGGGGATAGAATCAGCTTCACCACATATATACTTTTCCGTATCCGACTTCAAATAGTGAGTTAGTGAGTGGATTCTAATTAACGCGACACTCAGCATTGTTATTAATGTGGAATATATGCTGTATATGTTTATAACGAACTACGTTTATAATGAACTAAAACTAGTGGTCCCTTTGAGTTCGTTATAACCGTAGTTCTCTTTCTAGTCCAATTAACAATATATGAATTATTTGTTTTTAAAATATATCTTATAGGCACACTGGCAAATATTCTCATTGAAAATTATTTCAATCTTGCATTTCACATTTTAACTATGTTTCTTGAGACGTCATACACCGATAATTCAATACAATAACCTATACAACTATACACGTATGGTACAAGTACAGTATTACACTGCCGTACGTACACATAAAAACAATGTTATGTAATCACCTGATGATATATATATATTAATTATGATAGCCACACCTGTCATAATTCACGGAAATATCAATGTAATATTTGTTCAAACACAATATCTTAAATCTTCTTGAAGGAAATTAATTAATTAAAATATTAATTATAAAAAGTCTGATAGAAGCTCTTTGCTCATAAATTTTTTAAAGTATAAACAGCGACGTATTACTATATCACTGCCTGTTGTATTGACAAGGGAACGCAAACCTATTATTTGTCTCGGGTAAAAAAGCTTTGTTAATGAAGGCTTCGGTAAAAAGCATATCATATTTGGTAAGCGATACGACACCACTCCCAATATTATTCACAGAAACTGTCGAAGACACGCGATTCTAATATAGAACCAGCATCAATCATGTTGGATAGAAACTCTCATCGCAGGCGCATGGTCAATACACATGCCACTGCTTCATCATTAAACCAATTAGGTCGCCAAAGAACATCTGTGAAGGGTGAGAAAGCTCGAAGAAATAATCACGGTTACAATATGACGTATATATATAATATCACATGTATACTGTAATATATATAGACTGCGTGGTCTATGACAGTATACATGTGTTATCGTCCTGATCAGGGTACTAGAGTACTCCGTGGTCTATGACAGTATACATGTGTTATCGTCCTGATCAGGGTACTAGAGTACTCCCTTGTCTATGACAGTATACATATGTTATCGTCCTGATCAGGTTACTAGGGTACTCCGTGGTCTATGACAGTATACATGTGTTATTGTCCTGATCGGGATACTAAAGTACTCCGTGGTCTATGACAGTATACATGTGTTATTGGCCTGATCAGGTTACTAGAGTACTCCGTGGTCTATGACAGTATACATGTGTTATTGTCCTGATCAGGGTACTAGAGTACTCCGTGGTCTATGACAGTATACATGTGTTATCGTCCTGATCAGGGTACTAGAGTACTCCCTTGTCTATGACAGTATACATATGTTATCGTCCTGATCAGGTTACTAGGGTACTCCGTGGTCTATGACAGTATACATGTGTTATTGTCCTGATCGGGATACTAAAGTACTCCGTGGTCTATGACAGTATACATGTGTTATTGTCCTGATCAGGTTACTAGAGTACTCCGTGGTCTATGACAGTATACATGTGTTATTGTCCTGGTCAGGTTACTAGAGTACTCCGTGGTCTATGACAGTATACATATGTTATCGTCCTGATCAGGTTACTAGAGTACTCCGTGGTCTATGACAGTATACATGTGTTATTGTCCTGGTCAGGTTACTAGAGTACTCCGTGGTCTATGACAGTATACATGTGTTATTGTCCTGGTCAGGTTACTAGAGTACTCCGTGGTCTATGACAGTATACATGTGTTATCGTCCTGATCAGGTTACTAGGGTACTCCGTGGTCTATGACAGTATACATGTGTTATTGTCCTGATCGGGATACTAAAGTACTCCGTGGTCTATGACAGTATACATGTGTTATTGTCCTGATCAGGTTACTAGAGTACTCCGTGGTCTATGACAGTATACATGTGTTATTGTCCTGATCAGGTTACTAGGGTACTCCGTGGTCTATGTCAGTATACATGTGTTATTGTCCTGATCAGGTTACTAGGGTACTCCGTGGTCTATGACAGTATACATGTGTTATTGTCCTGATCAGGTTACTAGAGTACTCCGTGGTCTATGACAGTATACATGTGTTATTGTCCTGATCAGGTTACTAGAGTACTCCGTGGTCTATGACAGTATACATGTGTTATTGTCCTGATCAGGTTACTAGAGTACTCCGTGGTGTATGACAGTATACATGTGTTATTGTCCTGATCAGGTTACTAGGGTACTCCGTGGTCTATGACAGTATACATGTGTTATTGTCCTGATCAGGTTACTAAAGTACTCCGTGGTCTATGTCAGTATACATGTGTTATTGTCCTGATCAGGTTACTAGGGTACTCCGTGGTCTATGTCAGTATACATGTGTTATTGTCCTGATCAGGTTACTAGGGTACTCCGTGGTCTATGACAGTATACATGTGTTATTGTCCTGATCAGGTTACTAAAGTACTCCGTGGTCTATGTCAGTATACATGTGTTATTGTCCTGATCAGGTTACTAGGGTACTCCGTGGTCTATGTCAGTATACATATGTTATCGTCCTGATCAGGTTACTAGAGTACTCCGTGGTCTATGTCAGTATACATATGTTATCGTCCTGATCAGGTTACTAGAGTACTCCGTGGTCTATGTCAGTATACATATGTTATCGTCCTGATCAGGTTACTAGGGTACTCCGTGGTCTATGTCAGTATACATATGTTATCGTCCTGATCAGGTTACTAGGGTACTCCGTGGTCTATGACAGTATACATATGTTATCGTCCTGATCAAGTTACTAGAGTACTCCGTGGTCTATGACAGTATACATATGTTATCGTCCTGATCAGGTTACTAGGGTACTCCGTGGTCTATGTCAGTATACATATGTTATCGTCCTGATCAGGTTACTAGGGTACTCCGTGGTCTATGACAGTATACATATGTTATCGTCCTGATCAAGTTACTAGAGTACTCCGTGGTCTATGACAGTATACATATGTTATCGTCCTGATCAGGTTACTAGGGTACTCCGTGGTCTATGTCAGTATACATATGTTATCGTCCTGATCAGGTTACTAGGGTACTCCGTGGTCTATGACAGTATACATATGTTATCGTCCTGATCAAGTTACTAGAGTACTCCGTGGTCTATGGCAGTATACATATGTTATTGTCCTGATCAGGTTACTAGAGTACTCCGTGGTCTATGACAGTTTACATGTGTTATTGTCCTGATCAGGTTACTAGAGTACTCCGTGGTCTATGACAGTATACATGTGTTATTGTCCTGATCAGGTTACTAGAGTACTATGTGGTCTATGACAGTTTACATATGTTATTGTCCTGATCAGGTTACTAGAGTACTATGTGGTCTATGACAGTTTACATATGTGATTGTCCTGATCAAGTTACTAGAGTACTATGTGGTCTATGACAGTATACATATGTTATTGTCCTGATCAGGCTACTAGAGTACTCCGTGGTCTATGACAGTTTACATGTGTTATTGTCCTGATCAGGTTACTAGAGTACTCCGTGGTCTATGACAGTTTACATGTGTTATTGTCCTGGGCCCACTTGCACAAAGCGATCTTAGCGCTAAGATGATCGTAACGCCCATACTTTAACATAGACTTACAATAATCGTAGCACTAAGATTGCTTTGTGCAAGTGGGCCCTGATCAGGTTACTAGAGTACTGCGTGGTCTATGACAGTTTACATATGTGATTGTCCTGATCAGGTTACTAGAGTACTCCGTGGTCTATGACAGTATACATGTGTTATTGTCCTGATCATGTTACTAGAGTACTCCGTGGTCTATGACAGTATACATATGTTATTGTCCTGATCAGGTTACTAGAGTACTCCGTGGTCTATGATTGTATACATGTGTTATTGTCCTGATCAGGGCACTAGAGTACTGCGTGGTCTATGACAGTTTACATATGTGATTGTCCTGATCGGGTTACTAGAGTACTATGTGGTCTATGACAGTTTACATATGTGATTGTCCTGATCGGGTTACTAGAGTACTATGTGGTCTATGACAGTATACATATGTTATTGTCCTGATCAGGCTACTAGAGTACTCCGTGGTCTATGACAGTTTACATGTGTTATTGTCCTGATCAGGTTACTAGAGTACTCCGTGGTCTATGACAGTTTACATGTGTTATTGTCCTGGGCCCACTTGCACAAAGCGATCTTAGCGCTAAGATGATCGTAACGCCCATACTTTAACATAGACTTACAATAATCGTAGCACTAAGATTGCTTTGTGCAAGTGGGCCCTGATCAGGTTACTAGAGTACTGCGTGGTCTATGACAGTTTACATATGTGATTGTCCTGATCAGGTTACTAGAGTACTCCGTGGTCTATGACAGTATACATGTGTTATTGTCCTGATCATGTTACTAGAGTACTCCGTGGTCTATGACAGTATACATATGTTATTGTCCTGATCAGGTTACTAGAGTACTCCGTGGTCTATGACAGTATACATGTGTTATTGTCCTGATCAGGGCACTAGAGTACTGCGTGGTCTATGACAGTTTACATATGTGATTGTCCTGATCGGGTTACTAGAGTACTATGTGGTCTATGACAGTTTACATATGTGATTGTCCTGATCGGGTTACTAGAGTACTATGTGGTCTATGACAGTTTACATGTGTTATTGTCCTGATCAGGGTACTAGAGTACTATGTGGTCTATGACAGTATACATGTGTTATTGTCCTGATCATGTTACTAGAGTACTCTGTGGTCTATGACAGTTTACATGTGTTATTGTCCTGATCAGGTTACTAGAGTAC